TATAGGGCTTGAACTGAGGGTCCAGGTACTGTCCCTGAGCTTTTTCTCAAGGCTAATGCTCTACCATGTTATGCCACAGCTCTACTTCCAGTGTTTTGGTGGTTAATTGGAGATAAGAGTCTCAAAGACTTTTCTGCCTGGCTTCAAACCACAATCCTCAGATCTCAGCCTCCTGAATAGCTAGGATTACAAGTATGAACCACCAGTACCCAGCCCCATTATTTTTTTTTTTTTTCAGTGCTAGCTTGTGCATGCTAGGCTCTGCCACTAAACCATGCTCCATACCGTGTGTCCTATTTGTGACTACATTATTGAAGCTGGGGACTTTGGGAGCATGTTTTCACTGTGCCTGGGTTTTCCTGCACATGCTCACTTTAAAAACTGAAATCCAGCTGGAAGCACTTGGCATATGCCTTGCATATATGTAGTAAACTCTAGACTGAGTTCTACTCACCCTCTTTGTACAGTGTGGGCATCTGGTACACAGAACTCAAAGCTCAACGTTGCTTTGATATAGTTATCTTGTGCTCCCAGAAGTGGCCACTCAAAGTCACTCAGCTCTTTTTTTTTCCAATACTAGGGATTGAACTTAGGCCTTTGTACTTGCTAGGCACTTGAGTCATGTCTCCAGTCCTTTTGCTTTTAGTTTATTTGGCTTTTGTCCAGGTTGGTCTTGAACAGCAATCCTTCTACTCTACTCCCTCCTCCCTTGCAGCTGAGATTATAGGCATGTACCACTATGTCCAGTGCTGTTGACAGCTCTTCTATATTACAGCAGTGTAATATGCTCCTGCATAGAATCACCATGTACTTTCCTTGATATTCAGTGATGGACAGTCTGAGGGAAAGATTCCTGGAGGTGAAATTGCTGGTGTAAAATATGGTGGAGGGGCTGGGAAGGTGGCTCAGTGGTAGAGCGCTTGCCTTGCATGCATGAGGCCCTGGGTTCAATTCCTCAGCACCACATGAGCAAAAAGAAAAAAGCCGGAAGTGGCGCTGTGGCTCTAGTGGTAGAGCGCTAGCCTTGAGCTGAAGAGCTGAGGGACAGCGCCCAAGCCCAGAGTTCAGGCCCCATGACCGGACCCCCCCAAAAAATAAATAAAATAAAATATGGTGGAGTCCATGCCTAAAATTCTGATGTGGAGAAAAAAAATTGTACTGACTTAATACCCTTCAAAGCAGGATAGGTCACTAAGGACCTCTGACCCAGTGGGTACCTGGCCAGGTAGAAATAGCAGTGATAAACAGCTGCCCTTACCTGGGCTAGTTGTTATTACATGTGGAAATGCAGGCCTCTTCTCAATGCTGGGGAAGATCTCAGTTAAATAGGAAGATTCCATTAAATAGGAAAGTACAGGTTTTCACTGCCATGATTGAGGCCTCTGTTGTTGATATAGGCTTCATGATCCAAGTATGTACAGACTTCCAAGGAGGCCTGAGAGAGCTGAGCGGGGAGACACAATCCTCATCCTGAAATATCCCAGTTGTTGCTGACTTTCTCTAACTTGTCCTATGTGAATTGATTTTGAAGAGACTTGTGTCACAAAGTCCCCCAACACATTTCTGAGAACTGCTTGGTCAGTCTGTCGTGACAAAGGGTGGGAGCCAGACTGTTGAGGTTTGAATCCCAACTGCTCTACCTGTCACCTGCGAGACTTGGCCACATCATCATCCTGCCAATCTGTGAAATGTGCATACCAGCCATTCCTACAGTATAGCCAGAGCGTGTTAGAGCCCTCCTTATTTTTAATCCCAGCATCATATTAGTTCTCCTCCCTGACTCACATGTAAGGACAGATACATTAGACCCCTGCAGACCCCTGAGAACTCGGTAGGCAGAGGGAAGGACTCTGCCCAGTGGAGAAAACACTAGGCCAACAGGACTAGACAAGGTTCCCTGAAATACTTCCTGCAAATGTCTCCAAGGCAAGAAAGGAGACAGAGCTCCAAGATCCCCTTCAAGGCCACATCCCCAGTGACTTAACTTCTTCCCACTAGGCCCCACCTCCTAAAAGTCCATCACCTCATGATAGAACCAGCCACAAGCTGGTAACAGATCCTTTAGCAAGGAGCCTTTGGGGACCATTCTAGATATAAATCATAATAGTCCCTAAATTGCACACCAGATATATAGGTAAGTGGGGCAACCAGGAGTGGATAGAACTAGACAGAGTCCAGTCATGACCACATATGACCTCCTCAGCAGCATCCAGCCCTAGTGACTTCTTGGTCCTCCCAAATCACACCTGCAACCCAGACATCTGTTGCACCTTCCCTCCCTTATACCTCCTTCCCTGCTAGGCCTATCCCAGCTTGTATCTCCTCCCTGTTCTCAGCTACCCTCAGGTCCTGTGTCATGTTTTCTTCTGTTTTCTCTCTGTGTGCCTCTTATCCTCTAGTATTCTGTCTGCATCTCAAATCAGCTGTCAAGCTTTTAATGGATACTTGGGCTGGGGATACAGTCCCATGTGGTAAAGCAAAAGAAACCCATCAACTAAGTGGATGGATTTCCAATGCTTAGGCCTTGCAGAATAAATGAATGTATTATACATGCCTAGTAAATAGTAACAAGATGAAGTTTTTAGTGCTTTTTTTGACTGGATGATTTGTAAGTGCAGCAGGCGTTTGTTGTGGGAGTGTGGAGTGGGAGGTGAATGAATGCACCTTAAATACTGGTTGCCTTTTGGTGAATGACTTCTTAGGGCCCATAGTCTGCTGAATCACCAGATCCATGCCTGGAGGAAACATCATGCCACCAGTGCCACCTTGCTATCCAACTGTAAGCTGTCTAGAGCTTTGGGGCCTATTGAGCCTCCAGTACAGTGACCAGATCACATTTCCTTGCAGGAAGAATGCCTGGACAGGGGCTGGGAAGGTGGCTCAGTGGTAGAATGCTTGCCTTGCAATGCATGAGGCCCTGGGTTTGATTCCTCAGCACCACATAAGCAAAAAAAAAAAAAAAAAAAGCCGGAAGTGGCGCTGTGGCTCAAGTTGTAGAGCGCTAGCCTTGAGCTGAAGAGCTGAGGGACAGCGCCTAGGCCCAGAGTTCAGGCCCCACAACCAGACCCAAAAAAAAAAAAAGAATGCCTGGACAGGATTGGGGGAGGACACTGAGGTTAGCTGGATAGAGAGGCTACCTGGGAAGGAGGTCCTGGTGCCTTCCCCATACCCACTTCCCCCACTTAGTCCAAATATTCCTTCCAACTTTAACAGGTGTCCATGTGTCAGCCTGAGCTGGGGATGCAGCCATGATGGAGACTCAGTGTTCAGTGCCCACGACAGTTTGCATTTGGCAGGCTATGAATTACATGGTACCAAAGAGAAATTCACGTGCTTTGAGACCTTAGGCAAGGGAGTAGACAGGTCATGCTCAGGTTTGTGAGAAGGTAAGATCAGATAGAAAAAGTAGTCTTGAGAAGGAGTTATCCTATAAGGGAAGGAGTGGCAGGAATGACAAGGCCAAGGGTCCTGAGGCAGCAAGAGTGTATAGACTGAAAGAGGGGACTAAGAAAAGAGCCTTTCAGGACCTGGCTCTGAGAGTAAGGGGAAGATAGGTGAGCCTGAGGGCTAAGGTGACAGTGTTTGCTTTGCCTGGGGGACAAGGGATGGAGGAGGGGGAGGACTGTGGAGAGGGGGGACAAGTCGGGAGATCAAGGTGGCTGGCAGAAGCCAGGCGTGAACTTGTGGACTGAGTGAACGTGTTTGGGTTTCATTCTTGAGCACAGAGGAGTCGCTAGGGAGATCTTAGCAAAGAACCCTAAAGCTCACCATATCTGTCAATCACCAAGATGGCTGGAGACATTTCTCTGCAGCTACCCTCCCCCAAATCCAGCAGGGCTCCTGTTGACTCATCCATCATTTTCACTTCCTTGCTGGCAGAGCAGCTGGGGCCAGCAGGCTGCAGAGCAGATGGGCAGCAATCAGCCCTCTATGTGGGGCCACCAGTTCACAGGAAATTCAGGGGCAGAGGAACATGTCAAATGGCACCACAGGGACCCTAAAAGTGGAAAGTGCAAAGGACAAGCGACCCCATTCCTTCAACAAGTATAACATCAAAGTAAAGGAAGGTGGCTGCTATGGAGTGGAAGGGACAAGAAATATGGAGTGTGATCCCCTCCTTTGAGCGACTCAGCACAGGAGCGCTTTGAGACGATGAAATCTAATACAGACAGGGTATTTTAACATAATAATTGACCATTTAGATGGGTATGATAATGAAATCTTAGATTTTTGTTTTTTGTTCTTACTTATGTTTTTATTATCTTTAAGTAGTTCTACAGAGAGGTTTCAACTTAAAACAAAAACTTACCCATATACACTGTAGCTCAATCGTGTAGCAGGTAAAATCACCTAAAGTCTGGAATTTACTGGAAAGTACTGTGAGGTTTGAGGATTATTGCTCAATGGTAGGGTACTTATGTAACATGTGGCAGATCTCTGGGTTTAATCCTTAAAACCACAGAAAATAAAATGTTATATCAGCTGGGTGACAGTGGCTCAACCTGTTATCCTAGTTACTCAGGAGGCTGAGATCTGAGGATCATGGTTCAAAGCCAGCCCTGGAAGGAAAGTCTGTGAGACTCTTACCTCCAATAAACCACCAGAAAACTGGAAGTGGCACTGTGGCCCAAGTGGTAGAGCGCTGGTCTTGAGCTGAAGAGCTGAGGGACAGCACCCAGGCTCAGAGTTCAAGGCCCACGACCGGCCCCTCCCCCCCCCCAAAAAAAAAACTAAAAGAAAAAAAAGGAAAAAAAATTGGGTGAACAGAACTAAGAATGACAAGTATCTGTAACAGTTGTTACTGTTAGTGGTGTAGCTCATCATAATTCTCCCTGCTTTTGAGAGTGATTGGTAATCTCCATAATAAGAAAGGTTTTAAAAAGGAGTAAAACCATCCCAAAACAGCAACAACAACAACAATTATTTCCCATTCTCTGGTAGCAATATAGCATATACATGATGTACAAAGCATCTCACATCTTCCTTCTCTTCCCCTGCAGCATGGCAGGGGAGACATCCTTGCTGCCTGCCAGTTTGTGCTCAGCGCTGCTGCTTGTTCTGCCCTCCTGAGCTTCTCTGTCTGGAGCCCCCCCTGCAGCCCCTCAGCCTGCTGAGATTGCCCTGGCTCTGCTGTGCACAGCGATGGTGGAGAACTGGACTCCACAGCCTCACAACCTTCACATCGGGTTTCAGGGGCCAGCATCCTTCATCCTAGGACTGGCGGCCCTGAACAATGGCTGAGGGCCAGGGGACCCCGTAGAGAGTTGCACCACAGCTTCCTGGGGGGCCAGCAGCACTCTAGTGCCCTTGGACTATGACCACCTATCGGCCCCTTCCCAATGATGGTGTGGACCTGGCAGCCACCTGTGGGGCCAGGGGCGCCGATGTCCTCCCTGGGCCGCACACGGGAGACTACACTCCCATGGGCTTCTGGGCACAGAATGGCAGCATGTCCCAGCCTCTCGGGGAGAGCTCAGCCGCCACCACTCGCCCCAGCCCCACCACTCCCGCCATGCCCAAGATGGGCGTCCGAGCACGAGTGGCCGACTGGCCACCCAAGCGAGAGGCCTTGAGAGAGCTGAACAATCCCAGCCCCTCGCAGGACGCAGATGGTGCCAAGGCCACCTCCAAGGTGACCCATTCGTTGAGGAGCCTGCAGAATGGACCGGCCAGCACCACCAGCGCCCCAGTGGCCTCAGGGTCCAGAGCCTTCCACCGACTGTCCCGGCGAAGGTCCAAAGACGTGGAGTTCCAGGACGGGTGGCCCAGGTCGCCGGGCCGGGCCTTTCTGCCCCTGCGACACCGCAGCAGCAGCGAGATCACCCTGAGCGAGTGCGATGCGGCGGCGGCTGAGGATCCGGGGGCGGAGGCGCGGGGTGCTCGGCTGGCGGGGGCGCTGCCCCTCTTCCGGGAGTACGGCAGCACATCCTCCATCGACGTGCAGGCCGTGCCCGAGCAGAGCTTCTTCGACATCCTCAACGAGTTCCGCAGCGAGCAGCCTGACGCGGTGGCGGCCGCGGCGGCAACGGCAGGCACGCGGGGCTCCCGCCTCCTCGGCGGCGGCGGTGGCAGCTGCGGTGGAGGGGGCGAGCTCACCCCGCATGCAGCGGGCGGCCGCGGGGTCAAGGCGGATCCGCGGCGCGGGCAGTCGACCCCGGACGGCCTGCTGCCGCTGCAGCCCCTGAAGGAGAAGGAGAAAGGCCGGAAGAAGGGCGGCCGCGGGCCCGGAGCGGGCGCCGACGCCCCCGCCACCCTGGACGCGTCCATCTTCCGGAAGCTGCGCAGCGGCAAGGCCGAGGGGGAGGCCGAGGAGGGCCGCAGCCCCCCGGAGCCCGGCCGCCCGTGGGTCTGCCAGAAGAGCTTCGCGCACTTCGACGTGCAGAGCATGCTGTTCGACCTCAACGAGGCAGCCGCCAACCGGGGCTCGGTGGCCCAGCGGCGCAACACCACCACCGGGGCCTCGGCCGCCTCCGCCGCCTCTGCCATGGCCATGGCGTCGTCCTCGTCGTCGTCGTTCACAGCAGCCGCGGCCTCGGCGTCGGCGGCATCGCGGGCCCACAGCCTGGGCGGCCTGGACCCCGCCTTCACCAGCACGGAGGACCTGAACTGCAAGGAGAACCTGGAGCAGGACCTGGGCGACGACACCAGCAACGACCTGCTGCTCAGCTGCCCGCACTTCCGCAACGAGATCGGCGGGGAGCGCGAGCGCAACGTGAGCTTCTCCCGGGCCTCGGCCGGCTCCCCGGGCGGCAGCGGTGGCTGCGACCCGCTCCCTGCTGAGCCCGCGCTGAGCGCCCTCCGCACCAACGCCAGCATCGCCGTGCTCGAGGTGCCCAAGGAGCAGCAGCGCACGCAGAGCCGGCCGCGGCAGTATAGCATCGAGCACGTGGACCTGGGCGCCCGCTACTACCAGGACTACTTCGTGGGCAAAGGTAACCAGGAGGGAGAGAGGGCAGGGCCTCGACTTGTCCCAGAGACCTTCATTCATTCAGCCTGGAAATGGGAGCTGCCTCCTTGGGGAGGGGTCCTGGGGATACACAGTGAGCCACATCCTAGCACCTGGACACATCTGAACACTTGAGACCCACAGTTAATCTGGCAAATGTGGGTTTGGTACAGCACTCTGTATAGCCTGGGGTGAAGTATTGACCCCCTTCAGACCAAAACCCTGCCTTCCTAGCATGTAACTTAAGTCTTAAGGGGGCCAAGGTAAATCATAAAGCAAGATAAATCCATAACGTCCACAAGGTGTGCCACAAGGCACTATGTACTAAAGAGAAGGGTGAAGAGAAAGGGAAGAGTTGGAAGGCAGGCTTCAGTGGAGGATGGGCAGAGCCATGGGGGAGGGGGGGTAATTAGGAATGGTGTTTGTGGCACTAGGAACAAAAAGTACCAGAGTCCTGGCCATTGGAGGAACAGGGGGAGGCCAGTGCTCTTGGGACAGTGACTGAGGGAGAGTGGCAGAGAGGTGACAAGGACGGATGGGAATCCCAAGGCTGTGGTAGGTACTCATCTTTCCCGAGTAAGGTGCAGCCACAAGAGCCCTGAGCAGGGAGAGCCCTAATGTCACAAGGTGTTTGCAGCTTCTCTGGCCTCTTGTGTGTACTCACTATGTTATTGAGAGGAGATAATAATGGGGGCTATCCAGGACAGGGTATGTTGTAGATTCATATGGAGGGGGACACCAGGGAGAGATGGGCTTTGTGTCTGGCAGGCACTTGGCTGCTGGCAAACAATCCCTGGAAGCAGCATGGCCACATAAGAGACCCCAGACCCAGGCCAACCACATACAGAAATGAATGGTTTCTGCCCAGTTCCACCTCCGTTGGAAAGGCAGACAAGCCAGTATTACCAGTCTTCTCAGTTTGTAAGATTCTCCTGAAATTCAGACTTGTTTGTTTGTTTTGGTGAACTAAGGTTTAAACTCAGGCCTTGCACTTGCCAAGCAAGCACCCTTCTACCTGAGCCACACACCCAGCCTTTTTTTTTTTTTTGGCTTTAGTCATTTTTCATACAGGTTCATTCTCATTTTAAACCCATTTTACTACTGCTGGAATGCTGCCGAGTGACTTGGCCTGGGCCACATTTCTAATCTCACCTCAGATTTGGACTGCAGAAGGAGGAATAACCACTTCATGAGGGTTAACAGACAGCAAAAACAGTCCGTTTGCAAACCCAAGATTAATCACAGTCACACTGTAAAACTAAGTTTTTATAATTGTAGCTTCCTATCACCTCACCTGAGCTCTCTTATCTGGGCCCCTCTTTCTCAGATGAAAGCAGTGAAACTCAGAACACTTCTGTGACTTGACAGAGTTGGTACAGAAAGCTGAGCTTTTGCCTCTTAGGATTTCAGCCATAGAATGTGGTTGTGTCTAGACATGAGCTAGGGTCTCACTCCTCCATCACTCAATCAGCAGGCCCACTGTAGGCTGGGTCCTCTCAAGCTAACTAAAGACACCCACTCTCCCTTTGCAGAACATGCCAATTACTTTGGTGTGGATGAAAAGCTGGGGCCAGTGGCTGTGAGCATCAAAAGAGAGAAGCTGGAAGACCACAAGGACCATGGACCTCAGTACCAATACCGGATCATCTTCCGGACCCGTGAGGTAGGGAAGCATTACTGTTAAATAATAACGTAGTTCAGTAATAATGCCCAAACTCTGGGGCAAGTGCTTCTCTGTCTTACAGTCCTTCAACAGGCCCAGGAAAGGATCCTATCAGTCTCCATTCTGCAGAGAAAGAAACTAAGACTCATAGAAATTAATTTTTTTTTTCCAGTCCATTGTCAGTCAGGGCCTGGGCACTGTCCCTGAGCTTCTTTTGCTCAAAAAAGCACTCTACTACTTGAACCATAGTGCCACTTCTTTTTTTCTTTCTTTCTTTTTTTTTTTTTTTTCTGTTTATGTGGTACTGAGGACTCAAACCCAGAGCTTCATATATGCTAGGCAAGCACTCTACAACTAACCTACATTCCCAGCCTTGAATGACTTGTCAGATCAGGAAATTAATGACCAGGCCAGCATTTGCATGCAATATGTGTGACTTCTTCAGAGCCCAGAATTGTGCAATTTATTTGCAAAGGATTAACTCTAGTGAACCCAAGAAACCAATGAGAAAGCGAGGGGACATTCCAGGATTCTGAGGTATCCTGCATAATGGAAAGAAGTGAGGGAGTGAGCCTCAGGCAGGGCAGAATTGGCATATCTCAACAGGCCCTACAGTTGTGCCAAGTAGCTCAGAACATGTCCCCCCTGGCTCCTCCATTCTGAGCTGAGCTTCCATTGCCCTGGATTAAAGGTTAGTCATGGCTAGGGGAGATGGCCTGTTAGAGGCACACTGCCCTAGTAAGAGGCTAAATTGTAAGTGACAGAAATCTATTTCTAACTGGCTTAAAGCCAGAAAGAAATTTGCTGGTTCTATCTGCAGATCCCTTGGTTATGACTATCTTCAAGCAATGTCAAACTCCATTCAAGCTACCAAAACTCCTTAGCTTCCATTTGCATTAAAAAAGTCATACTTTTCTGTCAACAAGTTTTCTCCACATCTAGCAAAAAGGAGAACAACACTCAGCTTTGTGTATTTATAGCTTCCCATCAAAAGAGGATCTGATTAGTTCTAATTTGGTCAGAGCCTATGTCCCTGGCCAGTCACCTGGTGGAGGGCCTTTAGAGGAAACTGGTTAGATCTAGGACACTTTGCTGCACCCAGGGCTAGTCCTGGGAGAAATAATTCCATGGGAGCCTCCCATAGGAGGAGGCTGGGCAGGCCTCAGCCAAAAGAGAACGGAAACAAAGAAAGCAAAAGGGAAAGACTTCCAGTGAACCCCAACAGAGAAGACGTTTTCAAAAGAGAGCCAGTTGTCACCTAAACAGGACCCCAACTAGGGTCTCTGTCAGCCCTTTATTGCCCCAGCCTTTGTGGGCCAGGCCTTTGCCCAGGCTTGGAAACCAGCAGGCTAACTGCCAGGAACTTGGATTATGGGGCAGCAAGTCCTGGACCTCATCCAGACTAGCAGATGCTACACCGAAGGCCCTTGTCCCATCCCATGTGACAACACAGAGACTTTGTGACAGCTCAGGAAAAGGGGCCCCAAAACCATGTGCCCAGACTGCAGGTGGTCCCAGCCTATATTTTCCCCAGCCCACTCTCCACTGTGCTCCCTTTTCTGGCCAGATGAGCACTAGGGATACAATGGGTATAACACACACTGACACTTCAGGGGATCAGAGGACATGGGCAAGTGCTGAGTTCACGTAACTGTGAATTTTACAGCTGCATCACCACTGTACATCTACTTAGCCCTGTGTGTCAGCCATTGCTCTGTGCCTTTGTATTTGTTAACTTACTTAAGTCGTCAAAATTCTGTGGTAGAGACAGTCCTATCCTGCTTTATATGGCAGATATACACACAGCAATTAGGATCCTCAATGAGTATCTGTGTATCCTCCAATCATTGCACTTGGCTGTCTCTAGGAGTCACCTCCTCACTTAAAGAGTTATGAACACAGCTAACTTAGTGCCATTGATGCTATGTCCAAGAGATCAGAGGCCTGTGCTGTCCACACATATACACCTCAAGGCTGCCATAAAGACATTGGGGCCCAAGCTGCCTTCCAAGCCAGCCGGTTGGCCTGCCCCAGATGGCCGCCCCTGGCCACCAAGCAGACAGTTTCTAGCAGGTCTGTATCTCTGGGCAGATGGGATGTGAGCGTTGGCAACACCGAGCTTCCCACTGAGGCAGGAGCAGATTCAGAGCTGGACTCGTGCCCCATATGCCTGAACAGTGGTTCCCTAGCGAGGCAGGACAAGGCCAGTAGTACAAGGCTGTCTTGTTTCAAGCCCCTTGCTGGTACTGCTGAACTGGGACACAAGTCCCTCCAGCCATTAGACACTGTCTAGCCCACCCCACTAAAGGACAGGCCTTAGTTTTTGTTTCTTTGTTTGAGATGTTTCTTGCTATGTAGCCCAGGCTGGCTTAAAACTTGTTATTCTTGGGCTGGGAAGATGGGTCAGTGGTAGAGTGCTTGCCTTGCATGCCTGAGGCCCTGGGTTCAATTCCTCAGCACCACATAAGCAAAACGAAAAAAGCCGGAAGTGGCGCTGTGGCTCAAGTGGTAGAGTGCTAGCCTTGAGCTGAATTGCTGAGGGACAGCGCCTAGGCCCAGAGATCAGGCCCCACAACCGGACCCCCCCCAAAAAACAACAACAAAAAAAAAACCTTGTTATTCTTGGGGGGGGGGGTGGTAGAGTGCTTGCTTTGCATGCAAGAGGCCCTGGGTTCAATTCCTCAGCACCACATAAGCAGAAAAAGCTGGAAGTGGCGCTGTGGCTCAGGTGGTAGAGTGCTACCTTTGAGCTGAAGAGCTGAGGGACAGTGCCCAGGCCCAGAATTCAGACCCCATGACTGACCAAAAAAACAAAAACCAAAAAACTTGTTATTCTTGGCTATATTCTTCTGGGCTCCTGGAACAGAGAGATCGAGGCTGCCCTGCTGTACCTGTGGGGAAGGCTGAGGCCTCTGGGTACGGATGAGACACGCTCCCAGTAGAGGCAGTGGACACACGGAGCCATGGCCAGTACAGTAGTAGCAGTTGGGCTGACCATTGCTGCTGCAGGATTTTCAGGCCCTTATGTTTTGTAAGCCATGAAGCATATGGAGTCTCAAGTAAAACTAGTTTTTCAAAGCCTACCAAAATTTGCCTTCAGTGGTGGCTATTACAGAGGTGGATTTGAATCCAAAATGACAAAACGAGAAGCAGCAATAATACTAGGTGTAAACCCTTCTGCCAAGAAAGGAAAGATAAGAGATGTTCATCGACGAAATACGCTCTTAATCACCCAAAGGAGGATCTCCTTACACAGCAGCTGGAATCAAAGATTTACTAGAGGGTCAAGCTGAAAAATGAAGTAAATAGCCAGGCACCGGTGGCTGATACCTGTAATCCTAGCTGCTCAGGAGGCTGAGATCTGAGGATCGTGGTTCAAAGCCAGCCCGGGCAAGAAAATCCTTGAAACTCTTATCTCCAATAAACCACCAGAAAACCAGAAGTGCTGCTGTAGCTCAAGTGGTAGAGCGCTAGCCTTGAGCTGAAGAGCTGAGGGACAGTGCTCAGGCCCAGAGTTCAAGCCCCATGACTGACCAAAAAAAAAAAAAAAATGAAGTAAATGTATGATGAATTTTAAGTTCATACAAACTTATGAATATCACCTTTTTATGATAAAATGCCTCAAATATAAAGTTTAACAAAAGGCCAGGTGCTGGGGCTCACACCTGTAATCCTAGCTACTCAGGAGGCTGATATCTGAGGATTGCAGTTCAAAGCCACCCCGGGCAGGAAAGTCCATGACACTCTTTTTTTTTTTTTTTTTTAATTTTTTGTTTTTTGTTGGTTGTGGGGCTTGAACTCTGGGCCTTGGTACTATCCCTGAGCTCTTCAGCTCAAGGCATGTGCTCTACCACTTGAGCCACAGCACCACTTCTATGACACTCTTATCTCCAGTAAACCACCAGAAAACCAGAAGTGGTGCTGTGGCGCAAGTGGTAGAGTGCTAGCCTTGAGCTGAAGAGCTGAGGGACAGCGCCCAGGCCCAGTGTTCAAGCCTCATGACCCCACCAAAAAAAAATTTTTTTTAATTTAATTTAAAAAAAAAACTTGTGGGGCTGGGAAGGTGGCTCAGTGGTAGAGCGCTTGCCTTGCATGCCTGAGACCCTGAGTTCAATTCCTCAGCACCACATAAGCAAAAAAGAAAAAAAAAAGCCGGAAGTGGTTTTGTGGCTCAAGTGGTAAAGTGCTAGCCTTGAGCTGAAGAGCTGAGGGACAGTGCCCAGGCCCAGAGTTCAGGCCCACGACTAGACCCCCCCAAAAAAACCAAAAAACAAAAACTTGTTATTCTTCTGCCTCTACCTCCCATGTGCTAGGATTACAAGTGTATATACCACCATGCCGGACTAGACCTTTTTTTTTGGGGGGGGGTCTGGTAGTGGGGCCTGAATTCTGGGCCTGGGCGCTGTCCCTCAGCTCTTCAGCTCAAGGCTAGCACTCTACCACTTGAGCCACAGAACCACTTCCGGCTTTTTTTTTTTTTGCTTATGTGGTGCTGAGGAATCGAACCCAGGGCCTCATGCATGCAAGGCAAGCGCTCTACCACTGAGCCACCTTCCCAGCCTCTTTTTTGTCAGTTGTGGAGCTTGAACTCTGGGCCTGGGCACTGTCCCAGAGTCTTCAGATCAAGGCTAGCGCTCTACCACTTGAGCCACAGCACCCACTACTTCTGGCTTTTTCTGTGTATGTGGTGCTGAGGAATCGAACCCAGGGCCTCATGCATGTGAGGCAAGCACTCTACCACTGAGCCACCTTCCCAACCCTATGCCTTATTTTTGATAGGGTTAAAAAAGTACCAAATTAAAGGGTTTGGAGAATACACAAATAACCAAATAGACGAAAGTCTTAATAAGAAAGAAGTGTATCAGAGAAAAGGACTTATCTTGCTTTTCAAACCTTCTAGTTGGACCCATTTGTGTTTAGACTCTTACCTCCAACTAACTAGCAAAATCCAAAAGTAGAGGTGTAGCTTAAGTGGCAAAGCACCAGCCTTGAGTGAAAATGCCAAGCAGGAGCTCTGAAGTCCTGAATTTAAGCCCCAGTACTAACACAAAAAAGAAAGTATGATCGAGCATTGGGCAGGGCTCAGAGGCAATAGGGACCAGATGCTTATAACTTGTCTCCAGTGTAAAGATGAAGACTTCTAGTCTACACTGTCCCTCAGCTCCAGCAGAGGGCACTGCGGGACAGTATCAGCAAGCACAAAGATGCTGATTCTGGCAGTGCATGAATTGAAACCCACAACTCCAGGGCCAACCAGCAGGGCAAAGCACCTGACATCATAGCCATTGCAATCTGTTTGAACACTGACTTACTCATGAGAAGATATTTGTGTGTTTATTAGTTCCCCAGGCCAGAACTGGGAACTCCTGACCATGAGATCATTCCATTCTTTCCACACATCTCTTGCCTAGGTCCTGTTTGGCAAAGGTGTTCTGTTTGCTTAGAAACAGAGTCACGGCACACTTCTGCAGCCTCCCGTGTCTGTTGATTTAGCAGAGCAGGTTTTTTCAGTCCACATTGATCTGCAGTGTTTACCCCATGGCTTTAGTGTAGTTTGGATGCTATAATAAGCCTGAGGAGGGAGGAGGTTCTCCTTGTGATGTTGGAGGGCCTTTGCTGTGCATTCTTAGTGTCGTGCCATATCTGGCTCAGAGCCAGGCCTCACCAGGTAGCCAGCAGCACTTGGTGGCTAGAAATGTGCACTAGTGTCAGGAGAAGGGCATTGGAGCAAAGGGGCTCTCAGGGGTGGTGGGGTGAAAATAGGAACAACCACTTAGAAAACTAATTGGCAGATTAGTATGGTTGGTGATTTAGCAATCTCTCAACTAGGTATAAATCCCAAAGGAAGTGTGTCCATGTGCACCAAGAGGTGCATCTGTAGATCTTTCCAACAAGAGCGGCTGGCAAGTGCTAGAAGCAGTTGTATACAACCATAGAAAGAGTTAAATTCACCAAGGTGAAAGAACAGGCCATCTCTAACTAGCATCTTCAAACCTCTCAAGCACAGCATTATAAATTGGGCCCGGCACTGGTAACTCATGCTAGCTACCAGCTCAATCCTAGCTACTTAGGAGACTGGGATCTGAAGATTGCAGTTTGAAGCCAGCCCTAGCAGAAAAGTCCCCATAAGACTCTTTATCTCCAATTAACCACGCAAAAACCAGAATTGTCACTGTGGCTCAAGTGGTAGAGTGCTAGCCTTGAGCTCAAAGAGGCTTAGAGACAGGGCCCCAGGCCTTGAGTTCAAGCTCCACAACCAGCGAGAGAGAGAGAGAGAGAGAGAGAGATTGGTTGAGCTGGTGGTACACACCTGTAATTCTAGTACTCTAAGAGGCTGAAGAAAGAGTAGTATGTTTGAAACCAGCCTGGTTGTAAGACCCTGTCTTTGAGGGGAAAAATGCTTTGGAGATGTTAGGCCTGTGTTAGAATCCTGTTCAGCCATTTGTCTGCTATGGTGGCCCTGGATAAAATACTTATCATCTTGGAGCTTCAGTTCCTTCATCTGTAAAGCAGATCTGAACCCTCCTGTAGATACCTATACACAGAATGAGGTTCCAGGTTGCTACAAAACCTAGAACCCAGGGAAATCAACCATAGTTCATAAATAGGACTTGTCAGGAAGTATACCAGTAAGGACTGTCTTTGGCTGAAAAGTAACAAGAAACCTAGCTAGCTCTAGCCATACTGTTTGCATACTCCATTACCCCACCCACAAATCCCCAGGACAGGGTCATTGTTTGTCTCTTTTACGAAGAACAGAAAGGGCACATTGGAGGTAAGAACCAATGTGCCACAGTGAAACCAATGGAGGATATCCTTAAGAGAAGAACACAAAGGTGCAATGCCTACGTGCATCTGATCATACAAAATAATATTTATTGAAATGAACTCCAGGAAATGGAAACAAAAGGTTTTTTCTTTGTTGTTGTTGTTTTCTTTTGTCTTGTTTGTTCATTTACCTGTCTTTGGGAGAGTAAAGGGGAGGCACGGAAATGGAGGGACAAAGTACTCACTAGACACTGTGTTGAAAATGAACTATACAATGTGGGTAGGGATAAAAGCCTGGGAGATTGCAAGGGAATGGGTGACATTGTCCAAAAGAAATGTACTCATTACCTGACTTATATATCTGTAACCCCTCTGTTAGATCACCTTTATATTAACAGTGTTTTAACTTATACTTTTCATGTGTGGGGGGGTGGGGCGGATGTGAGCCCTGAACTCTGAGCCTGGGCGCTGTCCCTGAGCTCTTCAGCTCAAGGCTAGTGCTCTACCACTTGAGCCACAGCGCCACTTCTGACTTTTTCTGCTTATGTGGTACTGTGGAATCAGACCCAGGGCCTCATGCATGCAAGGCATGCACTGTACCACTGGGCCAACTTCACAGTCCTATATTAACAATCTTTAAAATTTAAAAACCAGTGTGCACTCACTGCACTGTCACTGGGCCCATTTTTGAGTCACAGAATAGGAAGTACAGACTCAAGAGGTCTGAGGTCACCTGGTTGGGATCACCAAAAGGAGGCAACAGGTTTCAGTCCTGCCTCAGCCCCAGAGTATTCTGCCCTCAGAGCGTCTAACGTCACTCCTGTGCTCAAAGCCCTGAGAGCTCCTAACCTTCCTACTCTCTCTTGAGCAGCTCATCACCCTGCGAGGCTCCATCCTCGAGGATGCCACACCCACAGCCACCAAGCATGGCACTGGACGGGGCCTGCCCCTGAAGGATGCACTAGAGTATGTAATCCCCGAGCTCAACATCCACTGCCTCCGACTGGCCCTCAACACTCCCAAGGTGACAGAGCAGCTGCTGAAGCTCGATGAGCAGGGGGTAAGTAGGGGCTTAGGGTATAGGGCTGTTGGGTGGCTGCTATATCGGTCCTTGTCACTGAATTTATTTTTGGCAGGTTAATCAGTTTCAGCAGCAGGAAAGAATCATTGTCCACTTCTAAAGAGACTAAAAGCACTATTTTCAGAGCGAAACAGCCTAGGAATGAGATGGCCGCCAGAGGTTCCTGCACATGCCATATGTATACAGGGAGAGAGGCATCTTTCCTCTCTGCCTCTGCACACTAGCTGTGGGCTTCTCCAGCCCCCAGTGTAGCTGTTGGACTTAACAACCATATGCAGACTCCACCTAGCTGAATCTTAGGGCCTCAGAGCTGCTGATTGGTCTCTACTGAAATATGGCATCTATCCCTATTACTGGGGGGTCACCCCCTAAGTAACAACCATAGCCCCAAGCCCTCCAGGTATTGCTTTGCAGGAACCTTGGCAGTGCATGTCCACTTCCTGTGGGGAGCCAGAGCTACCGGCTCTGCCTCAAGAACCACATTGCTAGCTGCCCTCTACCTGCTGAACAGAGTGGGCACCTAATCGTGCCTGGGAGGGAGGAGAGACAGACAGGACATGCTCATTGCAAAGGCAAGGCAGACCATGGTGTAAGTTCTAAGTGGTCTCATAACACTTGGGTTCAGTACCTCAGAACTCTCTGCCCTGTCCTCTCAGACCTCCCTGCCAGCCAGACCCACACAGCCCTCTTGCCTTCACAGCTGTGCCGCAAGCACAAGGTGGGCATCCTGTACTGCAAGGCTGGCCAGAGCTCTGAGGAGGAGATGTACAACAACGAGGAGGCTGGTCCTGCCTTCGAGGAGTTCCTTGACCTTTTGGGCGAGAAGGTCTGCCTGAAGGGCTTCACCAAGTATGCTGCCCAGCTGGACGTCAAGAGTAAGTGGAGGGCTTGTCATCCCAGTTCCTGAAAGGTGGAGATCTGGAGGATTGTAGTCCAGGGCCAACCCAGACAAATAGACCCTATCCAAAAAGCAAAGCAAAAAAGGGCTAAGAGTGTGACTTGAGTGGTAAAGCACCTGCCTAATAAGTGCAAAGTCCTGTTTTTCTAAACCCAGCATAACAACAGCAACAATAACAAAAGAAGGGGCAACTTAGCAGGAAGCCATCACCATATACCCACCCAATAGGCAAAAGTGAAAAGGCCTGATGCTGCTGAGGGGAAATGTGGACCGGGGGAACTCTTGGGTGCCATTGTTGGGAAGGAAGCCATTGGGGAAACCATCATAGCATGTGTCAGGAAAGTATGAGAATAGCCTCCTGCAGGACAGCAATTGTGCTGCTACACCTTATACCAGGGGTGTAGCCTATATGATAGCCACAGATACCTGTGGAGTGTGCTGTAGATGTTCATGCAGGGGACACATGCGTGCTTCTTTGTGCCTGGAGCCTTTTGTGCCACATTGTTTGTACAATTCACCCATGTTGCAACCATGCCTCACTCCTCCTGGCAGGGTATTTTCCCACAGCTTGGTATATCAGTGTGTGCTTGTCCACCCTTTGGCTAAAGGTGAGAAGATTCTCATACCCACATCCCAGGGATGTGTGATTTCTCTAGACTATGTCCTAGGATGACAGCTCTGGGTTACCAATTAAGACTATCTTCAGGTTTTCCAAAATGTTTGCATCAATTTATTACACACCTAGTCAGCCATATAAAGTGTTCTAGTTTCTCCACATCCTCACCAACCGTGGGTACTATAAGACTTTTTTAGTTTCTGTCAATGTAGTATGCATGTAATGGGAGGTAAAATTACTTCTTGTATTGAAGTGTGGATTTAAGTTTAAAGGGAAAAAAAAAAATAAAGCTAGCCAGATGGTATGTGGGATATGGCAGAAGCCCAGAGGCTCTGGAGCTGCAGTCCTAACTTGTGCTTCTGTCCCAGCTGACTCCACGGGGACTCACTCCCTCTACACAACGTACCAGGATTATGAGATCATGTTCCACGTCTCCACTCTGCTCCCGTACACCCCCAACAACAGGCAGCAGGTCAGTGGTCTCCAGCTGGCCCACACTTAGGCCCAGGACCTTCTCTACTTACCATCCTGCTCCAGTGGCTGTTTTCTGCCCATTCACCCAGTCCTGATACTGATATGTAGATCTAATGGAGGTCCTTGGTCTTGGAGAACCTTGACACCATGGCTATGCCATGTAGGAGCTAGAGACTGAGGAATGAAGATAGATGGGGAAATGATGATATCTGAAACCAGTTCATCTTTGGCTACTATGTTAGCCTCTAGCTACTCTAAATCCCTTCATCACTGTTCCTATGGAAAAGAAGAGTGAATTAGTCCCCATAAAAGTTTGACTACAAACTCAAACCAAACTGACATAAGACAAAAATGGAATTCACTGGGTTCTATCTCTCCAGTGCTCTGGGAGAGGGTTGGCTTCATGTATGGCTCAGGTGATCTTACGAATCCTTTCAAGTTCTCACCTCTGCCTTTCTTGGTAGTGGCTTTATTCACAGTGTTGCAGGAGCAACAAGGGCCGGTGTGGGAAGTTACATAGGCCACATCAGAGGCAGTGGGCCTCTGCATTGGGGAGGCCTCTGAAGCCATGCCAGAGACTTTGACTTTGTGTCTACAGAGAGGGTTTCCAGAAGGGCTCTGGGCAGGGAGGAATAGGACTTGACTCATGTTCACAGATTCTCTCCCTATTCTGATGTCCATTTACCAGTTACTGAGGAAGAGGCACATAGGGAACGACATTGTGACGATCATCTTCCAGGAGCCCGGTGCGCTGCCCTTCACCCCCAAGAACATCCGCTCGCACTTTCAGCATGTCTTCATCATCGTCCGAGCCCACAACCCCTGCACTGAGAACGTCTGCTATAGGTACAGCCAGTCCATCCTACACACGCCTACTGGCCCCCACAAGAGCTGCTCCCAGCACTCCAGCTAGGCCTGTCACATGTCCCACACTGCCTCAGAGAGTGTTCCAACCACCACAGCACAGGACTCCCTAACTCTGATAAGGAAGCCTTTGGGAATTGTGTTGGTATGGGGGATTCTGTAAGTGACAGGAAACCCACTTCAATCTGCCTGTGCACAAAAGCAGATGTGTACATCAGCTCTTCAGGATGAGGCTTGGAGGCACAGCTGGGTGTGCTCCACATTCCCTAATGGTGCCTCGTTTTCTGGCAGCTCTTGCTTAACATTTAAGCAGCTACAAATCCAGCAACAGAGAGAGAGAGAGAGAGAGAGAGAGCGCTCCTAGTTGAAAAAAAGGCCCCAATGGAGGCAGTCCAGTGGTTGCCAGGGCTTACCCCCACTACATGGACAGAGGGGAGAGGAGCCCAGGGTAATGGCCTTGAGGAAATCCAGGGGTAGAATGACCAGACAAGAGCCATCTGTGGAGGTAGAGTTTTCGTTCACAAATGACAAGTAGCAGGTCTTGAACCTGCTATGTATTCTCTCCAACATTTCTGAAGTGCTCCCCAGATTAAATGGCCATCCCCAGAGGACAAAGGGAAATCCCCCAGGGAGTAAGAGCAGGATACAGCTGTATCCTCAGCCATACCCACTTAGCACTCAGGCCCAGATCATCAACTTGTCCCTGTAGACTGGGAAATGGGGTAGGATGCACTGTTTTCTATCTTTCAAAGATAGTTTTTGAAACTGAAAAGATAAAAGAGTGAAGAAGAATGTCTCTCCAATCACCTAGATGCTCTCACAGATGCAGCCATGGTGGCTGTTTCTGTGTGTCCTGAGTCCTGGGCCAATATGTGGACACACCTCCTCCACCTTAATACATTTGTACCACGGTGCACACTGTCCTGCATCTTATTAATAACTGTAGAACATTCCATTGTGGGGATATGTGATAATCTGTGCCCTCCACTGATGGGCATTGGGGCTGTTTCTGCATTCATTGCACATGCGACCAAGCATGCGGCTGTAGGATCAATTCCCACAGCAGAAGCGCTGGGTCAAAGGTAGGTATGTTTGTGCACTGCTAATCTTGGTAAAAGTACTAGGTGTCAGAGAGAAGAGGGGTCTTCCAACCTGCAGCCCATGCTTATGAGCAACACTGCTGGACACATTGCCCAGTGGCTTCTAGGGATGGCACGTTGTGACATCTACAGGCACATCCAAGGCCACCTCTCTCCCAGTCCATCCATTCCTGGACATAGGGCAGTAGTTACAGAATGCTGGCTGCTTGAACAGGATAGATGGCAGAGATTAAAGGTACAACTATTCCTTGGCAGCTGACAGCCCTGGTAAGGGAGAATGGGAGTTGTTGCACACCATGGAAGAGAAGGCAGTACCTGTGTCACAGATGAGGAGTTGAGTTAGCCTTCTCCCATCCTTGCTGTTTACTCTATTTCCCTCCTAACTGACACTCCTGGCAGCCATTTCTCTAAAACCTGCCTCTGCTTGGTCTTGGGGATGACCGTCTTTCTGATGCACAAACTTTTTCTGGTTTTTTTTTTTTGGGGGGGGGGGTCCGGTCATGGGGCCTGAACTCTGGGCCTGGGCGCTGTCCCTTAGCTCTTCAACTCAAGGCTAGCGCTCTACCACTTGAGCCACAGCTTCACTTCCGGCTTTTTTCTTTTTTCTTATGTGGTGCTGAGGAATCGAACCCAGGGCCTCATGCATACAAGGCAGGCACTCTACCACTGAGCCACCTTCCCAACCCCCTTTTTCTGTTTTTTTATATTTAATATGAGAGAGTTTTATTGCCAGGTATATTATAGGAAGGCATATCCAGAGGCAAGAGAATTAGGAGTTCCAAGCAGCTGGGACTACATAGGGATCCCCTATCTCAAAAAAAAACTTTAAAAGAAAAAAGAAAAGGAAAAAAAAAGATATATTATGTAATACTTTAAACACTTTGAAAAGTACAGAAAATAATGTAACAGACACCCATGTGCCCACCACCAGATGTTAACATTTTGCCTTACTTGCTTCAGCTTTCTTTCTTTTCTTTATTTCTAAAGAAAGAAATGTCAGTGATACAACCAGAGCTGCCCCTCACCCATTCTCTGAGCAGACCCAACTGAGTGCTGGGCCCCACTACATCCAGGCTGGTTTAATCCTCTGCCCTCCTCCTGCACCCAGTGAATTTCTGATTATTCTTCAAGACTGAACAAGACAGGTTTCTGGCACATTCCATAAGCTCTTGCCAAACATACTTCTACCACAGTTCTTACCACCCCACCATCCATACCATTTGCTAGTGTGGCCTTGCCTCTCTAGCCAGGCACTTGGCGTCATATTTGCCTTCCCTTATCTATTGTGGGAGAGTGGTGGGCACATAGTGAGCCCTGAAATGCCTGACTTGTGCCAGGCATTTCATTATAGTGTTACACCTCTAATCCTAGCTACTCAGGAGGCTGAGATCTGAGGATCATGGTTTAGAGCCAAGCCTGGACAGGGAAGTCTGTGAAACTTGTCTCCAGTTAACCACCAAAAAGCCAGAAGTAGAGCAGTGGCTCAAGTGGTAGAACTCCAGCCTCAAACAAGTCAGGCAAATCCAAAAAAACACATTTTATTTGTATTGCCTGAAGTATTGTTTTATCTGTGGACTCTTTTTTTTTTTTAAAGACAGAGTCTGACTAGTCCAGGCTTACCTTGAATTCACTATATAGCTAGGCTAGCATTGGACTTGTGACCCTTCTGTCTGCCTTCTGAATGCTGGGAAGGTAGGTATGCCACTCCAGGTTTAACCCAGTCTATTCATTGAAAAACTTTCCTTGCGGAGGAGGAGCAGTAGGAGCTCTCAGTACTCACAGGCTGAGGTTTCCATAGAGGACAAATAAAATATTTCAGCACCTGAAGGATGTGGCTTGTTCTTTACACCAACTTACACACATGCAGGGTAAGCATTCTGAAAGCTATCTTCCCCTGACCTTGGCTGAATACCCTAGCAGGTTCCTTGACCTTTCTGTTCACTTTTAGAAATGGTCTGCCCAGGGGCTGGGAAGGTGGCTCATGGTAGAGTGCTTGCCTTGTATGCATGAAGCTCTGGGTTCAATTCCTCGCACCACATAAGCAGAAAAAAAAAAGCCAGAAGTGGCTCTGTGGCTCAAGTGGTAGAGTGCTAGTTTTAAGCTGAAGAGCTGAGGGGCAGTGCCCAGGCCCAGAGTTCAGGCCCATGACCGGACCCAAAAAAAAAAAAAAGAAAGAAAAGAAATGGTCTGCCTGGGGCTGGGAAGGTGGCTCAGTGGTAGAGCGCTTGCCTTGTATGCATGAAGCCCTGGGTTCGATTCCTCATCACTACATAAGCAAAAAGAAAAAAGCCGAAAGTGGCACTGTGGCTCAAATGGTTGAGCACTAGCCTTGAGCAGAAGAGCTCAGGGGTAGTGCCCAGGCTCAGAGTTCAGCCCCCACAATCGGGGGGACAGGGGGAGGGAGAGTGATGGTCTACCCAAAGACACGCGTGTGTGTGTGTGTGTGTGTGTGTGTGTGTGTGTGTAAAGAAAACTCCTACTTTTGATCTGACCTTTTTTTTTGAAGATCTTAGTGCTTTTCTTTCCATGTCTTAATAACTTCTCCCTTCTCAGCATGGCGGTGACCCGATCCAAAGATGCTCCTCCTTTTGGCCCCCCTATTCCCAATGGAACCACATTCCGCAAATCTGATGTCTTCAGAGACTTTTTGCTGGCCAAGGTGATTAACGCTGAAAATGCTGCACACAAGTCTGACAAGTTCCACACCATGGCCACCAGGACCCGCCAGGAGTACCTCAAGGACCTGGCTGAAAACTGTGTCTCCAACACCCCCATCGACTCCTCTGGCAAGTTCAACCTCATCTCCCTGACCTCCAAGAAGAAGGAGAAGACAAAAGCCCGGGCAGGCGCTGAGCAACACAGTGCAGGGGCCATCGCTTGGCGGGTAGCAGCTCAGGACTATGCCCAGGGGGTAGAAATCGACTGCATTTTGGGAATTTCCAATGAGTTTGTGGTGCTCCTGGACCTACGCACCAAGGAAGTAGTGTTCAACTGCTACTGTGGGGATGTCATTGGCTGGACCCCAGACTCCTCAACACTGAAAATCTTTTATGGCCGAGGGGACCACATCTTCCTACAGGCCGCAGAGGGCTCTGTGGAGGACATAAGGGAAATTGTCCAAAGACTGAAGGTAAGAGGGAAGGCTCAGCAGTGGTGTACCAGTTCCCATGGTTGGCAGTGGCCTCTGAAAATACATTCCTCCATTCAGTCAGTCTGGGACAAGTCGGCCCCAAGAAAGTCAGAATTGTCCCACTGTAGGTATGGTGAGGCCTACTTCCAGGAGAAGGTGTAGGCCAGAGAGCTATGGCTTTCCATGCCTTCACCTCAAAAGGACAGAAGGCATGCTTATTGATCCTAGAGTTGATAGGAAATACAAGTTTAAACTTAGGTTAAAAATGTAAGTGGTAGCCGGGCACTGGTGGCTCACACCTGTAATCCTAGCTGCTCAGGAGGCTGAGATCTGAGGCTCATGGTTCAAAGCCAGCCTGGCAGGAAAGGCTGTGGGACTCTTATCTCCAATAAACAACTCAGAAAACTGGAAGTGGCTCTTTGGCTCAAGTAGTAGAATGCTAGCCTTGAGCTGAAGAGCTGAGGGACAGCTCCCCAGCTCAGAATTCAAGCCCCACTATCAACAACAAAAAAAATGTAAGTGGTAAACCAGGCACCAATGGCACATGCCTATAATCTTGGCTACTTAAGAAGCTGAGATCTGAGGATCACGGCTCAAAGCCAGCCCAGGCAAGAAAGTAAATGGGATTTTTATCTCCAATGAACCACCAGAAAGCCAGAAGTAGAGCTGTGGCTCAAGTGGTAGAGTACCTCCCTTGAACACAAAAGCTCAGGGACAGCACCCAGGCATTGAGTTCAAGCTACAGGACTGGCATACACAAAAAAGCTCACTGGTAGTTGGGCATGGTGGCTCATGTAATCCTCAGCTATTTGGGAAGATAAGGAGGATTGTGGTTCCAAGCCAATCTAGACAAAAAATTTTATGTATCACATCTCAACAGGAAAAGCTGGGCATGGTGGTATACACTGTCATCTCGTCTATATCAGAAAACATAAATGGGAGGATTGCATTCTAGGCCTGCTTAGGCAAAAAGCAATAGCCTATCTCTAGAACAATAAGAACAAAAAGTTAAAGGTGTGAGGCGGGCACTGGTGGTTCACACCTGTAATCCTAGCTACTCAGGAGGCTGAGATCTGAGGATTGCGGTTCAAAGCCAGCCCAAGCAGGCAAGGCCGTGAGACTTATCTCCAGTAAACCACCAGAAAACTGGAAGTGGCGCTGTTGCTCAAGTGATAGAGTGCTAGCCTTGAGCCGAAGAGCTGAAGGACAGCGCCCAGGCCCAGAGTTCAAGTCCCACGACCAACAACAAAAAAAAAAGTTAGGGCTGGGAAGGTGGCTCAGTGGTAGAGCACTTGCCTTGCATGCCTGAGGCCCTGGGTTCGATTCCTTAGCACCACATAAGAAAAAATTCGGAAGTGGTGCTGTGGCTCAAGTGGTAGAGCGCTAGCCTTGAGCTGAAGAGCTGAGGGACAGCACCCAGGCCCCAGAGTTCAGGCCCCACGACCGGACCCCCCAAAAAAAAAAAGTTAAAGGTGTGGCTCAAGCAGTGGAGTACCTGCTTAGCAAACCCTGAGTTCAAACCACAGTACTGTGCCCCCCCCCAAAAAAAAACGAACCCTGAAAAAAAGAAACCTAGGACTGGGGATGTCAGTCAAATGTCAAGCAAGCTGCTGCTCCTTCCGTCCTGTCAGGTCTTCTGTCTCTTAGAGGCCAAGTCCATCCTTCCTATATCAGAAGGTCAGAAGCCTCAGCATCAGACTAGGCTCCTCTTGCTCTGGTACCCACAGCCCATCTACCAACTTCACCTCCCTAGGCAGCCTCAGCTGCTGCTTCTCCTCCTGATGCCTCCACCCTAGTAGGAGCTGCCCTTCTCTCTCTCAGATTTTTTCCAGAGCCTTCTGCCGTGGTATTCCCCACATGGGACTCAGTGATCTGATCCCCTACCTCCTGTGCTCCACCCAGAGTCTTCACCACAACTCTCATTTCTTGAGCGGGGACCATGCCAGGCCCTGTGCCAGGTTTCATGGTTTACCCACATCCTGTCAGTCCTACTCTGTCCCATGCCCACCCCCGTGCCTACTGTTAGCACAGTCCTTTCAGAGCTCTCTGCAATAGCCATCCCCCATCCCCAGTCTCAGTACCTCCAAGCTTACTGAGGAACCCAACAGTGGCATGGGCCATCCCCTGTGAAGCCCAGGCCATCTTTAACCCTATAACATCCTCCATGTGTGCCATCCACATCCTGCTGTGGACCCTGAACGTCCCCCAAGCAACCACATCCCTTCATCTGTTAGTCATATAGCCCAGGGATCAGCGATGTTTGGATACAATGATCACCCTAACAGCCCAGGCCTGCCTTCATGGGTCTGCCATCCCAGGTAGACATTAAGACAAGCGGTAAATGCCAAGAGGTTAAAAGGAAGGTGTTGAGCAGCTGTGGGTGAAACTCAGTGACAGAGCATACACTTAGCATGTACAAGGCCCTGGTGCCACCTCCAATAACACCATCAACAACAAAAAAGGGTGTTGAGAATGTCAGGAGAACCTCCTGTAGAGAACTAAATTAGGTAAGGACAGGTTCAATCCACGGCCAAGCTAAAGCCTCAGACATAGATAGATAGCCAAGCTTAACAGAGTTTACCATGAATCTGGCTTCTGACAAAAACGGAGGAGTCTGACTTTCTTAAGCCCACATTCACTAGTAGGGTGATAGGTGCCCCCTTCAGATGGAACTCAAAATACACCATTTGGCTCTAACACCCACAGTTCACATCCCTGCTGACATTGTTCCCAAGCTTGTGGGAGGGCCACGCTGAGATGAGTAAGAGTTATCCTAATGAAGAAAGAGGGGGCCTTGTTTATAAAGAAAGAAGTACAGATGAGCGCTGGTGGCTCACACCTCTAATCCTAGCTACACATGAGACTGAGATCTCAGGATCACAGTTCGAAGCCAGCCCAGTCAGGAAACCCTGTGAAGCCCTTATCTCCAGTTAATTACCAAAAAAGCCAAAAAATGGAGCTATAGATCATGTGGTAGAGAGATAACCTTGAGAAAGACGCTCCAGGGCTGGCACCAGGAGGGGGGGGGGGGGGAGAGCTATACATGCATTGTAATGAGCAAAGTGCACATAAGTGGGATCAGCATTGAATGGGCCTAGCCTAGTGCCTGACACACATCAGCCCCACAGAATGTGCTTGGGCAGGGTGGCAGCAGGAGGGAGCACATTTTCTGTCCAGAATCCAGGAGCCTGAGCTGGGACCAGGTGATGCTCGCCCCCTATGGCCTTCTGGCGCCACCTAGGACCGACAGGAGTCAGCAAGGGTTTAATCTCAGGCATCCTGATAAGGACCCTCCAGAGGTGGTAACCAAACAGCTGAGCCCCCCTCCTGCCTGTGACCCTCAGGTGATGACCAATGGCTGGGAGACAGTGGACATGACCCTTCGGCGGAATGGGCTGGGGCAGCTGGGCTTCCATGTGAAGTACGACGGGACGGTGGCTGAGGTGGAGGACTATGGGTTTGCCTGGCAGGCTGGCCTCCGGCAAGGTAGCCGACTGGTGGAGATCTGCAAGGTGGCTGTGGTCACACTGACACATGACCAGATGATTGACCTGCTGCGCACCTCTGTTACTGTAAAGGTGGTCATCATCCCACCTTTCGAGGATGGTACACCTCGAAGGTAAGGGCATTGCCCTGGGTGGTGGAAAGCTCAGAGCTTTGGTGGCCTGGCCACCAAAAGGCTGTAGTACAAGGGACTAGATGACTGGGCAGGGGAGATGGTGATGGTGATGGCATAAGAGTAGACACCTGTGTGCAGCTTCCCGCTCTAAGCTCTTCATATGTGCACTATTACATATCACGTCCACAGTATCCCCTTAAGCCCAGCCTTGGGTCTTCCCAGCAGAGCCAGTACGTGTGCCAGCTAGGTCTGAAGGGAGGAGTCATGGACTGCTCTGTATCTATTTCAAGGCTCTGGATCTTGTAGCTTTTTTTTTTTAACCACTCTGCAAAGTAGGTCACCTGCTCCTCTTCCAGCAGCCTTTGAGATTCTCTAGAACAAGACAGAGACTGTCCTTTGATTCAGAGGGCATCTGCCTTTCCTGCCTAAGTACTGCTCAGGGGGGCCAGGCTGATGCTTAGGGGTACTGGCCAACTGGAGGCCTGGGCCGGAAAGGGGAGGGGCCAGGAGGAAGGGAGATGAGAAACAGGTCTGGCTGTCACAACTCCTGTATTGGGCCCTGTCCTAGAACTCTGAGCTGCTAAGTTTCAGGCTCTAATTTAAAGGTTACCTTTAAATAGGCCATCATGGCTCAGAATTGGCCAGCAAAACCTAGCCCAGTATAGACAAGGCCCCTCCTTGGCATCAGGCCTATGTGCTGGTTGCTTGGAGCCTCCTAGTAATGAAGTTCTTCCTAGGGGGTGGCCGGAGACCTATGACATGAACACCTCGGAGTCCAAGGCTGAGCCAGAAAGCACCACTCCTGGGGGCCGGCCCCCCTATCGCAGCAATGCACCCTGGCAGTGGAGTGGGCCTGCATCCCACAACTCCCTGCCAGCCTCCAAGTGGGCCACCCCAGCCACTCCTGGTCATGCCCAGTCCCTGAGTCGGCTCCCGAAGCAAACGTCCATGGTCCCCTTCCGGGAGTCGCAGCCACTGCACAACAAAAGGTAAGAATCCTCAGAGGGAATCCCCATCACCCCATCTCCTACCCACCACAGCTGTCCTTCACCTCTCCTTCCTGTATTCTGTTCTCTTTTCAGTCAGTCCACCTGCCCTCTTACCCTTCTGCCTCTTTGAGCCTTCTCCTTCCCTCCTTTCTCCCTCCCTCCCACCCTCTTTCCTTCATTTCCTTCCTTCCTTCCTTCTTTTCTTCCTTCCTTCACTCCCTCCCTCCTTAAACTTGAAAAGGGCCTGGGTCTCAGGTTGGAATTCTCTCATGCCAAGTGTATTAGAGTTCACCTAAAGGATAAGCACAAATTGTAGGACAGTGACTTCTTAGGGGCAGTGGAGGAATGAAGACCCCAGCTGGCATCACTACCCTCATCCATTCCTTGGAATAAGTGATTACTTTGGAGAGTTCGATGATGATGGTATTTAATCCCAAGCATGCTCTTGAATACATTCTATATTAAAAGATAAAGAGGGCTAGAGGTATGGTTCAGAGGAAGAATCTGGATTCTGTCCCCAGTGACTCCAACTGGCAGAGGGCCATTTTGTCCCAAGAAAGGGACAAGAACCAGCCTTTGAAGCCCTTGCAGAAACTGGGCTTAGGCTGGCCACTGAGCCAGGAAGAGAGGCTCTTTGAAGACTAGAGAAGTCCTCCCCTCACCATGCTGTGTTCCTCTCTTCCAGGCCTGTCAGCTTCCCAGAAACTCCATACACAGCATCACCAGCAGGGGCCGACAGAGTCCCTCCCTACCGACAACCTTCTGGGAGCTTCTCCACCCCCGGCTCAGCCACCTACGCCAGATACAAGCCATCCCCAGAAAGGTCAGAATCTCTTCTTGTTAAGAATGTGGAATCTAATGGAAACTATGAATCCTTCTTCTCCAGGAAATCCATTCCCACAACTTTATTTTTCATTTGATATGATGTTTCTTTACTTAAGCTCATCAGAAGACTCCCAGAGGGTCTGACATTTAATGTTTCACATGAAAATTTCGAGCAGAGCTGTGGCTTAAGTAGTAGAGCACCAACCTTGTGTGAAAAAGCTAAAGGAGAGCATGAGGCCCTGAGTTCAAGCCCCAATGGTAGCACAAAAAAAAAGAAGCTTCACCCAGGCATGGTGGCTCACGTCTGTAATCCTAGTTACCCAGGAGGCTGAAATCTGAGGATTGAGGTTCAAAGCCAGCCTGGGCAGGACTGAGACTCTTTATCACTGGTCAGCCAGCAAAAAACTAGCAGTGGTTCCGGTAGTAGAGTGCCAGCCTTGAGTGTGAAAAGCCAAGCAAAAGCACAAGCCAGGCATGGTGGCAAAGAACTCTGATACCAGCATTTATAAGGCTAGGGTGGGAGGACCAACAGTTTGAGTTTGGCCTGAGCTGTATGGCAAAACTATGTCTCAAAAATAAAAAGGGAGGGGCTGGGAAAGTGACTCAGTGGTAGCATACTTGCCTGGCATGCATGAGGTTCTGAGTTCAATTCCTCAGCACCACATAAGCAGAAAAAGCTGGAAATGGTGCTGTAGCTCAAGTGGTAGAGTGCTAGCCTTGAGCTGAAGAGCTGAGGGACAGCGCCCAGGCCCAGAGTTCAGGCAGGCCCCACCACCCACAAAAATAAATAAATAGGAATAGAAAATTTCAGTAATACCGGCCATGGCTTTTACTTAGAAGCCATCAGTGCTCCCATGCACACACGTAGTTCTGGGCAGTTTTATCACAAGCATCGCCACAAGACTCCTTATGTTCTATTCATAGCTACTGCATTGGTAACCCTTGGAAGCCATTTATCTATGCTCCATCTCTTAGCTGTGGTTAATGAATGTTACGTGAAAGGGATCTAGTATTGTTTTCTTCACTAAGCACAAGGTCCTTGAGGTTCATCCATGTTGTTTCAGGTATCATTGTCAGCTCTTACTGAGTTTGTAACTGTGGTATGGATATACCACAGTTTAGCCCCTCATCCCCTTGGAAGATATTTGGATGCTGAGTGTATGCTGTCACAAATATTCATACTATGAACAGTACCTCAGGCATACAAGTTTCTGTAAGAAAATAAGTTTTCATTTGGGATAAATGCCCAAGAGTACAATTGCTTACCATATGGTAAGTCCATTTTATATTCCCACCAGCAGCGTATGAATGATCCAGTTTCTCCACATTCTCACTACCATTTGGTGTTGTTGCTATATTTCATTTTAGCTATTCTGATGGGTTTGTGGTGACATGTCATTGTGGCTTGAATTTGCATTTTTCTGATGGCTAACGAAGTAGAACATTTTTTCGTGTGCTAATTTGCCATCTATTTATCATCTCCCTCGAAATCTCTATGCATATCTTTTGCCCATTTCTTTTCTTCCAAGACTGGAACTCGAACTTGCTATCTGAGTTGTGAGTTCAATATTGCACAGACTTTCTTGTACAGGCTGGCTTTGAAACATGATCCTCAGCTCTCAACCTCCTGAATAGCTAGGATTACAGGTGTAAGCCAGCAGTGCCCATCTTATTTTCTCCCAGTCTTTATCTTTTTTTCTCCTATTCACAAGATTTTATTTTCAGATAGATACATGGATAATTTTTTTTCCTGTCTCTCCTGGGGATCAAACGTAGGGCTTCATGTTTACTAGACAAGCAGTGTTCCACTTGAGCCCTTCTACTTTTAGTTTGTTTTTCAAGCAGGATCTTACTTTGCATTTCTAGAGTAGCTTGGATTATAGTCATGTACTACACTCCACAGCCTTTTTTTTTTTTCATCTTTATGGGATTTTCTTAGACTAAAACTTCTTAATTTTGATGTGGTTCAAAGTTCCATTTATTTTCCTATTGTGAAGCATGTGTTTAGAGTTATCTAAATCTCTGCCTAGTGCTAGGTCAGATTTCCTTGTGTGTTTCTGTTTTGTTTTGTTTTCCTTAAAGGCTTTACTGTTAGACATTTAGGTTCTTGATCTATTTTAAGCTGGCTTTTGTCAGGTGAAAGGTTTGAGATGAGGTTCTTTTTTTTTTTTTTGCCTCTGGATACCTGATTTGGTCTGGCACCATTTATTAGGAACTGGCTTCCACTATATTACTTTTGCTCTTTAAAGCAAAAATTGCGTGTGGGCTAAAGTAGTGGTGCATGTACCTAATATGTGCAAAGCCCTGCAAAAAAAAAAAAAATCCAACCGTGCAAAAAAAAATTGTTTTAGGGGCTGGGCATGCATGAGGCCCTGGGTTCAATTCCTCAGCACCACATAAGCAAAAAGAAAAAAAAAGTCAGAAGTGGCACTGTGGCTCAAGTGGTAGAGTGCTAGCCTTGAGCTGAAGAGCTGAGGGACAGCGCCCAGGCCCAGAGTTCAGCCCCCACGACCAGACCCAAAAAAAAAAAAAAAAAAAAATTGTTTTAGCCGGGCACCGGTGGCTCACATTTATAATCCTAGCTACTCTGGAGGCTGAGATCTGAGGATCAAGGTTCAAAGCCAGCCCAGGCAGGAAAGTCTGTGAGACTCTTATCTCTAATTAACCACCAGAAAACCAGAAGTGGCGCTGTGGCTCAGGTGGTAGAGTGCTCGCCTTGAGCTGAAGAGCTGAGGGACAGCATGCAGGCCCAGAGTTCAAGCCCCACGACCAACCCCCCTCCAAAAAAAAAATTGTTTCAATTAATAGGGGGGAAGGGGCTGGAGGTATTGCTCAAGCCATGTAGAGCATCTGCCTAGCAAGTGGGAAGCCCTGAATTTAAATGCTGGTGCAGCCAAAAGAAAAGAGGAGGAGGACTAATGGGCCTCTTTCTCTGCACCGGTTTGCAAGTCCACCCCATCCATCTATGGGCTTGATCTTGGAGTCCTCCCAGCAGCTCCAGGAGGCTGCTGACTTACCTCATTTTAGAGGGGAAACTGAGGTTCAGCAACGCAACATCTCTTAGCTGAGGTCACTGTTTCCATAAGCAGAGTTGATGAAAACCTGGGCTTGTGATCCTACAGGGTTATCCTGACCCCCAAAACTGTCCTGTCTGAAGCCAGTCTCCAGTGGCTCATGCCTGTAATGCTAGCTACTCATGATGCTGAGATCTGAGGATCATGTATTAAAGCCAATAAACCACTAAAAAACCAGAAGTGGTGCTGTGGCTCAAGTGGTAGAGCACTTGCCTTGAGCTGAAGAAAGCAGGGACAGCACCCAAGCCCAGAGTTCAAGCCCCACCACTGACCAAAAAAAAAAACAAAACAAAATTGTCCTGCCTGCCCCAAGGACTCAGCTCTCCCAGATCAATGATCTTTGGAGCCCCAGCTCTGACTCAAGGCAAACTGGACACAGGGAGGCATTCACACACACAATGCACCCCATGGCATAGAGAAAGAACCTCGGTGGCACATGAACCACAGGGAAAGCCCTCTGCCACCACCTCCCTTAGATTTTGGCCTTCCTTGGGTTGGGGGAGGGGGGAGATATGGAGCCTTCTTCTAGCAGGATCTCTGTCTGGGGACAGCTTTGGTGACTCCCACTCACCAGTCCCAAAGGCAGATGATGCCTAACATCTTTTTTCATAGAAAAATTCAGCTCAAATCAATGGGCACTTGCCTGAAAGGGACACAGATTGCTCTTCTGTGGGCTGATTGTCACCACTCATAGTGCCATGTGTCAGCCCTGACTGAGTGCTGTGACAAAGGCCTGCTGGGATGACCTCTTGACAACCAGGGAAACTGAGGCTAGGAAGAAAGTGACCACACCTGGTTTGATAAGGGGCAGTGGTGAGCTGGGAACCACAACCTACCCAGCTGTCTGACCCAGCCTGCTCCCTCAGAGAGAAAGAGAACCTGGGGTGGTAGCTCCTGGCAGGCCAGGTAACTCACCCATCCTATAGCCTGTGTCCAGGGCACCAAGGGCAGGGATGTAGACCCAAGTGATTCTTGAGTCCTCTTTCCTCAAGGAACCTACAGTGCCCTGTGCTCCTGCTGACGCCGCTTTCACTGGCAAGCTTCCCAGGCGAGCCTCATCCTGAGCCTCAGTTAATAGCAATTTCCAGGCTTGCTCAGACAGCCTTGCCAGCCGGCTTGTCACCCCAGTCCACAGCGGAGCCACTGCCGAGCAAGTCATAGGCGCCTGTGGTTTTGACACTGACCTGTGCTTGTGTCCCTTTGCTCCCTGCAGGTATGCTGCCGCCCCGCACCCACTGCTTTCCTTTGATCCACACTTTAGCCACGATGGGATGTCCAGTGGTGACTCCTCCTCGGGCGGCCTGACCAGCCAGGAGAGTACCATGGAGCGCCAGAAACCAGGTAGGTCCCCTGAGCCCCAGCCACTCTCTTATTCAAGGTTTGAGAGGTGACATCCCCTCCCAGCCTGCCTGGCTTTGGGTTCCATTGAATGTCAAATCATGCTGTATATATTTTGCACTGTGAATCTGGCTTCTCTTGCTGTGTCTCTTCTTATTTCTTTTTTCTTCTTTCTTGTCCTCCTTCTCCTTTACCTCCTTTTCCTTTAATTCTCCTTCTTCATGTCCATGACCAGGATTCAAACTCTTGACCTAATTATTTCCAATCACTGGCTGACACTCCACCACATGAGCCATGCCTCCAACCTCCTGAATCTTTTTCTTTTTTTTTTTTTCCTTTTTTCTTTTTTTTTTTTTTGCCAATCCTGGGGCTGGAACTCAGGGCCTGGGCACTGTCCCTGAGCTTCTTTTGCTCAAGGCTAGCACTATACCACTTGAGCCACAGCGCCACTTCCGGCTTTTTTTTTTCTTTTTGCTTTTGTGGTGCTGAGGAATCAAACCCAGGGCCTCAGGTATGCAAGGCAAGCACTCTACCACTGAGCCACCTTCCCAGCCCATCTGCCTCTGTTTCTTAAAGAACATTTTTTTCCTAGGAGTAGAACTGCTCCATCAGGATCAGGTGTTTCACTATCTTTTAAAGAAACTGCCACACACCATTTCCCCAAGTGATGAAGCCATTTACTGCTCTCACTAACAACATAGTTATAGTGTTGTGACAGGGTCTCCTTATGTGCCCTGGACTCATTGTGTGTATCCTAGGCTGGCCTCAAACTAGCAGTCCTCCTGCCTTGGTCTCTTAAGTGCTGGTTTGATATTTTAATTTGTGGGGCTGGGAAGGTTGCTCAGTGGTAGAGCGCTTGCCTTGCATGCTCGAGGCCCTGGGTTCGATTCCTCAGCACCATATAAGCAAAAAGAAAAAAGCCGGAAGTGGTGCTGTGGCTCATGTGGTAGAGCACTAGCCTTGAGCTGAAGAGCTGAGGGACAGTGCCCAGGCCCAGAGTTCAAGCCCCACAACCGGACCCCAAAAAAAAAAATTACTTTTCAGCTAGGGTCTCATGCTTTAATCTAGGGTTGACCTTATTGTAATCTCCCTACCTATATCTTCTATGATGCTGGGATGACAGGCGGGTACCACCATTCTGGCCTAATTTGCATTTTGCTAATCAATGATAGGATTGAGCAACTTTTCATGTTTATTGTCACATATATAAATTTGTTGATTGTGTGCACACAATACTTACATATACATTTGAAGCCTGAGAATTCCAGAGGAATGGATAGAGTGAACACAAAAGATGATGCATTGCCCTGGGAGAGGAAGATCTGGAGAGCTCCTGTTGGGGGATGTGAGGATATTCAGACAGCCAGGATGGTACCCATGGGTACCTCATCAGCTCCCCAGCACAGTGCTTCATAGCCCAGGATTTACCAGCCTGGAGAATTTCCTGGCAGAGCTTAGGTACTATCTCTTAGCTTTTTCACTCCAGGCTGGCTCTCTACCACTTGAGCCACAGCTCCACTACTGGCTTTTTGTTGGTTAATTGGAGATAAGAGTACTCTAGACTCCTCTACCTGGGATTTCTTTTTTTTTTTTTTTTTTTGGCGGGGGGGGGGGGGGGGGGAGGTAGGGGGGGGTCCAGTCGTGGGGCCCGAACTCTGGGCTTAGGCGCTGTCCCTCAGCTCTTCAGCTCAAGCCTAGCGCTCTACCACTTGAACCACAGCACCACTTCGGGCTTTTTTCTTTTTGTTTATGTGGTGCTGAGGAATTGAACCCAGAGCCTCAGGCATGCAAGGCAAGCGCTCTACCACTGAGACACCTTCCCAGCCCTCTACCTGGGATTTCTTTGAACCATAATCCTAAAATCTTAGCCTTCTGAGTAGCTAGGATGACAGGCATGAGCCTCCAGCGCTGGTCGGCCCATGGTTCTTGACTTCATGCAAATAGGTCTGGCTCATGTTCCTGCTGTCCTGCTGCTGGTGGGGGCCTGAGGGTACCGCTTGCTCCTTCTCAGAGGGCTCAGCACTGCCTGCAAGTCTCCCATCTCAGCTGTTAGACAGATTTGGATCTTTCTCTTTTTTCCACTCAGTTCAGGAAAAGAGAAAAGTGTTACTTGGCTGTTTCATTATACCAGAGTGTAAAATGGAGAGGACATTTTCCAGCACTCCATGGACCTCAGATAGGTGTCACAGAAACTGATGATTGTCTTCCCTTTTCCTCCCTCTGTCTCCTTGAGTTCAGTTCCTCTCACTTAGAACTTTTTTATAAAGTAACCAATCCCTTCACACACACACACACACACACACACACACACACACACACACACACTTTAGGAGAATCTATGCTTAGAAATCATCAGGAAGTCTAGACTCAGCTAAGGATAGATGAAGGATGGATGGCAAAGATCAAAGGCCGTGGACAGAAACAAGGCTTTGCCCTGCACAGGTCAAGTGAACAGGATTATCAGCAACCTGGTTTTGTGTGACTGTCATGTACCCAGCATTGTTCTGTGTATTGTACATTCCTTCCTTCTGAAAAGTAGTAGGATGTTTGTTATGATTCCATTTTGGGGTACTGGAAATGGTGGTGCATACCTGTAATCACAGCAACTCAGGAGGATGGCAGTAGGAGGTGAAAAAGTTATTGAGACCCCATCTCAACCAACAAACCAGGTGTAGTGGTTTGTGCTTGTAATCTCAACTGTGAGGGAGGCCTAAGTAGGTGGTCCAAAGGTAGCCATAGGCAAAAAAAACTAAAGCAGAAAGGGCCAGGGGCATGGCTCGAGTGCTAGAGTGCCTGCCTAACAAGCACAAGGCGCTAAGTTCAAATCGCAGTAGTACCACTAATTTGGATTCGTTAAATTATATACATTTTCCATCAAAGGATTGCTGCCTTACATATGCAAAAAACTCTCACTGGGCGTTGGTGGCTCACACCTGTTCCTAGCTACTCAGGAGGCTGAGATCTGAGGATCACAGTTCAAAGCCAGCCCAGGCAGGAAAGTCTGTGAGACTCTTATCTCCAGTAAACCACTCAGAAAACCTTAAGTGGCCCTATGGCTCCAGTGGTAGAGCACTCGCCTTGAGCTAAAGAGCTGAGGGATAGTGCCCAGAGTTCAAGCCCCACGACAAAAACAAAACAAAATAAAAAATAAAAACCTCTAGTAGCCAATAAGATAATAGATAATTGAAGTGGCACTGTGGCTCAAGCGGTAGAGCGCTCGTCTTGAGCTGAAGAGTGCAGGGGCAGCGCCCAAGCCCAGAGTTCAAGCCCCACCACCAACTTAAAAGATAATAGATAACTGGTCCCATAGAAGAATGAAGGAGGGAGATGGACAAGGACAAGTAATTTACAAAAGAAAAAAATCTCCCAGGTCAGTGAGACTGGAATTGTGCTGGGCCTCCTCATTTGGGGATGGTGGTGGATTGTATGTTGTTTTTTTTTTTTTTTTTTTTTGGTCCGGTCGTGGGGCCTGAACTCTGGGCCTGGGCACTGTCCCTCAGCTCTTCAGCTCAAGGCTAGCACTCTCCCACTTGAGCCACAGCACCACTTCTGGCTTTTTTCTTTTTGCTTATGTGGTGCTGAGGAATCGAACCCAGGGCCTTATGCATGCAAGGCAAGCGCTCTACCACTGAGCCACCTTCCCAGCCCTGATGGATTGTATGTTGTTAAACGATTGAATCTGCAGAGGGCTCTTGGGTTGGTGCCTGGGTACAGTAAGTGCTCAGCGAATGTTGGCTGCTTCTGAGTGTGCTGTACCCCATGGCTTAGGTTGGTGGGGTTATACCCTGGGTAAGCAGGCTGGCCAGAGGGGTGGGACATGAAACCATATTTACAACCCAGTTATTGTCTTTTCAGACCCTGGCCTGTGTCACCCCCTAACCACTGCTGTGTCTCTTGTTGTCCTGCAGAGCCTTTGTGGCATGTGCCAGCCCAGGCCCGGCTCTCAGCCATGGCGGGAAGCAGTGGGAGCAAGCACACCTCCAGGCAGGATGTGGCAGGCAAAGATTCCCCCAACAGGCATTCCAAAGTGAGTCCCGAATCCCGTCTCCCCTGGCCCCACCCAGGGAGTGGAACAGCCTGCAAGGCTGGGCAGCTCTCTTGGGGTGTGGCCTCTTCATGATACACTACCTGCAGCTCATCCTTCACCTTCCCATCTGCCCTGAGTAGACCAGATGCTTGGTCTAGAGTGTGCTCTGAGCCAGACAGGCTCACAGCCTCACTCCAGCCCTCCTCCGCTGGCCATCTTGAGTAAATCCCTTTACCTCCCAAGCCTGTTTTCTTATCACTACATCAGTCCTGGAAAATGAACCCCTAGACCTCAAACAGTACAAGTTCATGTCCTTGTCCTATAGCAATGCAGTACAGGTCTTCAGTGAGCATCTTTCCACAGGGTTGGTGGGGACCCAGGTGCCTTCTCCCTCATGGCTCTGCTGAGTTCTCTTCAGAGTGAGAGGAAGAGAGGGGAATGAGAGGTTTTTATCCTGGCTTAGAGGCCTGGAAATGGCATGAAATCACTCCCACTTGCATTGTCTGCACTCCACTCCTGCAAGGCAGGCTGGGAAATGTAGTTGTGTATGTCATTGGAGCTCTTGTCAGTCCTGTTACCCATACTCACAGTATGGTAGATACTGGGACCCTCCGCCACTTCTGGCTTTTTCTGTTTATTTGGTGCTGAGGAATCAAACATGCATGTGAGGCAAGCACTCTACCACTGAGCCACCTTCCCAGCCCCCCTCACAATAATGAAAAGGATATGAGCCCCTGTCTTTATCCCAGAGGGGAAAACAAGCAGTGAACAGATGAGCAAAAATGTGTACCGATAACTCCTTGCTATAGAAGAAAAACGAAGCCCAATTCAGTGACTAACTTTTAAGATAATGTGGTCAGTGAGGAGGTGACATTAAGCCAAAACCTGGAATGAAGTAGGAAATAAACCATGAAAATAGCCTAGGGAAGAATGGTGAAGCATCAGAAAAATAAGTGCAAAGGCCCTGAGGTGGACTATGCTCTGCGCGCTTAGTGGACAGCAAGAAGACCAATGTGGCTAGAATAGAGTGGTCTAGAGGGAGCAGGTGAGGTGAGCAGAACAGGTGCCACGCCCATCAAGACCTGGTATTCTATTCTATTCTATTCTGGCTTTTCCCCTGAGCAAGACACGCAGTACCAGGGGAAAGGATATGATGCAGTACAGAGAGGGCCTGTGGTTGCAGTGGTAGGCAGGACCAGAGTGCAGTTAGAGGTAGGTGGGGGTAGCAGGCTGGGCCAGGGGTGAGTCCAGAGTACCTGAGCCACACTAGAGGAAGGTGGTGTGCTGTGGAGAGGGGCCGAGCCCAGCACATTGAATCTGAGGTTTGGGATATATACATCACCTATGAATGTCAGCTCTTCCTCTGAGCACCCCACAAGGCTTATTCTACCCTCCTTGCCTACCTTACACATGTGGAAACTGAAGCAGAGGAAAGGTAAATCCCTTGCCTGGGGTAACATGGCTGGGAAGTAGGAGCCAGGCTTAGAAGCTGTCTGGGGTGACGCCTATCCTTGCCTTTTAGGGCGAACCTCAGTACTCCAGCCATTCCAGCAGCAATACCCTGTCCAGCAATGCGTCCAGCAGCCACAGCGACGACCGCTGGTTTGACCCTCTGGACCCCTTGGAGCCCGAGCAAGACCCCCTCTCCAAGGGCGGCTCCAGTGACAGCGGCATCGACACCACGCTCTATACCTCCAGCCCCAGCTGCATGTCCCTGGCCAAAGTGCCACGGCCCACCAAGCCACACAAGCCCCCTGGAAGTATTGGTCTGTGTGGTGGCCGAGAGTCCGCTGCAAGGCCCCACCACGCAGACAGGCGGCGGGAGGTCTCCCCGACCCCCGCAGTTGCTGGCCAGGGCAAGGGCTACCGGCCGAAACTGTACTCCTCAGGCGCCAGCACCCCCACAGGCCTGGCCGGGGGCAGCCGAGACCCACCAAGGCAACCCAGGTAAGGCACTGCCCCTAGCCCAGGTCTTCCAGAAGTCCCAGCCACCTTCCACATCCCCCACAGTCCTGATGGTTGAGGTCTCCTTCTCAGAATTGTGCTCACTCTTAGAGGTGCTTACACACTCGTTTTGCTCATGGAATTGGGAGGCTCATGGGCTACTTCCTGCTGCCCATTGATCAGTGACCCTGCCTGTCTTTCTCACTTTGATTCTGCCTCTCACTTCTTTGTTTGCTGAGACCAGTGGATTTTTATGCTTTCTGAGGGTCACAGCCCGTATCTGTTAGGCATGTGGTTGTCTTTGGCTGTGGCTTAAACAGACGGGTTTAACATTCCTGACAGGACATCCAGGGAGGGCAGAGCTGGACTGGAGCAGCAGGTCTGGCACAGCAGCCCGTGGAGGCCTCAAGAACTGGCTCTCTGCAACTTCCTCCCCCCCTTCTTCACATACTGGCACCTCTGGTCTCCAGGTGGCCAACAGGGGTAGGAGGCTAGCAAAGGTGAGAGACAGATAACAGGAAAGGTTGTCCCGCTTCTGTGCACTAGCAGGGGTCATGGCCCATCCCAAATACAGGCTTGGTTTGGCCTTCCAGCCCCATAATGTAAAGCATTGATCCTCAACCCATCCCTGTTGTTTAGTCAATGCAGGCTGTTGGGCCCCACTTGAAGTTTCTGATGGGGGGAGGGGAAGCAATAAATAATTTGCCTTGTTTATTTGTATTCAGGGCCTCCTGCTTGCTCAGTAAGCACTCTGTCAGTCTCTGTAGAGTCAGAATAGAGTTTCGCTTAATACTTGGACTGTCAGGGATTGCAGTCCTCCTATAGGTGCTTCCCTTTGTCTCTGGGATGGGTAGGAACATACCTCTGTACCCAGCCATTGACCGAGACGGAATCTTGTGAACTTCCATACCTGGTCTGACCTCAGATGCAATCCCCTGATCTCCAACTCCCAAGTAGCTAGTATTCTTTAGTGAGCATTGTGAGCTGAGCCACCCGCTAAGCAAAAATATTCGATTTTTTTATGCCAATACTGTTAGTACAGCATCTGGCCCCTGCTAGAAGGAAAGTGGCCAGAAGGAAGTGAATGGGTTTACCCAGCTGCCTGCATAGGCTTGATAGGACCTCTCAGAGAAGCAGCCCCAACAAGTTTTACTACATAGTGTCCCCAGGGCTGGCCGCTCTAGCCAATGCCTTCCCCACTTCCTGGGCCAGTGGCTTCGTTGTCTATCCTGGGCAGCAGCTTCCAGCCCTGGGACCACAGCTCCCAGTAGAAGTTCAGTGTTTGAATCTATTTCTGCATAATGATACTTGTGTCGAAAAGGTGAAAGCAGTGGTTTCCAGAATGATCCTTGACCTTTCTGTGTATACCGCCCTTGATTGGATCTTGTCTATCTGAATGATGTCGTGACTGTGCACTGTCTCTGCATGACTCTTGACAGCTTTGAAAGGCACCATAGTTGACTGGCAGCACTCACCCTGGGTGCCATGAACCAAGGAGCTCCTGAAGGCACTCAGAAGGGCAGAGGAGGAAACAGCAGTGGGGGTGGCAGGGGATGGGGGGTAGGTAGGAGGGAAGGAAAGGAAACCAAGTGAAGTCTCTGCCTCTCCCTAGAAAAATAGTTCTCAATCTTCTGGGCTTGAAGACTGCTGAACAGCTCCTCTACTCACTGAATTATTCATCCATTCATTTCACTTGTGAATATTTCTTGGAGATCTGTTCCATCCCAGACCTAGGCTGGAGCTAAGGAGAAATAATAAATTTAAACAAGGCCTCAGCCCTCACCCAGATGACAGCTCGATCATTGCTGAGACAAATTCAGAACTGCACCCACCTAAAGGACAAGGATCTGGGGCCAAGAAAGTCTGCAAGAGGGTGGGGGGTACTCTGGCTTCGACTGAAGTGGCCCCCATTCTGGGCATAGACCCATGTTGGTGATCCTAAGTAATTACAGCATTTTGAAATCTGATGTAAAGGCAATTATGCCCAGAGTAGTGGAAGCTGAGGCAGGGGGTGGGTACAAAATTACCCAGTGTCTTCTAGAAGGATTTATAGAGCCCACAAGTAGAGAGAACAAATGGGAGGAGAGCCTCCTGCTACAAAAAGAGTGCCCTGTGGTTGGGAGCTTTAATTTGCATACAGACAATTGATGCTAATTGCAAATCATTCTTATCTACTCATTAAAGCCGCTTCCTGAAGTTTTCTCCTAGGCAACGGGGCTTTAGTGTGGAACAGTGTTTCCCAAAATGGGGTGGTAGAGGTGATTTGGGTGGTGTGGGGACGGAAATGTCTGCTCTTAAATTGTTATAGGTTTGTTTTTTTGAGGCGGGAAAAGGGTTTCCCATCCATACCCTGACTTGTCACATCGTGCCTTGGTCCTGGTTAAGTGATTTGACCTCTCTGAGCCTCAGTTTCCCTACCTGTGAAATCAAGGATAAATCACATACCTCAGGGTGATGTGGCCAAGTTTAAATGAGCCAGTTGTAGCTGTGCAATCCTGTAATCCTAGCTACTCTAGAGGCTGAAGTTCAAGGCCTACTTGGTAGTTAATGCAAATCTGAAAAACAAGAGTTTAAAGCAAAAGAACCTGGGATATGGCCAAGTAGTAGAGCACTGGCATACCTCGCAAGCTCAAGGTCTGAGTTCAGTCTCCAATACAGCTCCCCCAACACTAAATAAGTTTAAAAAAAAAAACCCTTAGAGCAGTACACAGCAGTAGCTTTCAGGCTGAAGGTAACTATGATTGATTGAAGATTATTTAAATTAAAAAATTAGCTGAGGGCTGGGAAAGTGGCTCAGTGGTAGAGCGCTTGCCTTGAATGCTTGAGGCCCTGGGTTCAATTCCTCAGCACCACATAAGCAGGAAAAAAAAGCCGGAAGTGGCACTGTGGCTCAAGTGGTAGAGCGCTAGCCTTGAGCTGAAGAGCTGAGGGACGGCGCCCAGGCCTAGAGTTCAGGCCCCACGACTGGACCCCCCCCAAAAAAAATAAAATAATAATAATAATAATAAAATTAGCTGGGCGCCTGTGGCTCACACCTGTAATCCTAGCTACTTAGGAGGCTGAGATCTGAGGATTGTGGTTCAAAGCCAGCTAGGAAAGTCCGTGAAACTCTTATCTCCAATAAACCACCAGAAAACCAAAAGTGGTGTTGTAGCTCAAGTGGTAGAGTGCTAGCCTTGAGCTGAAGAGCTGAGGGACAGCACCCAGGCCCAGAGTTCAAGCCCTATTACCGACAAAAAATAAAAAAAGGCTGACCTCAGATGAACAGAAGAATGTTAATAAGAATGTCTCCTTGGGGGCTGGCAAGGTGGCCCAGTGGTAGAGCACTTGCCTTGCACACATGAGGCCCTGGGTTCGATTCCTCAGCACCACATATGCAAAAAGAAAAAAAGCCGGAAGTGGTGCTGTGGCTCAAGTGGTAGAGCACGAGCAGAAGAGCTGAGGGACGGTGCCCAGGCCCAGAGTTCAGGCCCCACGACTGGACCCAAAAAAAAAAAAAAGAATATCTCCTTGGGTCACGCCTGTTACAAGCAGCAGTCCTAATACCCCAAGTACATCTCCACATCCACCAGTCTCTTGTGGTCTCTGGACATAGCTGGTGTGGCAGCCTGTGCCCAGCCTCAGCACATCAAGGACAAGTAACTTGGAGTACCTTGCACAAGCTCAGTACCCTTGGTTCTGTACAACACAGAACCTAGTAGTACTTCTATGCAAAGGCCTGATGTGCAAGGCCCACTGGCGGACACCAGACCTAGTAGACCTGGAGAGACAGCAAGCAAATAATGACCAAAGTCAATGAGTAAATTGTACTAGGAGGTAGCCTCAGTGGAGGCAGGGCAGGGCAAGGAGCATTGAAAGAGGTCAGATTGTTGTGGTGGTCAAAGCCCAGTTCCAGCAAGATTATCACTATGTTAGACATGACAATTTAATACCGGGGGATATGGGTGCCATGGAGGCATTTGAGCTTACAACTTGACATGTTTTTTAGAGGACCACTTGGCCAGGTGTGGTGGCACATGCCAAAACTTCAGCACTTAGATGGCTGAGACAAGAGGATGGATATAGTTCCAGGCTACCCTGACTCAAATGGGGGGGGTGGGGGGAGGGGGAGTCACTGGGCCTCTTTGGGAAATGGACTGTTTAGAGGAGGACAGTGATGGGCTTCGATACCCATGCAGAGAACCCCACCCTCTCCCTTCCCTGGCCCCAGCCCCTGCTTGTAGCAGTTGGTGCCCATCCATGACTTCAGCGACTTCACAGACACTCCCCCCAGACGCTCGTCATGGAAGCCTGGCTGCCAGGCTTACTGCCAGGCGCCAGTGCCTTCTGTGGGCACCACTGAGGGCCGAGCTCAGGCGGGCAGCCACCTGGCCCCACCCTGCCCTGAGGCAGCACACACGCCAGAGCCTTCTGGTTTCCAGAGCAATCTGTCAGAGCTGTGCAGAGCAGAGCAAGCAGAGTCCGCTCCACGTGGAGCTGACGCAGCTGGGCGTTCCCGCAGGCAGGAAGCACGTGGCTTCGCTTCCCGGGGCTGGGCCAGCAGTCTTCAGAATTCCGTCTGGGCACAGCTCTAAAAGGTAATCTGCGAGCCATGGGGTCCATGGGGCTTCCCTGCCTGCACTAGTTAAGAGGTTGGGGTCACACAGGCCTACTTAGCCAGTTTGGAAACTAGAAACTAGAACTTAGGCAGTTTGAGGGAGAAAGCAATGGAGTAAGGGGATAGTGCAAAGGTCCTGAGGTAGAAATGTTTCTGCATATTTGAGGGATAGTGCCTTGTGTGGCTGGAGCAGAGTCGTCATCGCAGATAGAGTGAGGCCTATGGGATGGCTCTGGCTCTGTCCCTATGAGCCAAGTCTCGTGTGATTTACGTGTTTACACAGCCCCTTTGGCTGTGGTGAGGAGTCTGGGAGGATGAAGGAAGGCTGTTTCAATGGCTCTGACAGGTGAGCCCAGGTAGCAGTGCCAGCAGTTGTCAAACAAGGCTCTATTTTAAGTCTTTATCCTTTGTTTCCACATCCTTGAAGACCTGTCATTTCTGCTTCTCAGGTCACAAGGGTGGCCCTTCCTGGATCCTACCCTGAAGCCTGCCAATTCTAGCCCCGTGCTGGGACTGGGCCAACTGGAGCCCAGGGCAGATATCAGGGAGAGAAGCAAGACTGGTCCAAGTGGGGTGCAGTGGCTTAAGCCCATAATCCTAGCTATGTGGGAGGCAGAGCTGGGGGTGGGATCGTGGTTCAAAGCCAGCCTGGAAATAAAAGTTCACAAAAGTCCTTTTCTCTCCCCCATCATTTGCAGTGATCCCCAGTGGCAGGGGAAGCACAAGTAGCAGGATCACAGCCCAGCCCTTCCTGGGCATAAAAAGTCAGATGTTCCTTCCAAAAAGTAACCAAGACCAAAAGATCTGGAGGCCTGACTCAGGTGGTAGAGTATCTGCCTAGCAAGAATGAGACATGAGTTCAATTCTGAGTGCCACAAAAAAAAAAAGACTGTTCCAGGGTTAAACCGGGCATCTACCAAACAGCACATGATGGCTTGGCTGGGCTGTGGAAGCAAATGGTATTACTTCCTGGTTCTGTGTCTCCCTGCCTCTGTCCAGGCTCAGCTTCCCATCTATGGAATGGGTCAATCATGAGAACCACGGCCTGAGGTTGGAAGGATGAACTGTGATTTAAAACTGTGAATTTAAAGAGCTTGCAGCAGGGCCTGAGACATAGCTGGGTACGGAAATAGCAGCTGCTGCTGTTTTATTGGCTTGTATTATATATATGACTTGTTGAGAGCCGAGGTTTGCATCCTTGCTCGGTCCCTTCCAACTGTGTCACTGGAGACAAATTCTTTAAGTCTGGGCCTCTGCTTCCCCACTTGAAATACGCTAGCGGTGGTTTCTGCTTCATTGTTACAGAGCCATTCAGTGAGATGGTGCCTGAGGGAGGTGCTGAAAACAAGGCCTGGCTGTGTCACTGCTGCCACACCTTGTCTTTGTGCTTTGTCCATCCTGAGTCTCCATTAGAACCTTTCAGAGCCCCCAGACCCACATGGACCAGCCACAGTGCACACATGCACAGCAATGGGGCCTCTCCCTCCTGCCTTTGGCTTCCAGCTCTTACGTAAGCCACAAACCCTTTTCTTCTAGATTTACTTCCTTAAGATATAAAACATAGCTGGGCACCAGTGGCTCATTCCTATAATCCTAGCTACTCAGGAGGCTGAGAGGTGAGGATCACAGTTCAAAGCCAGCCCGGGCAGGAAAGGCCGTGAGACTCTTATCTCCAATTAACCACCAGAAAAATTGAAGTGGCGCTGTGGCTCAAGTGGTAGAGTGCTAACCTTGAGCTGAAGAGCTGAGGGACAGCACCCAGGCCCCACAACTAACCAAAAAACAAAAACAAAAAAAAAGATATACAACATGATCACATGGCCTCTGGTTGAAGGTAGGTAGAGGGCAGAGCAGGACACTACCCCTCCTGTACCCTAATCCTGTCTGAGCCCCTAGCAGAGCTTCAAGCCCTGAAACACACCATCTCCCTCAGAGCTGCAGCTGGGAGAACAGGGCCAGAGCCCTGGGCTGAGCACTTAATTGTGTGATCTGTAGGACAGGTATTGTTGCTGGCTCATTTCTCAGAGGAGGAAACCATCCCTGAGGATGAGGGACGACCCAGAAGCCATTATTGCTAGTTGGAGCTGGGCTTGAGACCTGGCTAAGCAGACATCAGAGTCCGTGTCCTCATCAGCCTTGCCATTAGTTGATTCTGAGGCCCAGGGAGATCCCAAGTACATTCTCACTGGTCACTGCAGATGGGGGTGAAGACTTTATCTGGGAAGCACACCTGGCACCTGCCACGGCACTCATGATCCGTGGGGTGTGAGAGGGAGCACCCCTCAGGCTGAGATGGCCCTCGTGTCCTGGGGAATAACTAACTGTCAAGGCCCTGCTTTGCTAGAAGAGCCTAAAGACAGGTGGTCATGACAGTGCTAGCCACAAGAAACAAAACCCCAGCTCAACTAGAAGAAGTGTATGTCTTACTTCTACTTTACTTTTAATCAGTAAATGATAATTGTGTATGTTAGAATCCTCTGTCTCTTGGGCTGGGAAGGTGGCTCAGTGGTAGAGCACTTACCTTGCATGCATGAGGCCCTGGGTTCGATTCCTCAGCACATAAGAAAAAAATAAAAAAGCCAGAAGTGGGCACTGTGGCTCAAGTGGTAGAGTGCTAGCTTTGAGCTGAAGAGCTGAGGAACAGTGCCCAGGCCCAGAGTTCAGGCCCCATGACCGCACCCAGAAAAAAAAAAAAAAAAAGAATCCTCTGTCTCTCAATGCCTTTTAAAATTTTCATCTTACAGCTTAACTTCCAGGTATGTTTGTTTTGTTTTTTAGGTATAAATGTCTTCGTATTTATCCTACTTGGGGAGTGTTGAGCTTCATAGATGAGTAAACTAATATGGGTGGTTTTTTTTTGGGGGGGGGGAGTTTAGGTTAGCCAGATTTAAGACTTCTTCAACCATTATTTCTCCAGCCCCTTGTTCTCCTCCCCTTTGTAAAACACATGTTTAAGTCTTGGTGTACTCTTGATGCTATCCCAAAGGTTCTGCTCTGGAAGAACTGCCGTATCCATCAAGCCAGGGGAGGTGGGCAGGCAGCCCTAGGCCAAAATGCCACAAGTTCTCTCTGCTCTTACCCACAAAGCAGTGGGTTTTCATGACTCAAGTGGTAGGGTACCACCCTGTGAATGAGAGCTCAAGGCCCTGAGTTCAATCTCCAATCCTGGAACCCTCTGCCCTCCCCCCCAAACCCCCCCGCCAAAAAAAAAAAAAAATCAAATTATTTGTGTCCTTCTCATAAGTGAACTTTCTTTTCCTTTGTCTTTGCAGTGACATGGGCTCCAGGGCTGGCTACCCTGCTCAGGTTTACAAAACAGCCAGTGCAGACACACCTCGGGCCTCTCAGCTGGCTCAGTCCAGCCCCTTCCAGCTCTCCACCTCTGTTCCCAAGTCCTTCTTCTCCAAGCAGCCTGTGCGTAATAAGCATCCAACAGGGTGGAAGAGAACGGACGAGCCCCCACCACGGCCACTCCCTTTTACTGACCCCAAAAAGTAAGTGCCTGTGTGCGGTGTAGCCCTGAGTCTCTGATACAATAGGACGGTCATGCCTGACTCTCACTGAAAAGATGACTGTGGGGATCCACAAACTGAGGATACAGCTGTGAGCAAGAAGACAAAGGGGGGCTGGGAAGGTGGCTCAGTGGTAGAGCGCTTGCCTTGCATGCCTGAGGCCCTGGGTTCGATTCCTCAGCACCACATAAGCAAAAAAAAAAGCCAAAAGTGGCGCTGTGGCTCAAGTGGTAGAGGGCTAGCCTTGAGCTGAAGAGCTGAGGGACAGCGCCCAGGCCCAGAGGTCAGGCCCCATGACCGGACCCAAAAAAAAAAAAAACTTAAAAAAAAAAAAAGAAGAAGACAAAGGCCGCTGGCTTTGGGGAGCTGGCACTGGGCTGGGGTGATAGGAAGTAAAGTAGGAGTACCTGGCGAGTGGATGAGGAAGTTCAGGCAGGCAGGCACTGATGGCTCACACTGAGACATGAGATCTGGTCTGAAGCCAGTCTGGGCAGGAAAGTCCATGAAAACCTAATCTCCAAAAAAGCAGCAAATGGTTCTGTGGCTCAAATGATAGAGTGATGGCTTGAGCAAAAAAAAAAAGCTCAGGGACAGCATCCAGGTCCTGAGTTCAAGACCCAGGGCCAACACAAAAAAAGAAAGGAAGAAAGAAATTCAGGCTGAGGAAGGAAGAACACATGCAAAGACCCTGAGGCAGGAGCATATAGCTGCTGTGGCTGGAGATTCTGTGTGGCTTCAGCCATGTGGATGAGGAGGGTGATGGGATGTGAGGTGACAGCAGCCACAGGGACTGACCACGGAAGAGCTTGAGAGCTGTAGTTAAGGGCTTTGACATCTCCTCTAAGTGCCACTGAGCCACTAGATGGTATGGAACAGGCCGGATGTGGCCTGAATTGTTTCCTTGCAGCATCCCTGTCGCTACATACAGAGCAACCCACAAGGAGCCCTGAATTGCTGCTGTCCAGATGCGGGGGAGGGGGAGAGGGGATGGACCTGGGATAATGTCTGAAGCCAGCACCCAGGCCTTTCTGACAGGGTAGTATAGTAGGAGAGAAATGGAGGACAGATACTCAACTGAGCTGAGGGGCACGGCATGGGCATGGGGGGCGCTGGACATGCCAGACCGAAGGCAAAGGAAGAGGGGCTTGGAGCCCAGCAGAGGGGGATTGAAGTGGACAAAGCAGAGCCAGGAAATGAGGCTGACATGGCACTGCCAGCAAAAGGAGCCCAGGGTAGAAGCCATAAGAGACCAGGAGGTTGGATTGGACGAGCCTGAGAACTGAGTACAAGATCAAGCCTCGAAGGTCACCTGAGGTGTCGGAGAGAAAGGCTGAACTGAGCACCTCATTTGAGGCGTTTTGCTACAGAGCAAAGAGAGGAGAGGGCAGGACTAGGGTAGGACTGGAGTGGGACTCAGTGGTGGAGTGCTGGCCCAGCATTCACAAGGACCCTGGGTTCCAACCCCAACACTTTTACAAAAACGAGAAAGAAAGAAAAAGAAAGGATCTGGAGTTTTCACTTGGGGAATGTGATCTCACTCATATTAAGCACTTACCACATACCAGGCCCAGTTCTAAGATCTCCATGAATTACTTCAGCTCTGGGGAGTTGATTCTTTCCCCATTTTACAGATGAGGCAGCTGAGGTCCAGGGTCACACAACTGGCCAGGAGTCAGCCCAGGAAGCCAGGCCCAAGGCTCATGTGCTGTTGGATGGGACACTGCCCTCCTAACATCTTTATGAGCTGGATGGGCTCAAACTTGGGATGACAGAGCATAGAGGGGGAGTGATGTCGGGACATCCAGGCCCCTGGAGGTGTGGGCAGGCAAGCTATGTGTCCACACTGAGAGCCTCGGTCAGGTGCCTTGCTGACAGCCAGAGGGGATTCTGAAAACTCCATGCACTCCCTGCTTCTAGCCTTCAGTGGCTCCCCTTCTCTCCACTCAGAGCCCTGTCTGCCAGCCAGACTGCTCCACTCACTTTGAAGGCCCAAGCAATCCCACAGAAAGGATCTTGTTCTTACCCGTTTCCAGACCAAGAAAAGAGTGCCTTGACCAGGATCAGGGGATTGTGGCCTGGCCTGTAATGGCCAGTACTGGCTCCAGGCTCCTTCTGATTCTGAGACCTCTCCTTGAACCCCAGTCCACCCTGCACCACAGGCTATCCCCACATGTCCAGCAGCTCCTCCCAGCAGTCTTCTCAGGACAGTCTGTCTGCTGCCTGGGTTATGGCCTTGGCTGAATGTGCTTGCCAGCCTCATTGGCACAAGCCCCAGCTCAACCAGGCCCATCCGTGCTAATTAGCTTAATTAATGGGGCCCAAGGGAGCCACCCCAGTTGGAGGCCAGAGCTCCTAGTCATCTGGGATCCAGCCCAGCCACATCTGACCTGCTCGATGCCTTCTACTAATGCCCAGCCTTCTTCCTACATTTTTCTCTTCACTTTTCTACAACATGGCAGAACCCGAACTTGGACAACATAGGCACATCAGCTATTATGCATGTGCAGGGCTGTAGAACAGAACCTTGAGGATTTTTTTAACATGTGTTTGTTTTGAAAGCTAAAACACAAGGTAGAAACTAAAATAGTACAGAAGGATTTGCAGCAGCAACAACAAAAATAAGCCCCCCTCCTTTCCCTGGCCCCCAGACTCTACCCACAAGTGCCATTATTTCCTTCCTTCTGCATCTTCCCAGATGTGTGCCAAACATGACCAAGTGCACGTGATCATATGTGTCTCTTGCTCCCCTTTTTCATAGATCAAGAGAACCACTTCCTGCCTACTCACTTCCCCACTTGCTCTTCTCCACATGGGAAAGTGGTTTCATTCTTGCTAATGGCTATGGAGAAGCCCCTTTACACACACCTCCCACCAGATTACAGGTTTGGGCAATTGGAGAGACCAGAGATCTGGAGACAAAAAAAAAAAAAAAAAGAACAGACATCATGTAAGCCCAGTTTGCAGTGCAAGGGTTCCTAGGACTTCACACATGCCTGGCAGGCATTCTACTACTGAGCTGCACCTTAGACATGTTGCACTGAAAGAACATGAGGAGAAAGTAGTTACAGGACTGCGTGACTAAGAACCAGGCTGGGAGGGAACAACAGAAGGTTGAGTGGTCAGGGGAGGCCCCCAAGGAGGTAATATTTCAACTCAGTGCAGGGATAAGAAGTTGCCAGTCACAAGCAGTAGCTAGAAGGTCACACTAGACAATCGTCTGTGCAAAGATCCTGAGGCAGAAATGTGCCTGTCTTGTTTCAAGAATGAGGGGGGGGGGGGGGGGAGGAGACTAAGGACTTCATGGCCTGTGAAGAGGATGTTTTTAGAAGAATCCTGTACATGTCCACTTTTTCTGAGTCTGGTAAAAACTCCAGTGTAGTAAACTAAACTGGGTAGGTTTTCTAAAACTGGTTTGGCACTGTATATAACTGCTCTTTTTTTTTCATGAGGTGTGCCTCAGGAGAGCCTTCTCCCTTTTTTTTTGGTGGTGGTAGTGGTCATCATTGTTGTCATCTTTGTCATGGGGCTTGAACTCAGGGCCTGGGCACTCTCCCTGAGCTTTTTACCCAAGGCTAATGCACTACCACTTTGAGCCACAGCGCCACTTCTGGTTTTCTGGTGGTTCATTGCAGATAAGAGTCTCACAGACTTTCCTTCTCGAGCTGGCTTTGAACTGCAGTCCTCAGTTCTCAGCCTCCTGTAGCTAGGATTACAGGTATGAGCCAGGGCGCCCAGCAGCCTCCTCCCTCTGAGCATCATGCATCATCCATGCCTCTCCAGAGGCTGTTGTTTTTGTTGTGCCATGGTGGGCTTCACCTTTCTGTGTGGGAAGCTCCTGTGCAGGAGAAGGGTTCCTGTGGGCCTTTGTGAGGAAGATGCAACCAGTGCTGCTGAAGTTCTCAGCGGGGCTTTTTACCCCTTTTCTCAGGAGGAGAGTTGCCCTGCACTTCTCTGCAGGGACACATGCTAAGGCCAGGTCTGCTACCTCTCCAGGCAGTAGGGCTTTGCTCAGGGAATTCTGGGAAATGCCAAATTGAAAGAAGGTGGTGGGGAGGCCTCTTCTGCTTCTTAAGAGTGTGTGCATTGTTGCTCTTTCTGTCTCTTGCTCCCTCTCTACTTCTTGCCCTCTGATCATAAGCTTTTAATTTGCCCAGAGAATATGCTTCCCTAACAGGGACAGAGCCAGCTCGCCCTCTGCCTGCAGTTCTGACCTGGGGAGAAATAAGACTGGACAGAAAACAACCTGCTGCCTCTCTGCCTCCCTTTGTTAAAATCCCAAGGCAAGCAGCTGGGAGAGAGAAAGGAAATTCAGACTTCAAAACCCTCTGGAGCCCAAGACATCTTGTTTCTTCTCTAGGCTCAAAGACTCTTTCTTTCTAGATTTACAGAATGATGAAGGTCAGGTGCCAGCCTTTTTAAAACTAGTTCTCATTGTTACAAGACATGATTAGGATAAAATGAGTTCAGTTTGGAAGGATATTAGAGAGAATGTGAAGATCTCATTTTTTCCACCTCCTAATATGACTGCTGCTTCCTGAAGAGAATCACTGCTCTCCATTTCTTCCAGAATTCTTTTTCTGCATACAAGAGCATGTTTTTTAATCAGCTGTGAACATGCTCCATGTACCAAATATAGTTTGTTCATTCCATCTGGGATATAAATATGGTCATCAAAGCTGGGCATGGTAGTACATACTTGTAATCCTTGCCCTGGGAAGGCTGAATCAAGAGGATATCCTAGACTATATAGGAAAACTCTGTCTCAAAATAGGGGATTGGAAGTAGAACAGGATCAGTACTTGAAACAGGAAGTTTTTCAGGGGAATTAAACCATGTGCCTGTTCAATTCCAGGCTGAGATTAGAGGTCTGAAGAAAGGATGAGATCCATGTAAACAGGAACCTCAAGCTTTAGAGAATATTAAAGGAAAATTTCAGACCCTTCTACAATCCAGTTTCAACTTGTTTCTGTCATTTTCATTTCCCCAATAAAACAACTTTTTTATTGTGGGAAAAAAAATAATAAAGCATGAGCCAGGCACCAGTGGCTCACACCTGTAATCCAATCTATTCAGGAGGTTGAGATTTGAGGAAGCCAGCCAGGGTAGGAAAGTTTGTGAGACTTATCTCTAATTAATTACAGAAAAAGCCAGAAGTGGAGCTATGGCTCAAGCGGTAGAATGCTAGCCTTAAGCAAAAGGAGCTCAGGGACAGCACCCACGCCCAGAGTTCAAGCCCCAGGACTGACAAAATAAATAAATAAATAATAAAGCATGAACATGGCAGCCAAGCTTTTTAGTGGCACCTGTAGGCTCTGCAGCCCTGTGGCCTTGTTATGAGTCCTTCACCCACAGGCTATGTGACTTAGGACAAGTGGCTTAACTCCTCTGTGCCTGAAATGGGAGGCAGATACTGCTTAGCACATGCAGCTGTGGTGAGGATCACCTTGTTCTGGAAGCAGAGACAGCTGCAGGCCACAGTAGCTGCTGGGAGAAAGAGGGCCAGTGCAACCCCCATGTGCCACAGTGTCTCCCTTCCTCTCAGTGGGGCTGATGGTTTCTAGCAAGTAGCTGACAGTGCTGAGGGTCTGGTAAGGCCCTGCCCCTGCCATTGTTGAGTACGACCATGTCAGGGGCCTGGCCAGGAGACAAGCTAGGACCCCAGGACACTGCTGTGAGCCAGGCAGGGACCACAGGCTGAGCCACTGAGAGGGAGGGAGGAAGAGAGAGAAAGAGGACGGGAAGGAAGGAGGTGGAGGCCTCCTGTCCTGGGTCTGCTTTTGGCCAGATGCTTGGCAGCAGCCCCCACAGAGCAGGGGCAGAGATGAGCTTCAGACCCGGGCCCATTGGGCCAGCAGTGGCTTGGTGACCAGTAGATCACTGGGTATTCTAGAAAGCCCTGTAGGGAGAGCGGAGAGCACTGTGGGTTGGCTCTGCTGGAACAGGAGGCCCAGCAGAAAAGCTGAAATGGAGCTGGGTACTGGTGGCTCACACCTGTAATCCTAGCTACTCAGGAGTCTGAGATCTGAGGCTCACAGTTCAGAGCCAGCCTGGGCAGGAAAGTTTGTAAGACTCTTATCTCCAATGAACCACCAGAAAACTGGAAGTGGTGCTGTGGCTCAAGTGGTAGAGTGCTAGCCTTGAGCTGAAGAGCTGAAGACAACACCCAGGCTTCAAGTTCAAACCCCAAGACTGACAAAAACAATTCCATGCTGGTAGGCCCTCTTCAAGGGCTCTATGCCTAGTATCTGCCCTTCCAAGAAATCCCTGTGAGCCGGGCATCGGTGGCTCATGCCTGTAATCCTAGCTACTCAGGAGGCTGAGATGTGAGGATCGCAGTTCAAAACTAGCTCAGGCAGGAAAGTCCGTGAGACTATCTGCAGCAAACAACTCAGAAAACTGGAAGTGGTGCTGTGGCTTAAGTGGTTGAGCACTAGCCTTGAACTGAAGAGCTAAGGAACAGCACCCAGACTCAGAGTTCAAGTCCCACTACCAACAACAACAACAACAAAAAATCCCTGTGGTTTATGGGCTTGGTTACCTTGTGTGGCAGGTTAGGAAAGCAAAGCCGTAAGGTCCCAGAGCACCCAGGCCACAGGTCTACCTGCAACCCAGGCCTGCCTAATTGCACTCAGCCTGGGACCCCAGCCTGTGGTGCAATCTCCCAGCCTAGACAGCCTCACTCCTCACTCCCAGCAAAGGCCTGTTTCCCTCCCATCAGCCAGTAACATCCTTCCTCCCAGTGGCCGCCCCTGTACCCTGCTTTATTTGGACTATTTCCCTCCCTCACATAGGGGTTCCCTCCGCTCATTGGCTCAGTGTGATGCCCTTCTAGATGTGGGCTCAGTGACCCAGCCCCCCTGGAGCAGCCTGGCCAGAGGAGGTGCCCATAGCAGACCACATGGCTTTGCTGTCACTTTTGGCCAGGTGAAGTAGAGGAGGCACAGACAGTTGAGGGCAGCGGCTCGAAGCTTCCTCACCCGGCACTGTCATTCTAGGCAGGTAGACACCAACACAAAAAACGTCTTCGGGCAGCCACGGTTGAGAGCATCCCTGCGAGACCTGCGATCCCCGCGAAAGAACTACAAGTCCACCATCGAGGACGACCTAAAGAAACTCATCATCATGGACAACCTGGGGCCAGAGCAAGAGCGGGATGCAGGGGTGAGTGGCGTGTGGCCAGCTGGCCCAGGAAGGGAGGAAGGCAGTGTCCCCACAGTTACCCGATCCTCTCTTGGCCTGTCCACTGGTGAGGAACAGAACCTGAGTGAAGCTAGCCTGGGCAGGCTCTATGGAGCCCAGGAAGGAAATGGTTCCTCAAGAACAGGGAGGCGGGGCTAGGAAGGTGGCTCAGTGGTAGAGCCCTTGCCTCGTATGCGTGAGGCCCTGGGTTCAATTCCTCGGCACCACATAAGCAGAAAAAAGCCAGAAGTGGTGCTGTGGCTCAAGTGGTAGGGTGCTAGCCTTGAGCTGAAGAGCTGAGGGACAGCGCCCAGGCCCAGAGTTCAGGCCCCACTCCTCCCCCCACACACACACACACACCAGGGGAGACTACAACAGTAGACGCCAAATGCCTTCAGCCAGCTCTTGTCCCTCTGCCTCCTTGTATTGGTTGACTACACTCTCAGGCAGGTGCTGTCTGTATGGGCACCAAAACAGACCTCAGCTGTCAGCTGTGTATGGTGGTACATGCCTGCAATCCCTCAGGAGACTGAGACAGGAGGATCGCAAGCTACAGGCCAATCTGGGCTGCGTAGCAAGAACCTAACTCAAGTGGGAGAGGGGGAGAAGGAGATATCCATCTCCCCCAGGATATAGTACTGCCAGCCCAAGGCACTAAAGACAGAGGATACACTGGCATCAGTAGTGCCCACCAGAGCCCTAGCCTGACTTTCCTGGATCTGCCCCCCTGGAGGGACCTCTGGCCCTTGCCTGGAGCTGGAGAGTGGCACTGGCCTATGCAAGCCAAGGGGCCCCCAAGGAAAAACAGGGCAGAAATGGATGCTGGGTGAGTAAGAAGCCCCATGAGCCCAGATGTGCCACTCCCTCATCCTACCCCTGTCTTGGCAGCAGTCCCCCCAGAAGGGCCTACAGCGGACCCTGTCAGATGAGAGTCTATGCAGCGGGCGTCGGGAACCCAGTTTTGCCAGCCCTTCCAGCCTGGAGCCAGGCCTGCCCAGTGACGTGCTCTTCACCAGCACCTGCTCCTTCCCCTCCAGCACGCTGCCTGCCCGCCGCCAGCACCAGCACCCCCACCCGCCTGGCGGAGGAGGCCCCAGCACCATCCCAGAGAAGAAATGTGAGCCTGATACCTGGGGCAGGGAAGCAGGGCAGCCCCACCTGGAGATAAGCTTCAGGAGCTTGGATGGTTGGGCCACATTTCAGGGCCTGTGTGATTATGACATATCCACCCCTTTATTGATCTAGCAAATAGTTTGTGAGCATGCCCGTGAGTGGTGCTCTGGCATGCCATCCCCCTCAAAAAGCCTGAGGAGGCCAGGCACCCATGGCTTACGCCTGTAATCCTAGCTACCCAAGAAGCTGAGATCTGAGGGTCACAGTCCAAGCCAGCCTGGGCAGGACAGTCCATGAGACTCATCTCCAGTTAACCACCAGAAAACCAGAAATGGTGCTGTGGCTCAAGTGGTAGAGCATTCACCTTGAGCTGAAGAGCTGAAGGACAGCACCCAGGCCCAGAGTTCAAGCCCCATGATGGGGGGTGGGGGTGGAAAGCCTGAGGAGCTAGCAATGCCTTCTGGTCATGTCTCATCCCCTGCCCTCATCCCAGGGGCTCTCAAGCCAGAAGGCAGCGCATGCACAAGTCCACACTGTACCCCAGGCAGCTGTTGTATCGTTAATGTGCCCACCTGATTAGAGTGACAAGTGACTCTGTGGCAGTTATGAGGTGTTGCTTGGCCTTTTGGGGATGTTATGTATAGTGCACAGCAGCTGCACATATTGCTCCCTAAAATTCAGACATACCTTCAGTTTAGATGTGCTCTTTCCCAAGGGTCTTGGCTTAGGAGTCCGTGGCCATTTCAGCTAGATGGATTCCCTATTATCTCTGTACCCCATGGGAGACGGGATGAAGGAGATGCTGGGTTTCTTTCCCTCCTTGCCCTTTCTGAGGGCCTCCTCCGTGTTCCTTAATCTTTCAAGTCAAGTGTGATGGCACATGTCTGTAATCCTACCTGTGAAGGAGGTTTCTACCAACTGAGTTTATATGTTCAACCCTCCCGCCTCATGCTCAGCCACCTCCCTGTCTGCTCATCCCCATCCAGCTGCCATCTCTGCCTCGGAGCTCTCACTAGCTGATGGGCGGGAGCGGCCGCTGCGGCGCCTTGACCCTGGAATGATGCCACTGCCCGACACAGCTGCAGGCCTTGAATGGTCCAGCCTGGTAAATGCAGCAAAGGCCTATGAAGGTAGGTGCCCTGCTCCTAGCCTTGCCCGAGGATCGATGGAGGGCCTGTGGCTTTGCTGGGGAGGATACACCCATTTTCCACACTTGGGCTACATAGAAATTTAGGTGGACTACTGCTATTTTCAAGAGCCTTCCTCTTTCTTTCCATAATGGCTGCTAGGCTGTGGACAATACATCCCATTCCAGCCACAGGAGAGATAGACACCTACCTTCTCTTCTCTTTAAGAGCACTTCCCAAAGGCTCCCACTTTCTGCACTCACTTCCCCTTGGCCTGATTTCCCATGCCCATCCTTGGCTGTAGGGCATGGGGAGAATGAGGCCGTGTGCCCAGCTGAAATGGAGTCACCCTGGCTTCCATCCTTAGCTCTGCAAGGGAAAAAAAGAAAGAAAGAAAATGGGGAAAAAAGAAATTGGAGATTTGTTATTTAGGAAAAAAGAAAAAGCATCATGAGGACAGCTGCTACTTGCCTAGCAAGAACAATGCCCTGGGTCCCATCCCCAGACTGCATATCAAGGGCATAACACACACACACACACACACACACACACACACACACACACACACACACACACACACACACACACTGATCCTAACTACTCAGGAAACTGAGATCTGAGGCTCTAATAACACACACACACACACACACACACTGATCCTAACTACTCAGGAAACTGAGATCTGAGGATCTAATGTTTGAAGCCAGCCTAGGCAGAAGAATCTATAAGACTCTCATAACTGCCGGGCGCTGGTGGCTCACGCCTGTAATCCTAGCTACTCAGGAGGCTGAGATCTGAGGATAGCGATTCAAAGCCAGCCCAGGCAGGAGAGACCGTGAGACTCCTATCTCCAATAAACCACCAGAAAACCAGAAGTGGCGCTGTAGCTCAAGTGGTAGAGCACTCGCCTTGAGCTGAAGAGCTGAGGGACAGAGCCCAGGCCCAGAGTTCAAGCCCCACAACCGACAAAAAAAAAAAAAAAAAAGACTCTCATAACCAAGTAACCAGCAAAAAGGCTAAACTAGAGACATTATTCAAGTGGTAGAACACCAGCCATGAGTGAAAAGTACTAGGAAGAATGCAAAGCCTTGAGTGAAAATCCCCACACTGACACAAAAATGCTATGTGCTGGTAACTAATGCCTATAATCCTAACTACTCAAGGCTGAGATCTGAGAATTGCAGTTCAGAGCCAGCAGGAGCAGATAAATCCTCAAGACGCCTATCTCCAATTAACCAACAAACAGACAGAAATGGAAATATAACTCAAGTGGTAGAACACTATCCTTGAGTAAAAAAGCCAAATGAGAGCTAGAGGCCCAGAGTTCAAATCCTAGTACTGGCACCAAAAAATAAGTTAATAAATAAATAAAGTGATGGAGGTTGGGAGTTTGTAGGGAAATGCTGGGGCCCCTCCCATCACACCCATAAGGACTCAGCCCCGCTGTCTTCTGTCTTTCCGGCAGTGCAAAGAGCTGTCTCGCTTTTCTCTCTAAATGACCCAGCCCTGAGCCCGGACATCCCACCTGCACACAGTCCTGTCCACAGCCACTTGAGCCTGGAGCGGGGACCCTCAACCCCTAGGACCACCCCTACCATGAGGTGAGTTTGTGTGGGCATACCCAGGACTGGGACACACAGGCCCCTAGCAGCAGCAGGTCTGTACAATAAGAGAGGAACATGGTGCCGGGGTAGAGGGAGTAGCTACTGCAGGACAGACACTCCTCCATTGCCTGGTTGAGAGTTCCCTTTAGCTGACAGGCTGGAATAGTCATTAATGCTGTGCCCATCGTGTACTAAAATCAGCAAGGACCAAAATAGACTGTGCCCTGCCCTCTACAATAGCGCCTTCTATTGGGATGACTCTTGTGTGAAGACTCTGTACCCCCAGACTCTCAGCTCTACCTCCTGTCTGTCTCTCTCTACTTCTTGGTCTCCTCCTCCATGCACGTACACACACACACACACACACACACACACACACACCAGCCATGCTTTTCACATCCTCACTGCTACGACTGTTGCATGAGCTGTTTGGCTTCATCTGTGAAATTTGATGACTAGGGTCAAGCCCTGTCCCTGGGGAGGACAGAGGGACAGACATTCCTCTTCACATTTATTTCATTTCTTTCTGGCTCAGCCACTATTGTGCACTTGCTCCCACAGGCTGCACTGTGTGTGTGTGTGTGTGTGTGTGTGTGCACACGCACACACACACATGTGCATGCATATATGTGTGTGATGATCAGTGCACACTGCAGGGTGGGCAGGACAAGCCTTTTCTGGGGAGGGAGGACTGGGGAGGGAGGAACAGAAGGACCTAGGCATTTTGCTACTGCCTCACCAGAACAGCCAGAGGAGCGTTCATACCCAGAACCTAGGCACGGAGTTCTGGCCTCAGATGCCACCTCTGCCAGCATATGTGGGGACTGTGTCCCCTGCCATAGTCTGAATTTCATCCTCTATCCCATGGCAGCCCCATAGCAACCCAAAGCCCAGGAGGATGGTCCTTGTGGACTCTGATACAGTGCTGCTGTTGCTAGTCCTGCCCACAGCACCCCTTTTTGTCCAGTTGTCTGCTGTGTGCCTCCTGTGCTTAGAATGGGGCTCGGCCTGAGACACAGAGGACTCAGGGAAGAGGTGCTCCCCAAAGCCCAAACCTACCAACACATACCACAGATGGCCTCGATGAAGAGCTTGACCCCGAGATGGCTGCCCTGGCTCCCCCAGAGCCACTCTCCAGCAAGGCAGGGACTCACCAGAGCCTCAGGAACCAGAGGGCCTGTACCCCGTGTCCCTCCCAGCTATGGGCCAAGAGTCCTTCCCCGGACCTGGCAAGCCTCAGCTTGCCTTGTTGCCCTGTCTTTGCAGTGAGGAGCCACCCTTGGATCTGACTGGCAAGGTGTACCAGCTGGAAGTGATGCTGAAGCAACTGCACACAGACCTCCAGAAGGTGAGGCCTCCCCTGCACATGCCTCTGCCTCACTTTCCAGACATGAGGGTAGCACCTGTCCCCGCCCTACTCTTGTGCTCCCCATGTACTTAGTAGTAAAGAGTGAAAAAAGGCCATCCTCAGGGCTAGGAACACACAAAGAAACTCAGACATTCTTGGGGAGCTAACACATTGGCCCAGTCTTTGGACAAACAACTGGATAGTATCTATCAAAAACATAATCCTGAGCTGGGAAGGTGGCTGAGTGGTAGAGTTCTTGCTTTGCATACATGAGGCCCACTACATAAGCAGAAAAAGCCGGAAGTGGCGCTGTGGCTCAAAGGGTAGAATGCTGGCCTTGAGCTGAAGAGCTGAGGGACAGCACCCATGCCCAGAGTTCAGGTACCATGACCGACCAAAAAAAAAAAAACATAATCCTAAACTGGGTGGCTCACACTGGCTGCACAGGAAGCTGACATCTGAGGGTCTTGATTTGAAACCAGCCTAGGCAGAAAAGACCATGAGACTCTTATCTCCACTGAACCACCAAAAAAAAAAAAAATTAAGAGGCAGCCTGCATACATACATAGTGAGACCCCACCTCAAAAAAAAAAATCTGGGCTGGGAAGGTGGCTCAGGGGTAGAGTGCTTGCTTTGCATGCATGAGGCCCTGGATTCTATTCCTCAGCACCACATAAACAGAAAAAGCCGGAAGTGGTGCTGTGGCTCAAGTGGTAGAGTGCCTTGAGCTGAAGAACTGAGGGACGGTGCCTAGGCCCAGAGTTCAGGTCCACGACCGGCAAAAAAAAAAATCTAAGCTGGGTGCCAGTGACTTACACCTGTAATCCTACCTATTCAGGAGGCTGAGATCTGAGGATCATAGTTCAAAGCCAGCCCTGGCGGGAAAGTCCATGATACTCATCTCCAGTTAACCACCAGAAAACTGGAAGTAGCACTGTGGCTCAAGTGGTAGAGTGCTAGCCTTGACCTGAAGAGCTGAGGGATAGCGCCCAGGCCCAGAGTTCAAAACCAACCAAAAAAAAAAAAAATTTAAATGGGCCTGTGTTCTAAGACCTTTACATAGGGGACCTCGGGACCCTTCTGCATGACCCAAGTCAGAATTGAGGGATGAGACCCAGTGACATGAAGTAACTTAGTCACTCAGTTGTGGAAGCAGAACTGAGATTCGAATCCAGAGAGGCCTTGGCTGTCCCAGGCCCAGCCTGAGGAAGGCTACCAGGCCAGTGTGTCTGACGCCACCCTCCCACTGTCACAGGAGAAGCAGGACAAGGTGGTACTGCAGTCAGAGGTGGCCAGCCTTCGGCAGAACAACCAGCGGCTGCAGGAGGAGTCGCAGGCCGCCAGCGAGCAGCTTCGCAAGTTTGCTGAGCTCTTCAGTAGGGAAAAGGAACTCTGAGACAGCCGGGGAGGTCCTGCACCACGAACACCCTCATCCAGCCATGATGCCTCCCCTGCAGGCTGGGCCCAGGCTCCTGACTCCTCTCTCCCTCTCTGGGCTCCTGGTTGCAGGTGGAGGGGTCACCCAGCCAGAGAGCCCAGGCACCTGCCAGCCCATAGCCCTCTGCAGGGACTTGGGAACCAGGGCTGGTAGAAACCAGCTCTGCTCCTGTCTCAGGGCCCTCTGAGCTACCCCCCATCTCCCCCCCACACACCCCACCCCATGGGCCTGTGGGCCATCAGTCCTCTTCCTTGTCCTTGGACCCAGCTGCTGGAGCTCTTGGACGGCGGGAGGGACAAGGGATGCTCCCTGCATGAGAAACACAGTGGGATACCAAATGAGCCCCCTTCATTCCCCACACCCCAGAGAGGTCACAGCCCAGGGCTCCTTCGTCCCCAGTGCTAGCTCCCAACAGCATGGACACCATCATCTTCCCCCAGCCCTTTCACAAAGCAGCCAGGAGCACTTTTCATAGAGTTTAAATTATTTTCCTGGGGCCCCCAGATAAAGAGAGGAGACCCCAGTATCCAGAGTCCACCAAGAGAAAAACCCTTCTTTGTACAATCAAGACTGTTTGTACTATCTTTTCCTTATCAGCTCCTCCCAGCAGAGGCCACAGTGCCTGGGCCTGGGCTGCAGGCCTTTTCTCTCCTACTCATACCCAGCCCTGACCAGCTCAGGGCTCAGAAGGCACCCATGGAGCCTTGGGCCAGGCTGAGGAAAAGCAGCCTTGTCTCCTGTCTGCTCTCATTTTCCTTTGCAAGGCTCCAGGGCCAGTCTTGCAGCCCCCCCAGCGGGCGCCACCCAGACACATTCACTGTGCTCCCCGGGGAGCACTCCCAGTGCAACCCCCAGAGATGCTAGTTCTCAAAAGGCAATAAGGGGCAGCTCCGTGTGGTACTACGCTGTTCACCCAAGAAACATGAACTTTTTTTTTTTTCCTTCTTTAAAAAAAAAAACAAAAACAAAAAAATATATTATATATATATTTATTTTTTCATGTAGAGTTGTGCCAGAACGAGTCTGGATGGCCACGGTCTGTGGACTCCCCCTCCCCAACCTCAAGCTGAGAATTGAAGCATGTACCACCACCACCACCCCCCTGGAGGTGGGGAGCAGTGGGAGGTGGGGAGCAGTGGGAGGTGGAGGAGTTGGCAGCCCAGAGCCAATGCCAGGCAACAAGGCCCACCTCTGAAAACCAGGCCTTCTCTTTGAGGAAGAGCCTCTTGACAGACTTGCACCCCAAGACAGAGAAGCAGGGCAGGGCCGGAATAAAGGGTACCCATGGTTGGCCAGAGGGGTAGTATCTAGAGCAAAACCTCAGTTCCAACATTGCCAGTGGTGGTAGGAGACCAGGCAGCTGCCCAGCCATCCTCAGCCATGGCCAACTACTGTGACGTCTCCTCCCCTCTCCCCTACGACCCTCCTTACTCTGCCTCCACCCCTTTCCTCAGACAAACCTGGAGCCTTTTGCTTTCTCTCTTTTTTTTTTTTTAGATGTCTCCTCATCTTCAGATCATTCTAATCATTTTGGGGACGTAATCATGTACATTGACAAGTGTAAATTATGATTTTTTTTGCTTACATTTTGTTTTTTTAAATTTCTGCAAAACCAGTTATTTAATTTGAGGTTGGTGTTATATCCATTGGCTGAAGATAGGCTTTTTTTTTTCCATGTTGATTTGTTTCATTTGGATTTTTTTTTATTCATTGTCTTTTTTTTTTTTTTTCCTTTCCATCTCTGTCTTGAGATTTTTCTGGCATGTTTCTGGAGGTTTCAAAGGAAAATAAATGTTTCATAGAAATGGCTTGTGTGTTCCCTAGCTGGGCGGCTGCCTGGACAGCACACACTTTCCTAAGAACTGACTCGTCAGCCTCACAAACTTTTTCTTGGAACCCAAATTACAGAAATCTGACCCTGCACATATAAAATGTCCTTAAACTCAAGTGAGCAAGATTCTCCTAAGTCCTATACCTAGGAGAGATGGGAGCCAGACCCACATACAAAGAAAGAAATGCTGGTTTTAGAGTAGGTCAGCTTTTTTTTAAATCAGGGTTTTCTCTGGGCACTGGTAGCTCACACCTGTAGTCCTAGCTACTCAGGAGGCTGAGATCTGAAGATTGTAGTTCGAAGCAGGAAACACCATGAGACTATTATCTCCAATTAACCACCAAAAAAAAAAAAAAACTGGAAGTGCTGTGGCTCAAGTGGTAGACTGCCAGCCTGGAGCAAGGATTAGCACTCAGGCCCTGAGTTCAAGCTCCAGGACCTGTGTGTGTGCACACAGCTCAGGGATTGTACAGAATGTTTGGTGGGTCCACAAGTCCTGAAGCTTAAGCTCTTGGAGCCTCAGCTAGTGCCAGGCCACACTCCTCATTACCAGGTTTATTTGCATGTCCTGTCCCACCCACAAAGGGTTATGTGCATCCTCTACCTCTTCCGTCCTTTGGTGGGCTGTGGCTGGTGGTGCGGGTCTCTGCCAGCTGTCCAGTGTGGCTAGGAGCGGAAGCTGCCCGTGCCCCAGGCTAGTGGGAGGCACAGTGCCCACTCAAGAGAGTGGCTGGAGATGGTGATACTCCTGTGATGGGGAAGGGGACAGCTGTTTGGGCTAAGCCCAGCTCTGTACCTGCCCATGTGGGCATCAGGCAAACCTCCTCACCCCAACCCCCCCCCCCAAAAAAAAGAGCACTGCATCCAGAAGAGACCCAGCTATTCCCATAGCTCAACATTCTAGAGCCATCCATTCTTTTCTCCAGTCCTGGAGGCCCCATCCTCAAGCTTGCCCTTCCCCCAACCAAGAGGCAAAGGGAGGGGGGACGGGAAGGGAACCTGGGAACAAACTGTTCTCACATCCTCTCCTGGCGCCTGAGACACACCAGCAACTCCCAACACCCCAACACACACACACACACATTCCCTTTGCACACGCCAGCCCCTGATCTGGCCTACCTTCCCTTCATCTTGCCCCAGTTTTCCTGGCCCAGCTTGGGCCCTCCCCCCCATTCAGCCTCCACACGTCTGACTGGCACTCGGCAGATTTTTCTGTTCCCCTAGATTCTTTGTGTCATCCCTCCCCAAATGTCCATGTGTCCCTCATTTGATTAGTTTGTCCCAGAATTTGCCTGTCCCTGGATCCTAATCATCTCCCCACATGGGCCTCCCTCATTCCTTCTCTCTCTCCCCTCCCTCCTTCTCCTGTCTCCCCCTCTCTCCGCTCTCTCTCCTGGACCCTCTCTCCAAACCCCTATTGATTTCCTCCTCTTTGGTCTCATAGTGGCTGCACTTTTTATTACTGTTATTTCCTCTCCTGCTCCATCTCCACCTCTGTTCCTTTCCTCTCTTCTGACTCTTATCCCCAGGAATGCCTGCCTGGGGTTCTCTTCATCTATTTCTTGCCTGCTCTGCCCTTTGCTTAGCCTCGCAATAAATTTGTGATTCTTGCCATCCTTGCTCCTGATCTGTGTTCTGACTCTCCCTCATACTAACCCTAGCTCCCACCTCCCAATATATATCCAAATCACAGTCTCTCCTAAAGTCCGTATCTAGATGCTTCCTCCTGCCCTCCTCTCCCCTGCCATCTTTCTCTCCACTCTTCCCCTACCACTGTTTGAAGCCCTGGGTGCCGCCTCCAAACACCCCTGCTCCCACCCCAGCAAGGAAGAGGCCACCAGATCCCTCTCTTTCCATCCCTCCCTTCCCCCAGTCTTCCCTCCCAACTCCCTTTGCCTCCGCTGCAGCTGCAGCAGTCCGTTGCCAGGGCAACCACAGCTGGCTGGGCGGGAGCCCCCTCCACCCCATCCCCCTCTTCTTTCCTGCTAGTCCAGAGAAGCTGGGACAAAGCCAGAGGGAGGCGTGGTACCAGGGCCTGGAGGAGGTGGTGGTCCACCCAGTGCCCAGTTGCTACTCCAAGGAGGCCCTGGCTCCCCTTCTTGGTTACACCCCAAATCAGGCTGGAGGAGGAGACAATCGTAGGCAGAGGGGTCAGGCCCAGTTTAATACACAGAACAAGTTAATTTCACAGCAGAGGCAGGCAATAAAGGAGACTTGTTTACAAAGGGAGGGGGTGCTGCTGGACTGGGGGGAGATTCCCCCAGCACCTCCCCCTCCCCCACTTGTAGTCTCAACTTCCCTTTTTTTTTTTTTAAACCCGAACAACGAACACACACAACCACAAGAAACAACCACACCCCCTCACTACCTCCAAAATGGCCGGCGAGGGTGGTAGGGGGGCAGCCCAGCCTGGCCAGGTGGGAAGGGGGCTGGGAAGGAGGAAAAACTGAGTCCATTGTAGAGAGTCTGTGCTTCTAATTCCAGCGGGCGGGTGCTGGCTGGCAGGGGCCCCTCCGGACTCCCCGGCCACTCACCGCCCGCCTGGCAGGCACCTGGTGGGCATAGGGGAGGGCTGTCGGGGAGGGGCAGGAAGAGTTCAAAACCGTGGTTCACATCATGCAGTATCCATATGGGCACCGGGAGGGGGGTGGGGGGTGGACACTGCCCACTGGGCATGAGGGGGGGAACGGTGCCCACCTCAGATGGAGAGGTGGGACAGCTGCAACTCCAGAATTGGGGCGGGGGTGGGGAGTGCCAGGCAGGAAGCTGGCAGAGACAGGTGCCCAGCAGATGCTCAGCCATACCCCCTCTACCTCCACCCAGCCGGGCCTTATAGGACTCTTTGTATATATTAATTTCTTTTTTTTTTTAACTTTTTGTCTTTTTCTTTAGAAAAAGGCTCTGTCCATGCCCCAGGTTGGCATCCACTACCCCCCTGTGCCCGCCTAGAGGCGGGGTATGGCTTTGAGGGGAGTGGAAGCCCCTGGTGCCCATTTGCCAAGGGATGGGGAAGGGTAGGAGGGCACGAGGGAGAGGGGCAGTGCTGGGCCCCAGCCTGCAGGGCTAACATTCCACCTGCAGAGGGGACGGCAGCCCTGCCCTCTCTAGGCTTCGCCCTCCTCCTGCTGCTGGGTATGAAGGTGGAAGAGAGGAGCTCTGATAGGCAGAGGGCAAGCACCACCCGGAGGGGTCCAGGTCCAGGTCCAGGTCCAGGAGAAGCAGAGCCAGGCCTAGGTGAGGGTGATGTAGGCAGAGGCCTTTTCTTTCAAGTGCCGCAGGCAGAGGTGGCAACTCCAACTCCCTGAGAGGGTGGCCAGAGGATGGAATCAGGCCCATGTCCACCCAGCAGCGTACATGGTCTTTGCCACCAGGAAGCCAACTTCCCAACGCCCCATCCCCCACAGGAGTCCACCTCATCCCTCACCTTCTGGGGGCTCCGCCATGGGGGGACTCAGGCAGTACATGTGGTAACCCCGATCACAGTCGTCACAAAACAGCAGCTGGTCCTGGGGGGTGAGACCCACCCAGCTGGCACCCTGGGGGCATGGGCACCAGAAACCGGGGTGGGGGGCTGGGGAAGGGGCCTGGTCCCAAGGGTGCTGGGTGGGGGGGTGGGGGGGCACTCTGAAAAGGCTCTGCATTATGGCCTCTGCCTGATCAGCAGACATCCATGTCACTCTGTAACTCTGGAATGCTATGTGACACTAAGGGCCTGGTACTAGCTCTGGAGTTGTGGACATGGTTAGAATCCCGGCTCTACCCCTTTCTCAGACAGCCCATTCTCCCTCTCGGAGCTCCTTTCTTCTATGCAGTGGAAATGAGAGCAAGGCAGCAATCCATAAATCTGGTAGGGCAGTGTCAGGGGGAGGAGCAAAATAGTGCCAGACTCCAGTAATGGACACTAATAACAGTAAGTCTCTGCATTACTGCTGGTTGCCTGGGGCTGGGGGGGTGGGGGGTGAGGAGGACTCCTGGTGGGGCTGGCAGGGAGGGAGGCTGGGGATGTCCCAGGGAGGCAGGGCGGACACTCACGTCATTCTCCGAGGTGCCACATAGGCTGCAGGACTTGCACTCAATACACTGCCAGCGGTAGGTCCGCACAGCAGCTGTCATGTTCACCGTGAACTGTAAACACGAGGGGTGTCCTGGGGGCCGAGAGGCAGGGATGTGGTTGGAGGGGGAAGAAATCATCCTGCCTCTGGTGGCTACTTGACCCCCCTAGGGAAGAAGCAGCCTCACCCCTACACAAGATGCCCAGCAGGCAAGCAGCTATACCTTGGCCATCACAGTCTCCTAGCCAGATGCCATGGCAACCACACTTTGCTCCCCAGAATGCTATGGCAACCACATTCCATTACCCACAGTGCTGTGGCAACCACGTCTTACCACCCACAACACCGGGGCAACCACAGTCCGTTAACCACCGGGCTGAGGCAGCCACATTCCATTACCCACCACGGAATATGGCCAAGTGTGCCTGTTAACCACAGTCACGTGGCAACCGCCTTCTCCCAGCCACAACGCCATGGCAACCGCCTTGCACAACAGGGGTCCTCACACCTTGATTCCACAAGATGCCCCCCCCCCCCCGCAACGAAACTGTTCCTAACACTACGCATAATACCAGTTGGTTAGGCATCTCAGTACCCCAGGGCAGACACCTGCAGCTACAGCCATGGTGCCTGACACCAGAGCCACTACTCCTGCCACCCACACTCAGTGCCCACTGTGCCTGCCCTCATCATCATCACCCACAGGGCCTGATACCCACACCCACAGTCGCTGCCCACAGCTGTCATCCATAATGCCCAACACCCACCAACACTGCCACAGTACTTGACATCCTCAGCTCCTGCCCACAGATCTAACACTTCTGGCCATCCCCTATGGTAGCCAACCCCACAGCTGCTGCCTGAGTGCCTTAACAACTATAATTTCATTTTATCTAACTGCCACAAGAAGCAGACCTCACAACCCAGGATACCACAGCCGTCACAAATTTCTTACCGTGCTGAAGCCACCACCATGGGAAATGGCATTCCATTCAGCAAATAAGGACCCAGGCAGTAGCAATCCATCACTCCCAGATCTCAGTCTCCTACCCACAATGCCTCTGCCATCTTCTCACTACTGTCCATGCCGCGATTAGCATGGGTCACTACGTACAATGGCACAATGGCCATCCCCCACCATTCCCAGAGCCCACTGGGATTCCTACAGTGCTCAGCAGCTGAGCCATGGGGGCCTTGGTTCCCCACACACAACCTCCCCATCCTCCAGACCTGGACTCCTGGCCCTCTTCTCCACCTCCAATGGGGGTATCACCTGATCGGCCACAGTCTGCACAAGAGATGAGGTCCTCGGGACACCCCGTCTTCTTGGAGCCACCCAGGCAGAAGTCACAGTAGCCATTAGGGATGACAGTGCCATCAGGTGCCTTCTTGGCTGAAAGACAGTGGGCAGGGGTGGGCACAGGGCAGGAGGACCACCCAGTCAAGGGCTGCTGAAGTAGGAGTGGAAAGAAGCATCCCTACCTGTGTGCTTCCTTTGTGCCTCGGGGACCCAGGCCAATTCTTTGTAAAACTCTGGGGGTGGGGGACAGAGAGAGGGGCTCTCACCAGAGGCAATGCTCCAACTGCCCTGCCCCTCCCACCTCCAGCCTTGGCTCTGGGGCTGGGCTATTATTAGTCCAAGCACCAGGAGAATGTGGAAAGAGTAGCTACCCTGACCTGTGATCAGTAACAAAAAAAAAAAGAGTTGGGGAGGGGGGCGTCATTCTCATGAGGACCACCAGCTCTTAGTACAATTGATTATGTTCTCTTTTATTACACAAAAATGTGACAACCAGTACAGGCTTAGGAAGAGCAGCCTAGCCTCTGCCTCACAACTCTACCTGTCTGCCAGGCAGCAACCCCTAGCTAAGCCCCGCCCAGGTAAAATTCTGCAGATGTTTCTGGCCAAGACCTAGTATGGAGAGAAGCTCAGAGCACAGAGGTGCTCGGATATGTGGTGGGCCTGGTCTGAGGACGCTGCCCTCTGCCTCCAAGAGATGGACAGGAGTCAGTTCCCCTCCCCCATCACTCAGCTGGCATGGTGTGGGCTGAACACGGATGGGTGCCAAGGGCTCCTGGGCCACCAACCCGACCCTTTAGCCCCTTAGCCAAAAGCACAGCAGAAAAGGGAGAAAGGGAGGCTCAGCGAGGGAGGGGAGTCATCTATCACCCCCTCCCCAAGCTCTAATTGAAACAATAAATCAGACCCAGAAATATTACGCCCGGGCCAGGAGCGAGGGAAGAGATGGTTGGTTGCCATGGCAACCCCGGAGCCAGCATCCCTATGGTCGGTGGGGGAGGGAACCTCTGAGCTGGAGATTTTCCAGAAATGTCTAATGTGCCCCCACCCCCTCCACAGCCGCCACCAGGCTTCTTCAGCACCCCCCTCCACCATCCCTGGGCCCCTCGCCTCCCCAACCTGGCCCTTGGGCTCACGTTTGTGGTTGTTTTTCCGGTGGAAGGGCAGGGCGTGGCGCTCGGCGTGCTCCTCCCCCTCCTCCTCAGCCAGGTGGGTGTGGGTGTAGTGGTAGCTGAGCCCTGGCCGGTTCTTATACCGCTTCCCACAGACTGGAGGGCGAGCGAGCGGGCAGCTGTCAGCCTCCTCAGCCGCTGCCTCCACCCTGGCCTCCAGGATCACACCACCCCCACTGCCCAAGACCTAAACATACACACCCACCCAAGGCCAGGACAGGCGGGAGAGCCATCAGGGGAGAGGTCTCTGGGCCCCACTCTCTCTCTTTCCCCCTCTGCAGAAGGACTCACTATCACAGACATACGGCTTGTCTCGGTCCTCCAAGGAAGCAGTGTCCTGGCGTTTCCGGAGACCCCCGATGCCGTATGCCTGCGGGACAGAGGAGAATGGTCATAAGTGAGAGACCCAGAAATCCAAGTTGTCACCATCTGAACTTGAATTTTTCTTTTTTCTTTTTTTAAGGAAGGGTAGCACTATATAACCCAAGCTGCCATGCAACTTGAGATCCTCCTGTCTCAGCCTCCTGAAGTGGGATCACAGGTGTACACCACCCATTGGGCTTCATCATTTGGACTTCAACTTAAATCACACACACACACACAAACACACACACACACACACACACACACACACACACACAATGGGGACGGGAGGGAAAAACTGGGAGCGAGGGAAGGGGTGACATTGTCCAAAAAGAAAGGTACCCATTACCTGACTATGTAACTGTAACCCCTCTGTACATCACCTTTATCATAATAAAGACAAATTTGGAGGAGGAAGAAAAATAACACAAATATTTGATTTGAGGGTGCTGATAGTATTGCTCAGTGATAGAATGCTTGCTTAGCAAGCTGAGGGTCTAAGCCCTAGCACAGCAAAAATTATAGTAATAATAATAGTATTATTCCTGCTCCTCCACCAAGCTATTTATTCTTCCTAGCTATAGAGTCTTAAACCTCTCTGAGATAGCCATGAGATCGTTCTAGTTGCTGGGAGTGAGTGGCTCACGCCTGTAATCCTACTTAAGAGGTTGAGATTCAAGGATTGTGGTTCAAAGCCAGCCCCGACAGAATAGTCTATAAAGACTCCATCTCCAATTAACCAGCAAAATGCTAGCCTGGAAATGTGGCTCAAGTGGTAGAGCACTAGGTATGAGGGGGTAAAAAAAGCCAAGCAAGAGCCGGGTGCTGGTGGCTCACACCTGTGATCCTAGCTCCTCAGGAGGCTGAGATCTGAGGATCACGGTTCAAAGCCAGCCCAGGCAGGAAAGCCTGTGAGACTCTTATCTCCAATGAACCACTCAGAAAACTGGAAGTGGCACTGTTGCTCAAGTGGTAGAGTGTTTGCCTTGAGCTGAAGAGCTGAGGGACAGCACCCAGGCCCAAAGTTCAAGCCCCACAACTGACAAAAAAAAAAAAAAAGGCCAAGCAAGAATACAAGGCCCTGATTTCAAGCCCCAGACCCCAGAGTCTGGGGGAGGTGGTGGTGGAAATAGTTCTAATCCACTACACAATTTCCTTTTGCAAATGGTTTAATCCATGTCAGCCTGGGTCTCCTCCCTATTCAGGCTGCTCTGGGAGTGAAATGTGGTCAGACCTGTGGCACATGCCTAGGAAGTATGAGCAGTCTCTGAGAGGAGAGGTGAGCAGCTTTAGGGGTATAGTCCCTGAGGGGAGGGGTGAGCAGCTTTGGGGATACCTTTCCTTTGGCCCTGTTCTTCCTCCTAGGAATGTCATCCTCCAAGTCTTCCACCTCAAGATCATGCGGAAACTCCAGCAACTGCTGTTTCTGGACCCCAGGAAAAGGAAGATTGAGAGGTCAGAAAGATGGGGGGGGGGGGGGCGCTGAGAAGTTGGCTCAGTGGTAGAGCGCTTGCCTGGCATGCATGAGGCCCTGGGTTCAATTCCTCAGCACCACATAAGCAGATAAAAGCCGGAAGTGGTGTGTGGCTCAAGTGGTAGGGTGCTAGCCTTGAGCTGAAGAGCTGAGGGACAGCACCCAGACCCAGAGTTCAGCCCCCACGACTGATGAAGGAAAGAAGGAAAGAAAGAAGGAAGGAAGGAAGGAAGGAAGGAAGGAAAGAAAGAAAGAAAGAAAGAAAGAAAGAAAGAAAGAAAGAAAGAAAGAAAGAAAGAAAGAAAGAGAGAGAGAAAAAGAAAGATGGGGTACTGATCTGGTACAGGCTAGGGAGAGAAGGCAGGTTGGTGGAAGAAGGGGAATCTTCCAATGAGAGGAGGAGGAGGTCTGGGAAGATGGAGACTCAGTATACCTGAAGGCCCTAAGGAACCACGAAGGCTTAAGGGCTGGAGGGATGTGGAGTGGCCGCAGGTAGCTGCTTGTGGGGGTGAGAGGAGGATTTGCAGCTGGGTTAGGGGTTGCAGGGGGTGGTGGGAGGGAAGGTTCTACCTGACAGTCCATAATAGTCTCCTCCTCCTTCAGCTCCACCTTCTTCTCCCCAGTCTCAGCACACAGCAGAGCCTCGAGGACTGGCCCTTCCGGGAGACCACCCTCTTTCTTCAATGGTGCCTCACAATCTGGGGACAAATGGTAGGGATAAGGGGGCAGGTTAAGGTTGGGGACCACACTCTTTGTGGGAGGGAAGAGGTCTTCTCACACTTGGTCAGCAACCGAAGCAAGGATTCCATCACATACCCTGGAAGGATGCCCAGATCCTGGAGAGACACAGCCACACCCCCACTGGGACACACTCAGGAGGAGACATGACCAAAGCCCTAGACACACCTAAACCCTCATAAACCCTAAGAGCCACAGACGGGGGGGGGGGGGGGGGCAGCCAGACCCAAGGGAGTAAATATGGATACTTAAATGGGACATGTGGACATTCACAAGGAACATGCAAGACAGACAGTCAAAGGAAGACACAACACCAGTCCTCAGAGACACTACACACTCAGAGGAGATCCAGCCAGACTCTTGGCCATACCTGGGAGAGGCTTACCCAGACTGGGATACACTGAGAGATTCTCTGAGGGAGACCACTAGGCCCACAGTGATATCGAGACCTATACGAGGAAGGCACAGCCAGGCCCTACAAACATCTACACACACACATACACACACACACACACATCCCCAGAAAGCACTGATCAGATACAAACTGTGCACAGGAGGAGAGACAAAGATAGCCAGGTGAGCACTCCACTGCTTCCCAGATATAACACAGCCCTTCAGTCATGAATAGTGGAAGACAAGAAGCCTGTGTCTCTGATTTTGCTGGACTCTGACTTTGCTGGACACATGCAAGAAGCACTAAGTCCACCCATGCTGATCTAGCACACAGAAACACACTGAATGTACACACAAATGGCAAGACTCTCCCAGACACTCTAACATGTCCAGATCCCCACAGGAAGAGACAGCCAGCTGCGCACAGGAACTCAGTCATGCCCCAGAACAACTGGATTCTCAGATGAGCCAACCAGACACACACAAGAAAAAATACACTGGGAAACACCAAGAGGCACAGACTGACCAATTTCTCTTCAGACAGGAAGAGTTACAACCAGACACTTTTAATATCCAAACACACTCAGGGAGGGAAATAATCAGAGTACCCACAAAAAGAAGTACAGCCAGATACAAATGTACCCCAGCTCACTGGGGGGGTCACAGAGAGAGAGTTCATATACCTAGACATGCCTGACAGGTACCACAATGTGCCCCAGTCTCCTGGGCCCACAGAGGAGACACAGCTGAAGCTCTGGGACTCAAAGCTGTGGGAGCTCTGAAATACACCGAAAACACTCAGGCTGGGCAGAGCAGGCCGTGGGACACTTAGGATGAAGATGTGCACTCATAAGCTCCACCCACCGATCTTGTACTCGCAGGGCCTGAGTCTGGGGTCCTCCAGGATGTTGAGTCTCCGCTTCTTTCGCCAACAGCGGGCAGGATAGGTATAGATCTGTCCTGGGGCCAAACCTAGAGAGAGAAGAGGGTAAGATCTCAGCCAGGGAGGCAGGCCCCGCCCTGCCCCGCCAGCCCGGCCCCGCCCTCCTGGCCGCTGGTACCTGGCCCGCGGTGGGTCTTCTCCATCCAGATGTAGCAGTTGTTCTGAGCAACGCCGGTCTGCGAGTCGAGGAAGGGCAGGCGCAGGCTGCGCTCGGCGCACAGGCGCGCGTTGTAGCTGCGGCAGTGCTCGATGGCCTCGCGGTAGAAGTCCTCGCCTAGGCTACGGGGCGAGCGAGCAGCAGGCAGGCGCCTGTCAGCAAGGGTGGCCCCGAGTCCCAGCACCCCATCCCTGGCCCCAACGGCTGGCTCCAGCTGATTGGAAATGGATGGCCGGACACCCCGCCCCGCCCCCACCCCTTCCAACTTCACCTCTTCCCATCCCAGTGGTTCCCTCCTGGACCCTGGGGAGGGGGAGGGGACCCTAATCTGGGACTGAAGAGGCCTCCAGCTAAGAAGTGCACAATACAGACAGGGACAAAAACACAGGGAGACTCACCCACACTGCACGTATCCAAACACACAACACAAACAAACCGCACATGGTCATACGGAATTCACACACAAAGAGAAACTTACCCCAATGCTCACAAAGGAGAAGCAGACAAATCTCACACCTATGCACACACAAATATCTCCAGAAAAAAAAAATACAAAAACCCCAAGCTACATACTACAGAGAGACCACACATATCTAAGCACAATATACCTTACATAGCCAAAGACACACAATATAAACAAATCACCTACAAAGACCCACAACGAGAAAGTAGATCCCACCACACATAGGCAAAGACACGCACACAATTGTCAGAAGACAATTACTCACATAAGCACTTACAGACCCAAAGCCATAACACAAACCAAGCTCATCAAGAAGCTCCAGCCCCACAATACAAAGAAATCACACAGATTCACACAAGTACAGGCACACATGCACAAAGAGACAAAAATATGTGTAAAAAAAAAGTACCTAAAATACACACAGATTCACACCTATACAACAGGAAAATTCGGATCCACCCAGATTCACACAAACCTTTGCACCAGAAACACATGCTATCCAAAGACAGAATCCAAGCCAAACACGGCATAGTTCCCACCGGACATGTGGGCCCCAAATATCCAAAGATATGTAGTTGTACAATAAAAGAAATCATATACATAGCCACATGAGCAAAATAAGTCACACACGCACCCACATTCTACACCCCAAGACAAAGGTAGTGCACACTCCGTACGAGTTTGCCAAGGCCTTGGCATCCTCAGATTTTCACCTCTCCCAAAACTAGGGGTCACAGGAGGGGGAAGGAGGTGGGGACGATGACCCCCCCTCCTCCCCCCAAAAGAAATCCAGATCCTCTTCTCCACCTCCCCCATGCCTTCCACCCCTCCAGGAGCAGCGCATCGGACACCATTCCAGCGAGAGACCCCCTCCCCCCCGATCCCGCACACTCGCACCCTTGCACACGGTGACAGTCCCCCTGACACCCCCCAGCCCCACCCCCAGCCGCCACACACTCACACACACACACACACACACACACACACGCTCGTGCCCGTGCAGGCCCGGCTGCGCGCCCTCCCCTGCCCCGCCCCGCGCCGGCCCGCACCACCTCAGGGGGCCCGGGATGACCGTGGCCATCTTGCTCCCCGGGTCCTGCCCCCAGCAGGTCCCCGCCGGGTCGGTCCTCCCAGCGGTCGGGCGGGCGCTGAGGCCGCCCATCCATTCATTCCCGGGGGGCGGGAGCACGCGGATGTCAGCCAATCAGAGAAGCGGGGCGGGGCGCCCGGGTCATGCCGGGAGTGGTAGTCTCAGGCGGAGGCCCACGCACCTCCCCGGGCCCCCCCCACCCCCGGCGCGGGGGAGGGGGGAATGAGAGAGCACGCTGTCACTTACGCGTGCATCCTTCGTCCCACGTGCACGCAACGCATGCATGCACGCCCGGCCTGGCACACAACCCCCACGTGGCAGATTACACACACTCCCACACCTGCACCCCTGCTGGCCGCTACACACGCAAACACCAAGAGACTCAAGACATCTTACAGGTAAGTGCCCACCCACACTTCTCACTAAGGAGCCAGCGGGGTGCAGACACCTGGATCACTGGCTCCATCCTTCCCCACCCCCAAACCCTCTCAAAAAAAAAAAAAAGATGATGTCTCATTGACCCAGCATGGGCTGGGGGTACAGCTCAGTGGTAAAGCAGCTATTCCAGACGCTCTAAGTATCTCCAGCCAAGTAATAGCTGATCAATAAACTCGGTAGGGCTTAGTTTTGTTTTGTGCTGGTACTGGGGCTTGAACTAAGGACCTGGGCACTGTCCTTGAGCTTTTTATTGCTCAAGACTGACGCTCAATCATTTGAACCACACCACCACTTACGGCTCTTTGGTGGTTAATTGGAGAGAAGAGTCTCATAGACTTTCCTTACCCATGCTGGCTTCCAATCTCAATCTTCAGATCTCAGCCTTCTCAGTAGTTAGGATTACTGGCAGGAAAAGAAACTGTTCTCTCTAATTACTCACTAAAAAGCCACAAGTTGTGCTGTGGCTAAAGTGGTAGAGTTCAAGACTTGAAGGGGGGGGAAGCTCAGGGACAGCACCCAGGCTCTGAGTTCAAGCCCCAGGCCTGCCCCCCCCAAATGCATGCATACAGTAAATGCTCAGTAAGTGTCTGTGTATGAATGTGGAGCAGCCATCAAATGTTTAGACAGTTCTCTCCAGGGTGAAACCATCACACCATTTCCCGGTGAAAAATCAGAGGAACTGTGAACCGTTCTATGTCCTGGGTGATTTTTTTTTCTCCCTGGGGCTTGAATTCAGGGCCTGGGCACTGTCCCTGAGTGCTCAAAGATAGCACTCTACCACTTGAGCCACAGCACCACTTCCAGCTTTTTCTATGTATGTGGTACTGAGGAATTGAACCCAGAGCTTCATGCTAGCATGCAAGCACTCTACCGCTAAGCCACATTCTCAGCCTATCCTAGGTGATCTTTAAAGCTCACAGTCCTTCATGGAAGATGGAAGACTTACCTCATCTCTCACAGACTCTATCCCAAGGGATCCCCAGAGAACAAGCTGACCTACTGAGTACACACACACAGCCTCACTCTCTTTGAAGTGACACTGTGTTTCAGTGTTGAAATGAACACCCACGAATACTCCCTTGTCCACCAGGGGGCGCTCCATCGGCTGGCGCCCTTTTGAGACCCACTTGAGGCACCCCACGTTTATTGTTTCACTTCTCACACACACACACACACACACACACACCACCTACTCCATCCACAGCACCCCCACCCCCACTTCACATCTAAGCCATCTCAAGCCTTGGCTTGTCCTTCTCCCTTCCTAAATCGGGTGTTCAATTCCTTTCCAGAACACAGTGATGACAAGGGAATTGAGGATCTCTGGTACCCCTTTGCTTTCTGGTCTCCAGGTCCCTGTAAAGGCCAGCCCACCTTAGCCACAGTAAACGCTGCCCTCAGATCAAACGATTCAGCCCTGATTGTGCCTTTGCCATCTTCCACTCGCCTCTATCATTCTCCAGATCCCCAACACACCTTTTTGTACTTGCTCCCCACATCTCTGCCTCAAACCCTCCAACTCACCCCTGCTCAACCTCTGAAAGGAGCACAATGACAATTCCAGCCAGCAGTAACCAGGGCTCCCAACCTGAGAGAGCTCTCTTTCTTGCTCCCTGACCATCACCTTCACACACTGTCCTATGAACTTGACCTTCCAGTCCTCTCCCCTTCGACAATACACCTGTCCCCAAACCCTATGCCATGGGTGCTGTCCCCTAAAAGAAATAAGTATTTATTAATCAAACATTTATACTTTTGAAGCTGGGCAACAGTGGCTCACACCTGTACTCCTAGTTACTCAGGAGGCTGAGATCTGAGGATCACTGTACAAAGCCAGCCTGAGCAGGAAAGTCCATGAGACTCCCTTCTCCAATGAACCACCAGAAAATCAGAAGTGGTGCTGTGGCTCAGGGGGAGAGTACTATCCTTAAGCAAACAGAGCTCAGGGACAGTACCTAGGCGGTGAATTTAAGACATAGGACCAACAAAAAAATTTTTTATATATTTATACTCTTGCTCAGGGCCAATCTCTAAAGAGTTTTTACAGACTGCCTCTTGAAGCTCTACAAGGTAATAAGAACTTATTCTTCCCAATGCACAGACAGTAACACTGAGACTCAGAGCTGCAGAATTAATGGTTCAAGCTGAGGTTTTCATCTCCTGGCTCCCACTGCAAAGAGATTCAACTCCAGCATGTATGTGTGTGCGTGCACACACACATACATGCACACACACACACACATGTACCATACTGGGGCTTGAACTCAGGACCTGGGTGCTGTCTCAGTTTCTTTACTCAAGGCTGGCACTCCACCACTTGAGCCACAGCTCAATAGCTGGCTTTTGGGTGATGAATGGGAGTCTCATGGCCTCTCCTGCAGGGAGCTGGCTTTGAACCATGATCCTCAGATCTCAACACCCAGAGTAGCTAGGATTGGCATTCTTTAGGGACACTTGAGTCTCCACCTCCACCCTTGCAGACCCCATAGATGCAAGGAGAGTCAGTGGCCCTCCTGTACCCTTTGGCAGCCAAATCTCTGCAGTGGGCACACCATAACTCCAAGGGGTCTGAGCAGAAATCACACTGACGAAATTTCTGCAGCTCTATCAACAGGCTTAGGGCCCCACTGCCCCCAGTTTGAGGGTGTCCTCCACAAACAAAACCTCTATGTGTGTGACTTAGGGTGACATAGAAGCAGAGGCCACACACACACTGACCTGGACCACCAGACACTGGCTCCCTACCCTCTGCCTACCTGTGTAGGCCTGTGCCTATAAATCCCTGCCCCGCCCGCCCTCTTCTCCCACCCCCACCCCACCCCCATTCCAGGACCAGAAGTGATTGGGGGGGGCGCTTTGGTGCAGACCCAGCCCTTTTCTAGGTGGGTGGGTGGGGGACGCCCTCCTTCCACCCTGTTACTCCCCACCCATACACTCAGCGCTTAGATGCCCAAGGTCAAGGTTGTGGGAGCACGGGGGTGGGAGACTAGGGGGGGTCGTGCGGGCCCCTTTGTGCAGCTCCGCAGGCGCGCGCCCCCCTCCTCTGCGGGCGCCAGGGAGGAGGGGGAGGGGAGGACCGCGCACGCCTGCGGGAGAGAGGGCGGGAGAAGCCGGGTGCCTGTCACTCGGAGCCCGCTGTCCCCGCCGGGGAGAGGGGGTGGGGAGCGCTGGGACCCGGGAGTCCGGGATCCCGAGGAAGGAAGACGGAGAAGGAGGGGAGGAGAGAGGAGGAGATAGCCAGGGGGTGGCAGGGACAAGGGGAGGGAAGGGAGGGAGGGGTTTCCGTGGACCCAAGCGTCTGAGTTGCCAGCTACTGGGCCGGAGAGGAAGCCGAGTCGTGGATATGGAGAAAGGGAGGGAATCCCCGGAGACTTTAGGGCGCTCCCCGCACCCCCACCCAAAGCCCCAGGGGATAAGAGGTGCTCCCCTTAGATGTCTGTGAGAGGAGACAGAGGGAGCTGACCCAGGCATGGGGTGGGGGGAGGCTTCTAGGTCCTGGAGACCAGAGAGGAAAAAGGGGGGGACGCATCAGGGATTCAACAGAAGACACCCCTCCTGTCTTTGCTTCCTCCCCGTGGGTGCCACGGGTTGCGGGGTGGGGGGGGGGGGTCCTTCAGAGAAAAGGAAAGGCGACGAGAGAAAGGTGGTTTGATGAGGGGCAAAGAAGGTGATGGAAACCCAAGAGGACCGAGGTCCAGACTTAGGTGCGGGCGCTCGCACCCCCAAGTCACCAGGGAGGAGAGAGGGGGAAGCCGCTACCCCCACTCTGGGTGAGGAAACGATGCCCACCCCCCCCCCCACAGCCCGCGCCCACATTCCTTCACTGACAGCGACAAAGAAGAGACGCCCCCGCGACCCCGGCAGGGCCCCGTCCCTAACCCCGGGGGGTGCCAAACAAGGGGGTCGGGGAGCCCCTCCCTCCCTAGGGGCTTGGGGGGCGCGCACTGGGGACCCCCCCCTCCATTCAACTACGCTCCGCGGGTCCGGCCCCTGGTAGGGCGGGGGAAGGGCTCCTGGAGGAGGACGGGGGGGGGAGGGTCCCGCGAGGGGGCGGGGACGGCGGGGACACTCACGACTTGAGCGGGTTCTGAATGGCGGTAGCCATGGCCCGCTCGGCTGGGCCGCCTCCGGCCCGGGGCGCCGCTGCCGCCGCCGTGCGCGGGCCCAGCCCGGCCTGCGCCGCCCGCTCTGCCGCCCAGCGCGCTACGATTTCATTCATTCTTGGGGCTGCGGCGCCAGCGGAGCGGGGCGGGCCGGGGGCGGGGCCCAGCCAATCCCCGCGCCTCCCGGCGCACCTCGGGATGTGGAGTCTCAGGGTGCACGGCGGCGCCCGAGGGCGTCCCTACCGGAGACTACAAGTCCCAGGGGGCGTTGCGCGAAAGGACCACGCGCCCATTGGTTGCTGGGGATACGGGGCGGAGCTAAATCTTCCCTAGAGCATCTTTCCTTATCTGTACCTCCCCCCACCCCCCAGGATGCTCCATTCCCAGCTGGGGTTCTCTCCACCCTGTCTGGTACCACGGGTAGAGAAAAAAGGTAGTTCTCAGCTTCTAGGGCTCGCTAGGGCATGTGGATGACCATGCGGGTCTGTCGTGTGTGGTCTGTGCCTGTGTATCTGAGTGTCTCCAAAGTGTAAGCTAGACTTTTAAAAACACAGGGGTTAATCAGTCTTTGTTCATTCATTGAGTGTCTAGTATGGGGCACACACTCTCCTAGGGACTAAGTATATAAGACATGACCAAGATAAAACTGTCACTGTCACAAAGTTGACATTCTAAGCCAGGTGGGGTGATACACTCCTGTAATCTCAGCATTAAGAAGGCTTATGCTGGTGTATTGAAAATTCAAATTCAGCCTAGACCACATACTGAAACCCTACCGTGTGTGTGTGTGCACGCGCGTGTGTGTGCGCACGCGCACACGCGCACTTAGAGTAAGGCTAGAACTCAGAGCCTAGGCACTGTCTCTGAGCTTTTTCATTGAAGACTAGAGCTCTATCACTTGAGCCACGGCTCCACTTCTGGCTTTTTGGTGTTTAATTGCAGTTAAGAGTCTGATGGACTTTTTCCCAGGCTGATTTCTAACCTTTATTCTCAACTCTCTGTCTTCTGAATGGATAGGATTACAGGCAGAAGCCACTGGCACATAACTGGGTAGCCTCTCACTCTCACTTGGCTTTTTCTTTCAAGGCTGGCGGTCCATCCAGGGATGGAATGACCTAGTATCTGCCTTATGCTCCCAGCCCAATGGGGTGACCAGTGACAACCCAGAGGGCTCAGATAGAGGATAGGGAGGTACAGAGGCTTTCCAATTCCTCAAAGAAGCCAGCCTGACGCCTCCTTGGAGGAGGGGAAACCTGACCTATAGGTGAATCTACCTCCACCCTGACTTACTAAGACACCAGGAAAGGTCCCTGTTCTTCCCTGATCATCACTTCAGCCAATCTTCACCTGATCAGACTTAGGGACAAACAGAAGCGAAGTCTCAACTTCTAATCATTTCTCCTTACCTATGGGGTTTGGCCACCAGACGGCACTGTGGCTCAGTCTTTGTCTGGCTGAGGCTGCTCATGCTTCTTCAGAACCAAAAATGATACCTCAGCTATGGGAGATACTGTCACCTCCCACACACACATGCACACACACACCTTGGCCCTGCTCACAAGATCCTATGTAGACCGAGGTATGGTAATGCACACCCGTAATCCCAGCAGGTGGGAGGCTGAAACAGGAAGATGGAGAATTTGAGGCCAAGCTACGACACAAAGCAAGATTGTAGCAAAAATAAGTAAATAAGCCGAGTACCTGTCATCCTAGCTATTTGGGGGGCACAGGTTGTTATGATTGTGCTTCAAGCTCAGCCTGAGCCAGAAAAAGGTTGAAAGAAGCCAGGTGTTGGTGGCTCACTCCTGTAATCCTAGCTACTCAGGAGGCTGAGATCTGAGAATCACGGTTCAAAGCCAGCCCAGGCAGGAAAGTTAATGAGACTCTTATCTCCAATTAACCAGAAAATGAACCTGATGGTGCACACACTGCTATCCTAACTACAGGGAAGCCTAATACAGGCGACCACACCCACACTACAGGGAGCAAGGCCATCTCTATCTCAAAACTAACCTGCAGAAAGAGGGGCTGGAGGTGTTGCTCAATGGTTAGCACACTTGCTTAGTAAGTTCAAGGACCAGAGTTCAAACCTCATACCCTAAAATAAACAACATAAATACAGTTTTTATTGTTTTCTTTTGTTTTGGTTGTGGGGCCTGAACTCGGCCTGGGCGCTGTCCCTGAGTTCTTCAGCTCAAGGCTAGCTCTCTACCACTTGGGCCACAGCGCCACTTCCGGCTTTTTCTGCTTATGTGGTGCTGAGGAATCGAACTCAGAGCCTCATGCATGCAAGGCAAACTACCACTGAGCTACCTTCCCATCCCAAATATAATATATATATATATATTTTTTTTGGGGGGGGGTCCAGTTGTGGGGCCTGAACTCTGGGCTGGGGCGCTGTCCCTCAGCTCTTCAGCTCAAAGCTAGCGCTCTACCACTTGAGCCACAGCGCCACTTCTGGCTTTTTTTCTTTTTGCTTATGTGGTGCTGAGGAATTGAACCCAGGGCCTCAGGCATGCAAGGCAAGCACTCTACCACTGAGCCACCTTCCCAGCCCCCAAATATAATATTTTTTAAAAAGCAAAGCTCAGCTGGGCACCGGTGGCTCATGTCTGTAATCCTAGCTATTCAGGAGGCTGAGATCTGAGGATCATGGTTCAAAGCCGGCCCGGGCAGAAAAGTCTTTGAGACTCTTATCTTCAAAAAACCACTAGAAAGCCGGAAGTGGAGCTGTGGCTCAAGCGGTAGAGTGCTCACCTTGAGCTGAAGAGCGCAGGGACAGCGCCCAAGCCCAGAGTTCAAGCCCCATGACCGACAAAAAAAAAAATAAAAATAAAAATAAAAAGCAAAGCTCCTGTGACCCTAGAATTTGTCCCAGACCATGGAGAGAACAACAATGACAAACAGCCCCCATGGTGCCACTAGTCCTGTGTGTGCCACAATGCCCCACCATACAGCCCCCCCCCCCCAGGTTGTGGGGCTTGAACTCTGGGACTGGGCACTGTCCCTCAGCTCAAGGCCAGTCCTCTACTACTTGAGCCACAGCGCCACTTCCAGTTTTCTGGTTGTTAATCGGAGTTAAGAGTCTCATGGACTTTCCTGCCCGGGGCTGGCTTTGAACCTCAATCCTCAGATTTCAGCCTCCTGAGTACTTAGGATTTCAGGCGTGAGCCACCGGCACCCAGCTGTGAGACCCACATTTCCAGTTAACCACCAGAAAACTGGGGTGGTGCTGTGGCTCAAGTAGTAGAGTGCTTGCCTTGAGCTGAAGAGCTGAGGGACAGTGCCCAGGCCCAGAGTTTAAGCCCCACATCTGGAAAAAAAAAAGAGTGTCAAAGACTTTCCTTCCCAAGCTGGCTTTGAATTGCACTCTTGCAATCCTCAGAGTTCAGCCTCCTGAGTAGCTAAGATTACAGGCATGAGACATCAGTGGCTAGCTAGGATGGACTTTTAACAGTCCCCAACTCTCTCTGTCCCTCTGTCTCTCTGTCTCTGTCTCTTTTTCTCTTTCTCTCTCGTTCTGTCTCTCTCTGTCTCTCTCTCTTCCCCCTTTCCCCCCAGGATCAGGATTCAAAACCAGCCAAGGCAAGAAAAGTCTGTAAGATTCATATCTCTGATAAATCAGCAAAAGGCCAAGAATGAAGCTGTAGCCCAAGTGATAGAGTGCCAGCCTTGGGTGAAAAAGCTAAGGAACAGTGCCTAGTCTCAGAGTTCAAGCTCCAGGACTGGCACACACAAAAAATAAAAAATAAAAAAAAAATAGCCAATTATGAGCTCTGATCCTTTCATTAATATAAGTGCAATTGTAGTTATTTTTCTTTTGGCGGTACTGGGTTTTGAATCCAGAGCTTCACCTACTTGCTAGGCAGGCATTCTACTGCCTGGGTGATGCTTCCAGCCATTTTTACTCTGTTTTTATTGGTGGTGGTGGTCATGGGGCTTGAACTCAGGGCCTGGTTGCTGTCCTGGCGCCTCTTTGTGCTAACAGCTAGCGCTCGACCACTTGAGCCACAGCAACACTTCTGGTTTTTGAGTAGTTAATTGGAGATAAGAGTCTCACAGGGACTTTTCTGCCCAGGCTGGCTTCAAAGTGGGATCCTCAGATTTTAGCCTCCTGACTAGCTAGGGTGACAGGTGTGAGCCACCAGCCCCCGGCTACTCTGGTTATTTTTAAGATACAGTCTTGCTGTTTGCCCCAACTAGCTAGACCTCAATCCTCCTATTTCCACTTCTCACAGTAGCTGCAATAACAAGCCTTACCTAGCTATTGGTTCAGATGAACTGTCCCCAGGTTGGCCTCCAACTATGATCCTCTAAAGTGGCTAGGCTTGCAAGTGTGAACCACAGGTGCCTGGCCTCCAGTTATAATACTTATCATCCCACTTAGCAAAGCCTCTAGTGTGAATAGGACAAAAATGCGGGCCGGTGCTCTGTAGCATCTCCAAAGCCTCTTTACCACTCTCTGAGTGCTTCCGGCTCTGGGGTGCAGTTTAACATCAACTCACATAGCCACTAGGGGGCGCCGATGCCTCTCTTCTAAAAGGAAAGCTGTTGTGCAGAGATATCGCCACCAGGGGGCGCTGCCACCACACAAATGCCTACCATGTGCTGCGCACGTATTAGGAACACGGGGGAACTCAGGCCTGGCCAGGAGCCAGGCAGACAATGCAGTCCTGTCATGGTGGTGGATGGAGGAATTAAGCGACAGGATGGCATGAGGGGCCTTCTTGGATTAGGTGCCCTACACCTGTCTGATAAGCATCTGAAAGACAGCGAGGATGAGGAAGCCCCAGCCCTCCATGCAGAGGAAATGAGGGGCTTGGGGCAAAGAGTTGGGGGGGTGGGGAGGGAGGCGCTGCTTTTATTCCAAGGGCCAAGCAAAGACTGTGCCTCACGTGACAGGAAAGCAAGGGGGACTCTGTGTGTGAACCAAACAGACACGGATTCACAGTTCTTCTTTGTGCGGGTCCTGGGACTTGAACTCAGAGCCTGGGTGCTGAGTTTGCTCAAGGCTGGTGCTCTACCACTTGAGTCACAGCTCCACTTCCAGCCATTTGCTGGCGCATTGGAGATAAGTCTCATGGAACTTTCCTGGCCGGGCTGGCTTTGAACTGTGATCCTGAGATCTCAGCCTGCTGAGTAGCTGGGATGACAGGCGTGAGCCACCGGCGCTCAGCTCACTCTCCTTTTGTTTGCAGAATGAAATGGTGCCACACCAAGAAACTGCTTGCTTTTTTTAAAACGTTAACTTTGCCGGACAGAGGAACTGGGAATGGGCAGGGGCTGGTGGCTTCAGGAGCTGATCCCCTCCCTACCATGTGAAGGTTGGTAAGAATGCTTGCTACATGCCTCTATACACGGGAACCCACAGTTTGGCACGCTATGCTTCACTTCAGATATGGACACACAGACACAGAGAGGTTAAGGAACTTGCTCAAGACCACACAGCTAAGGACAGATGGTATCTGAACCTTGGCAGAAATATTTGGTTGCTTTTGCCTTGAAGTATTTGCATTCAGGGCCTACAATCTACTAGGCTCCTTATCCTGTTTTGTTTTGTTTTTAATATATATGAGTCAATCATTTCCCTTTCTTTCTTTCTTTTCTTTTCTTTCTTTCTTTCTGTTTTTTTTTTTTTTTTTTTTGAAGTCCGGTCGTGGGGCCTGAACTCTGGGCCTGGGCGCTGTCCCTCAGCTCTTCAGCTCAAGGCTAGCACTCTACCACTTGAGCCACAGCGCCACTTCCGGCTTTTTTCTTTTTGCTTATGTGGTACTGAGGAATCGAACCCAGGGCCTCATGCGTGCAAGGCAAGCGCTCTACCACTGAGCCACCTTCCCAGCCCTCTTTCTTTCTTTCTTTCTTTTTTCTTTCCTAGACTGGGACTTGAACTCAGTACCTGACGCCTTTCTTTTTGTTTGTTTCTTTTCGGTAGTGGGTCTTGAACTCTGCGCCTGGGCATTGTCCCTCAGCTCTTCAGCTCAAGGCAAGTGCTCTACCACTTGAGTCACGGCACCACTTCCGGTTTTCTGGTGATTAATTGGAGGTAAGAGTGTCATGGACTTTCCTGCCCAGGCTGGCTTTGAACCATAATCCTCAGATCTCAGCCTCCTGGGTAGCAATGATTACAGGTGTGAACCACCAGTGCCTAGTACTTAACACTTTTGCTCATTGGCTGGCACTTTACCAACTGAGCCACGCCTCCAATCCCACTTTTTTGTTTTGCTTCATTTTGGTACTAGAGCTGGGGCCTGAGCACTGTCTCTGAGCTTCTTTTGCTCAAGGCTAGCACGCTGCCACTGGAGCCACAACTCCACTTCTGGCTCTCTCTCTCTTTTTTTTTTTTTTGGTAGTTTATAAAAGCCTCATTCATTTTCCTGCCGATACTGGCCCTGAACCATGATCCTCAGATCTCAGCCTCCTGAGTAGCTAAGTTGACAGGCATAAGCACCAGCACCTGACTCCCACTTTGATTTTTGGTTTGTTTTGTTTTGTTTTTTTTTGGGTCCGGTTGTGCGGCCTGAACTCTGGGCCTGGGTGCTGTCCCTCAGCAGTTCAGCTCAAGGCTAGCGCTCTACCACTTGAGCCACAGCACCACTTCCGGCTTTTTTCTTTTTGCTTATGTGGTGCTGAGGAATGGAACCCAGGGCCTCAGGCATGCAAGGCAAGCACTCTACCACTGAGCCACCTTCCCAGCCCTTGATTTTTGGTTTGTTGGTTTGGTTTTTGGCAGCTCGCATCGCATCCTGTAACCCAAGCTGGTTAAAAGCTGGTTAAAACACCCGTTTTCTCCGGGTGTCTGCGTCCTCAGTGCTGGGATGATAGGTGTGCAGCGCCGTGTGAGGCCCAGGCCGCGCGGCTTCGCAGTCCTTGCGCTGCAGCTTTGGGTCGGATTGTCTGAGCAGTCACCACCACCTTCGCACGAGCTAGCCCGTCTCTCGTCACCACTAAAAATAAGCGCTGTTGTGGTATGTAGGGTCGTGGTGACATAGGAGTGAAATGGCTGAGTTCTGGAGTCAGAGTCTGGGATGGCAGCCCAGCGCCACGTTTCCTGGCTGTTGACTTGGGACAAATAACATCAGAAATCCGGGCCTCCGGTTCCTCATCTGTGAAGTTCCCATTTCCCTGAAGAGGAAACTGAGAGGCTCTGAGCACAGCGCACCCGGGAAGGCCTTGAACCCACGTTCCAGGAACACACCACCCCCACCAGCAGGAAAAAGGAAGGCAGATCAGGTTCTGTGAAGTGTGAAGTGGGGCTGGGGCAGGGAGGGGGCGGGGGGGGGGGGAGGGGGGGGGGACAAGGCCCAGGGGACAAAGGCTGGAGGTGTTCACTCTGTCCTGTCTTGTATGGAGAAAGGGGAGACATCTACATGGGGACCACAAGGCCACCCACCACCCTCGGGCCTGGGGACCCCCAGAGGGTCCTCTTTTGTTCTTTGAGGAAGCTGTGTGTGTGTGTATGTGTGACACACACACGCTGGGGCTTGAACTGAGGACATCACACTTGCTTACTTTTATTGCTCAAGGCTGCTGTTCTGCCACTGTAGCCACACCTCCACTTCTGGCTTTTTTGTTATCCTTGTTGGTCATGGGGCTTGAACTCTGGCCCTGAGTACCATCCCTCAGCTCTTCAGCTCAAGGCTAGCGCTCTACCACTTGAGCCACAACACCACTTCCAGTTTTCTGGTGTTTTTTTTTTTTTTTTTTTGGTCGGTCGTGGGGCTTGAACTCTGGGCCTGGGCGCTGTCCCTCAGCTCTTCAGCTCAAGGCAAGCATGCTACCCACTTGAGCTACAGCGCCACTTCTGGTTTTCTGGTGGTTTATTGGAGATAAGAGTTTCACGGACTTTCCTGCCTGGGCTGGCTTTGAGCCTCGATCCTCAGATCTCAGCCTCCTGAGTAGCTAGGATTACAGGCGTGAGCCAGCAGCACCCAGCTCTGGTCTTTTTTTGTTTTGTTTCGTTTCCAGTCCTGGGGCTTGAACACAGGGCCTGGGCACTGTCCCTGAGCTTCTTTTGATCAAGGCTAGCCACTCTACCATTTGAGCCACAGCACCACTTCTGGCTTTTTTGTGAATGTGGATTCTGAGGAATGGAACCCAGGGCTACATGCATGCTTGGCAAGCGAGCTACCACTAAGCCACATTCCCAGCCCCAGGGGAGTTTCTTAGAGATGAGAGTCTCATGAACTTTCCTGCCTGGGCTGGTTTCAAACCATGATCCTCAGATCTCAGCCTCCTGAGTAGCTTGGATGACAGATATGAGCCACCAGCGCCTGACTGAAGGGCCTTCTTTTCCTGCTGGCCTGGGGCTCAGACCCTGCGTGGGTACCTGGTCGTGACACGGCCACTGGCAGGGATGGAAGATGTCTATTTCTCCAGCTCTGCTTGGGCTGTTGGCCTCCACTACGCCCCCATCACAACTCCTAGCCCATCTCCCAATCACAGACAGCTGAAGCACCCAGGATAAACCAAATGTGGTGTTAAAATTCATGTTACAGCCACTATTCCCTTCTGAGACCCTACATTCCCAGCCCAGAGACTCAAGATCAATTCTTCTCTCAACTCCTCTGCCCCCTGCCAATTTCACAGTCTGTGGATCTAAATGGAGCCCATCTCGCACAAATCCCTGCCTTAATGCCACTTCCTTCAGGAAGCCCTCCAGGATTTCTTTACTGCCCTAAGGGATATGGGCTTCCCTCCCCAACTCAGCAGGCCTTGTGCTTACCGCCCACCTCAGACCCTTCTTTCCCACGTCATTCACACAGCCCATTTGTATGGTCTCAACTCCACAGCCCTCATCCACAGAGGGGCTCACGGGGCGGGCCAAGGATGGGCCTGGGTGTGGGGGAGGTGGGGACAGGATGTGAGTCCCCAGAGCCCTGTGGTCAGCAGGGCCTGTTCTCATGCTCTCTGGCCAGGGAGGAGCGATCGTCCATCTGGCAGGACCAGCTGTGGGCGCTGGGGTGTGAGGAGCGGGAGCTGGACAGTGGGCGTTGGGGGAGGGGGTGTGGAGAGGGCCAGGGAACAGGGGGAGCAAGGCCGGGCGCGCAGAGATGTTACAGAACCATGAACTACAACTTATAAACAAGCTGGGCATGTTAGGGAGGGAGGCCAAGTGGAAGGGTCACAGAGTCAAGATGGGGTCACGGAGGGGCTGTCCTGGCCCGGTCCTGGCGGGGACTCAGGCTGCCTTCATCGGAGGGGCTGGGCTGGCGGAGGCCTGGCTGTTTGTGGAGGCCCTGGAGCTTGGTCAGTAGCTCCTGGATGAAATCCTGGGGGAACAGGAAGAGGTTTAAGAACCCAGGAGTGGGCCTTGCATATACCCTCCTGCGGCCTGAACAGTGGTGGGGGAGGAGGGGGAGGAGGTGTAGAGATAGGCAGGGATGGGGGCAGGGAGGAGAAAGAGAGAGATGAGGAAAACAGAAATGGAGAAAGATACTCAGGGCAAGAGAGAGGAGGACAGAGAGAAAGACACTGGAAGACCCTGAGCCTATAATTGCAGGAGGCAGAGGCAGGAGGATCGTAAGTGTGAGGCCAGCCTGGGCTACCTACATAGGGAGACCCTGTTCCAGGGTGAGAGACAGACAGGAATGAGGTGGAGCAAGGTAGAGAAAACACAGACACAGCTGTAGGGCCAGAGACAGGGAGAGAGAGGCAGGAGCGGAGAGACTCAGAGAGAGAGAGAGACATGGAGACAGCTCTCAGGCCAAGAAGTGATCAGGAGGTTCCCCAGAGACAGAGGCCCGAGAGACAGAGGCCTGAGAGAGATGGAGGCCAGAGAGAGGGTTCCAGGGAATGGGATGTGGTGACGTTTGTCCCGCGGGCAGCCTAGAGCTGGTTGGAGAAACATGAATATTTTTCCCTTTTAAAGCAGGGAAGGAAGTGGGTGGAGTTGGGCTACTAAGCAAGCACCAAAGCCCGGAGGATGGGGGGCCCCTCGGGGGTGTGTGGCCAGGAGTTAGAGTGTGAAGGAGGCAGAGAGGAGAGACTAAGCCCTCAGACAGCAGGGCAGAGGCCAGAATAGGCGACGCCTGGGGTGGGGCTCCAGGAAACTGCTTGTGGAGCTTAGGAGACAGATGGAGGAGGAGGAGGAGGAGGAGGAGGGGGAGAGGGAGGGGGAGGAGGAGGGGGGGGGAGGAGGAGGAGGAGGAGGAGGAGGAGGAGGAGGAGGAGGAGGAGGAGGAGGAGGAGGAGTTCCCCAGAATGGTGTTGGCCTATTCTACCCCCCTCACCCCCCATGGCCAGCCTTCTCTTCTCCCTTTGGGGTACAGGGAGCAGACAAGACATAGAACAAGGGAAGGAAACTCACCTCTGTGGGGTTCATACATGACTGGAGGAGTCTCTAAACAGCCCCCCAACACAAAACAAAACAACAACAACATTGTCAATGACAATTACTGATTCTGCTTACGCCCCTCCCCTTTTGCAGGGCAGCCAGACTAATGGCAGTTAGATCCTAGGGTGGACTTCCCATCTTGCTTCAAAGGAAGAATATAGCTTGAGGGCCCTTTGGGGTGGTCAGGGACAGGGCTCAGCCATCGGGGAGAGGTCAGGGGAGGAGAAAGCTCACAGAGCTGGGGGTGTGGGGGAGGAGATAGGACAGCCAGGTTTCCTGGGTTTGGCCCCTAGCTCCGCTGTGCTTTGTGACCCTGGGTAAATCATTCCACCTCTCTGAAGCCTCATTTTCCGTAAGTGGCAAATGGGAGATGATCATACTTCAAAGAATTAATGGGTGTGGAGTGGTTGGGTGTGAAGTATTTGGTTCGGTGTCCATTTCAGCGGTGGCTAGTCTTCTCAGAGCAGTGAAAAATGGGGGCACCGCCACTCACACACCTACCTGGATTTTCTGGCGTCTCTCCTCCTCGCTTTCCAATTCCAACAATTCATCAATGTTGACTTCATCTGGCATGTCTGCTTCCTAAAGCCATGGACACCAGGGTTGGTGACAGTCCCCTTCCTCTCCTGCCCCCCTCCCAGCCCCCAGGGCTCAGCTGGTGGCAGTCAGGGACAGCTCCAGCAGGGAGAAGGGACATCTGGGCCCTGGGGGAGGGGTGACAGATGGGTTGATGAGAACTGAGGGGTGGGGGTGGGGGGCAGTACTAGCTTGCCTGTGCCCTGGAGCCCAGGAGCCCCGGGGCTGGCACAGGTCATTCTCCATTGGCTTTAGTCCCCACAGTGGAAAAACAGGCCCAGTTGAGTCCAGGAACATTTTCTGGGATTCAGGAGAGGGGCTGGCTCCTGCCCTTTCAAGGCAAAGTTGTAGCAGTAGGTGCAGGGGGGGGGGGGGGGAGGGCCCCTTCCCCCAGGGGACAGGAGCTGGGAGCTGGGCTCAGGGCCAGCCAGCCATCGGGTCCAAGTACAAGTGGGTGGATCTAGGGAGGGGACCACCAGCCCCCCCCCCTTGCCTCCTGGCAGGAGGGTGACAAACTCAGGGTCCATCTTTGAGCTGCCCAGGAAGGGAGGGGGGGAGCTCTGAGTTTGACCTCATGATGCAAAGGACAGTTGGCTCAGGACCTCTGTCTGGGACAGGACCCAGCTGTCCTGGAGGAAGAGGTCCCTGGGGCCATAACCTATTGTCCCCAACCCCAAATCCTGCTGTCTGGCTGGGTGTGGGTGGAATGGAGTTGGGGAGTCACATGCTACCCAGAGTGGGCTTGAGCCAGAGCCTGGGGCCTAGGGTTCAGGGCTGGCTCAGGAATGCCTAGCATGGGGCGTAGTTTCTGACAGGGGCCCATGATGCTCTGAGGAGTGGACAGTAATGTCTCATGGCCAGACACCCAGGCCCAGCTGGGACACCTCTTGTGTGTCAGAGGGGCACCTCCCAAGGTGACACCTAGAATCAGAGAGCAGTTGTCCACCTTAAAGCGACCCCTGCGTCACTGTGAGGACCTGGTCTTCTCACACTGTGTGGAGCTGCGCAGGCTCTGTGAGACTTGTGTGTGTCTGTGTGTCTGTGTGTGTCTGTGTTCCACAGAGCATGTAAATTATACAAAGTGTGACTTCTAGTAAGGATGCGAATCCAGACATGTTAGTCTCCACAAGCCCACGGCCAGTTTCAACATGTGAAGTCCTTGGGCACCTACAGGTGATGCGATTTCATGTCTCTGTGTAGCTGTGATTTCTGTAGATTTATGTGCCTGAGTGGCCATGACATCTGTCACGAGATTGGTGGCTTGTCATTTGTTTTTCCTTTAGAAAATAAGGAATGGTCAGGCACTGGTGGAGGCTGAGATCTGAGGCTCTTGGTTTGAAGTCAGCTTGGGCAGGAAAGTCCAGGAGACTCTTATCTCCAGTTAACCAGCCAAAAGCCAGAAGTGGAGCTGTGGCTCAAGTGATAAAGTAACAGCCTTGAGTAAAAACAAAGCTCAGGGACAGTGCCGAGGCCTTAAGTTCAAGCCCCAGGACAGTCACACACACACACACACACACACACACACACACACACATGAATGAGGAATGAATTTGATCAAAGTACATTATATGCATGATGTATGAGACTATCACAATGAAACCCTTTATATACTTAGCATACATTAATTAAAAGAATAAAGATGGGCAGATGTAACCTGGGTTGCTTTGTGTCCCGGCTGGGTACTGCTGTGCGGATTGTCAGTGAGTTCACCCCCCAGGTGAATCTTGCTGCGTATCTCCGGACAGCTGCTGCTCAAGTTGTTTTGTATGAATCGTGGTTGTGATGGACGTGTGTCCACGACTACGCCAGGGCCGTGCTGGTTCTCTAGATAGCTACACGTGGCGTGACTCTGTGAGTTTGCCTGCAGCTGGGTCTGTCTGTGGAAGCACCCGTGGACAGGCTGTGCAGCTCGGTGCTCGTCTCCCTGTCACACATCTACAGCCTTACGAGACCCCTCTACTCAGAGATGGTGGCTCTGCCTCCTTCCTGAGCTGTGTCTGGGGGATCCCAGGGGGCCTGTGTCACTTTCTCTGGGCCCACCGACAGCCCCAGGGCGCAGCCGGCCAGGCCGTCCTGGGCACCCCGGGCTGCCGGCACGCGCGGGGTCTGCGCCCCAGGCCGGCCCGCCCCCCGGCCCCGCTGCCGCCACAGCCTCCCTCCTGCGGGCCGCGACCCTCCTCGTCTCACCCGGCCGCGGTACAGCTCCTCCAGGCGCCCGTCGATCCACTTCTCCACGTCCAGCCGCCGCTGCAGCTCCCTCCGGTCGTACTTGACGGTGACTCGCGCGTGGCGTTTCTGCAGCCCTCCGGGGCTGCCCCCGGGGCTCCGGGCCCGCGACGGGGACTGCAGCTTGCTCAGCACGCGCTTGCCCAGACGCTGGGCGGCCATCCCGCAGCCTCCGGCCCGCAGCCTCCGGCCCCGCAGCCTCCCGCCTGCCGCGCTGAGCGCCGCCGCCCGGAGCCCCGGCCTCTTAGGGGCGGGGGCGGGGCCGGAGGGGGCGGGGCCCGAGCTCCAGGGGGCCGGCCCCGCCCCCTCAGGACCCCAATGGCTCCCCCCACCACACACACACCTGCGGGGGAGCGCCCAAATCCAGGCGCTAGCTTAGAACTCGTAGTCTGAGACCCTCCAGGTTCAGGTAGGGATAAGGGGGTCCCAGCCCCGGGGGGGGGGGGGCCCCGGATAGCATCCTAGCATCCTAGGGGCGGGGTCCCAGGACAAGCTGGCCTGGACCAGCCTGCCGGTGCCCTCTGGTGGCTGTGAGCGGGAAGTGCAGGAGCCCTCGGGCAGCCTTGGCTGCAGGAGGTCAAATTTTAGATATGCTGGGGCATCTTTTTATTTTGTGCCAGTTCTAGAGCTTGAACTCAGGGCCTGGGAGCTGTTCTTGAGCTTTTGTGCTCAAGGTGAGCACTCTACCACTTGAGCCACAGCTGTACGTTTGTCTTTTTTTTGGAGTAGTTACTTGGAGATAAGAGTCTCACAGACTTTCTTGCTCAGGCTGACTTCGAACCGCGATCCTCATATGTCGTGAGTAGCTAGGATTACAGGCATGAGAAGGGTGTCAACTAAGCATGTTAGTTACTAAGTCAAGTGCATCTTGACCAACGATTATTTGTTTTGGAATCCTCAGCCTTAAGCACGCCAGGCAAGCTCTCTACCACTGAGCTACACTCTGATTTCTGAAACATGATTTCCTCGCTCATTCATTTACTCATTCACTCATTCATTCACCCCCCATTCATCCATCCAACACCCACCCAGTCTTCCTGCCTCTTCATTCCCACCTAACGAGAAAGGAGCTTTCTTTTTTGAGAGAGGCTGGCTTCTCCTCAGCCACCCCACGTAGGTATTACAGGTGTGCACTACTGTGTCTGTTGCCACTTAGTCTACTTTATGTAAAGAATTGTTGCTGAACTGTACAAGTTAAAGTGTTCAGGAGAGCCAGGCACTTAGTGGCTCACGCCCATAATCCTAGCTACTCAGGAGGATGAGATCTGAGGATCGCGGTTCAAAGCCAGCCCTGGCAGGAAAAGTCCTGAGACTCATATCTCCCATTAACCACCAGAAAACTGGAAGTGGCGCTGTGGCTCAAAGCGGTAGAGTGCTGGCCTTGAGCTGAAGAGCCAAGGGACAGTGCTCAGGCCCAGAGTTCAAGCCCCACGACCAACCACAACAACAGCAACAAAAAGTGTTTAGAAGGCGAAGCCAACACGCATCATGCCCCTTTCCTGTTCAAGAAGCGAGCCCAAGCAAACGGAGCAGCCACCGCTCAGGTGCCTGCTCCGCGCACGCGCTGTGTCCCCGTGCCCTACTGGAGTGGAGCTCTACGAAGCCACGCCCCCTTCTTCGCTCAAGGGGCGGGCCCAGGTGCGCAGCGGCACCGAGGAGCCACCACTCAGGTGCCGGCCTTCTGCGCGTGCGTCTTGCGCGTCCCTCTTTGCCAGGTGCGCCCCGCCTCCGTGCCTGGTGTCCACCTTCTAGCCACTTCCAGGCGTCCGCCATTGGCTCGGGTGTCCCCTGAGCATTTGGAGGTGCGGTGCTTCTAGGCTGAGAGAAGTCGCCGAGTTGTCACTGGGAACTAGGGCCTGTCCGCGCACCGCCGCCGACTCTCTCCTCGAGCTCCGGGCCTCCAGCGCGCGTGCGCGGCCGGGGTCTTCCAGCACCTGCTCGCGCGAGACCCCAACGGCCGGCGTCCGACGCCTCCCGCGAGCGCAGCCCGGTCATGGCGCCGCTGTGGGGACCGCGGCGGGGCCGCGCGCTGCTCGCCCTGCTGGCCTCGCTGCTCCTCTCCGGGGCCGAGGCGGCCGACAGAGACCGAGGCATCCACGGTGAGGGCCCGGCGTGGTGCGGGGGGCGGACGTCAAGGGGGGGGTCGGTGCGGGGAGAGTCGCAGGGGTGGAAATGGGGCGGGGGGTCACCTTGGTGAGGGTCGGGAGCCCGGTCTGGGGATGGAGCCTCTACAGGGGAGCCGTCGGGGAGGGGAAAGGGGCCCCTCGGGGAAATTTCTAGGAGGAGAGACGAGGCGAGGGGTGTAGGCCCTGAAGGAATGGCGCAGGAAGGAAGTGGGGACTCTCCCTGCGTCCTCTTCTCGGCCGTGGAAAGTTCTGGGGCCTAAGAAAGCCCAGAGAAGCCTGGAAGCCCCGAAGGGTTGGGTTGGGGTGGGGGACCTGATGGTGGCTTTAGTCTTTAGGGAAGAAGCCCCTCGGGTGCACCCCTCCATCCCCACCTCAGTGAATGCCTCCTGCGAAAAATGGACTCTCCTCAGTGAGGTCTTTTAAGAAAGGAGAGGAAAAGCAGGTGGTGGGCGCGAGAGGCGTTTGCCAGGGCTCCAGGCGAGAGCACCCGTGGTGTGGGAAAAGAATTGTCTGGAACAGCTGGCTGGGCATCTTCCAATGTTGTTCCAACCCTGGCTGCTCCAGACAAGAACAGCGGGTTTTGAAGATCTGTAGTCCTTGCTGCATGGCCGTGTGGCTGCCACTGGGGCGATCCCACAGGGCCAGGTTTCTGCGTTCACAGCTTCCCGGTCCCCCAGACATAGCGTACACTTAAAAGAGCTCTTGCTTCTACCATAAGTGGCTAAGGGATAAAGAAGTTACCAGGAGAGTGAAGATGAAGGGGGGGGGAGTACTTAGCTGAGGTGGTTGGAGGAGGGTGACACCTGATCCACCACAGTGAAGAATGGAAGCAGCTGTGCTTAGGCCTTGGGGATTGGTGGCCTGGGGGGAACTTAATGGAGCACAAATGGCTTGGAGGACAGACAAGCTAGGTTGTGTTCTAGGGAAAAGGAAGGGGAGGGGGGAGAGAAAGTCCGCAGGAATTGAGCAGGGTGAGAGAGGGACAATGGGAGGTTGGAAAAGTGGGCAGGAGCATGCTGGCTGCTCTCTGTGTGCACAAAACAGGTTATAGGAAGATGTATGCATCAGGTGGTTCCCTTTTGGTAACTTTGGAAAATAGTTTGTGAGGGAGTGGGGGGCGGAGGAGGGGATGAATTAGGGCTAGGTGTCCGGGGCTCACACCAGCAATTCTAGCTACTCAGGAAGTTGAGATCTGAGATCTCAGTTCAAAGCCAGCCCAGTCAGGAAAGTCAGTGAGACTCTTATCTCCAATTAACTACCAGAAAACCGGGAGTGTCACTATGGCTTAAAGTGGTAGAGTGCTAGCCTTGAGCAAAAAAGCTCAGTAACATCACCAGGCCCCCGAGTTCAATCCCCACAGCCGACCCCCTCCCCCCCAAAAAAAATGAGTTGGGGAAGACAGGATTCAGTGGGGAGAGGCTCAGCTCTCCAGGACCTGAAATCAGAAATGCACTGGTGGTTCATGACCATAATCCTACCTACTCAAGGAGGCTGAGATCTGAGGATAGTGGTTCAGAGTTAACCTGGGCAGGAAAAGCTGTGAGAACCTTATATCTGATTAAGCAACACAAAAAAGCCAGAAGTAGAGCTGGGGCTCAAATAGTAGAGCCCAGGTTCTGAGTTCAAGTCCAGTAACAGCACACACACACACACACACAAATAATAATAATAATAAAAAGCAGGTGTTGTCATTACAATGTGAACTAGAATTCAGCCTTTCTGGACTTTTTCAGGTTAAGTGATTATGTGCCTCCAGGTACCTGGCCTCTGGCATGGTCAGATTAGGCTTCTCTGATCCCCTGTGTGTCCTTTAAGCTTGGTGTGTTGGTGACACTACAGGCCTTGTGGAGGGTCACACAGTAGTAACTGACAAGGCCAGGTCTAGTGACCAGAGGCTTTCTCTGTTCCCAGTGGCTCCAGCCGCCTGGACCTACTGACCTTTCTGAAGTACTGCTATCTGGTGGGGTGAACTACTGCCCTCACTTATCTGAAGTGCTGTTTGTTTGAAAGCTTGAACTGCCTCATCCAAGGCAGGAGGCAGTTTTGATCCTCTCCCCCCGCCCCCCACTCCTCCATTGCTTTGGTTTTCCCACCAAACCAGGGTCATCTGCTGGGAGTGAAGTGTTTCTCCTGGCACCTGCAGCCACTCAATGCTGCCAAATGTGTGTGTGGTATGAGAACAAGGAGGAAGGAGTAATTAAGTGATTATTGTGGCCAGCCTTGGAACTCAATCTTCATAGAGAACAGAGGGAGCTGAAGGACAGTGGAAAGGTGGTGGGGCCATCAGATGGTTGGCGCTGAAGTCCTGGAGGGAATGGACTGGGGGAATAGGATAGATAAAATATGACTATAGGGGCTGGGAAGGTGGCTCAGTGGCAGAGCGCTTGCCTTGCACGCCTGAGGCCCTGGGTTCGATTCCCCAGCACCACATAAGCAAAAAGGAAAAAAAAAGCCGGAAGTGGTGCTGCTCAAGTGGTAGAGCGCTAGCCTTGAACTGAAGAGCTGAGGGACAGCACCCAGACCCAGAGTTCAGGCCCCACGACCAGATTACCCCCCTCCCCCCAAAAAAGAAAAGATTTGTGTGTGTGTGTGTTTGATGAAATCGGCATTCTGAAGAGGTAACTGTTAATTGAGACCAGATCTAGGTGTGATTGTGGGCTTTGGAGAGGACCAGGAGGTTGGGGAAGGACATGGAGGCTGAGAAGGGTGAGGCTGGAGGATTCCCTGCGTGGGTGTGGAAATCACTAGCAGTGATCATGAGGGATGGGCTGAGAACCAGATAAGGAGTGGAGGTGAGGCCCAGGGATCCTTGGGCCAGACACAGTGGGCAGAAACCTTCTACTCTGATGTAGTCCGCTGCTGGGGGTTTGGAGAATGGTCTGAAAGCTGAAGGGCCAGGTTCTGGTTAGAGAAAAGTGATGTGAGAGAGCAAAATAGATCTTTCCAAGAGCTTCTGAGGGGTGGGATAAGCAAGTTGAGCAGCGTCCTGTGCTGTTTGCTAATGGTGGTAACTTGAGTAGCGGAGGGCAGTATCCTGAAGCGTGGTAAGCCAGCTAGCTAACTGGTCACTGGGGAATCTCCTATCCCCGCATGGTGTTTT